TTATCTTAACTAATTCTAATAATATACAAAAGGGAATTATGGGTAACGGGCAAGCTGAAGACATACTATTTATTCATGTGGGTGGACCAAAATATTTCAATTTGTTGTAGGACATGCATAGTGAACGGGTTTGACTGTCCTGATATCTATATTTATGTTATTTTATTCAAAAGTTTTAATGTTTTTCATTAGTTTATGTGATGTGATAGTTCACAAATTTAATTGATTTCTGATTTATCAGTCATTCAGCTCACATTCGATCCGAGTCTTATATCATGTCGATTAAAATATTAGAAACTTTATGATAAACATAGTTTTTGCAACCAATCCCGCACGTACGTGCGGGTCCATCCCTAGTTATGCAATAATTAAGTCTCGTATAAAAGTGTTTACTATACGATCCACACATAAAATAAACATTACAATTTCATGAATCTTTGCTTTCTTTCTTTCCTTTTTTTTTTGCTATGGGAGAAAAACAAAAGACAAATCTTGTGAAACTTTGTAAAGAGGAAAGAACCCAAAATGAATCAAAGGGAAAAAAAACTTTATAAGGTCACGAGGAAGAACAGCAAGAGAAACCAAAGCCTTGTGAGGAGCCTTTATTATCGTCTTTAACGAGACTTACTCTGTTCTTCATACTTAGTTCCGTTTTGTAAGTGTCGGAATTGAGCTGTTTCCTGCTAACGTTTGTGTAGATGTCACGGATTACCATTTCGAAAGCTGTTTTAACGTTGGTTGAATCGAGAGCCGATGTTTCCATGAAGAATAGTCCTTCGGTTTCTGCTAGAGCTTTGCCTTCTTCCACGCTCACCGCTCTTATGCTTTCTAGGTCGCATTTGTTTCCCACCAGCATCCTAGCCACCGTTGTATCCGAGTGTGCTGTCAAATAAAAGCAAAAGAAACACAAATCAAAATAAGTTTACCAAAACAGCATTTCCAAGAATCAAAACTGAGCAGATTCATAGCAAAGCAAGGTCTCAGTTCTTTTACTCTGTCTACTCAAACTCGAGAGGAAATGTAAAAGCATACATAGATAAAGAGACTATGTTAGCTAGTGAGATTCAAGAGTAGCCACAAACAAAACATAACAATCTCTCATAGAGAAGTGAAACCAGCTCCTCTTAGCTTTGCTCGGCAATTTCAGAAACAGAGAAAATAACTCATCAATAATCTATATATAACACAACTCCGCAAGAATTAACATAACATACTAACCTAATCTATCCATATACAGTAGCAAACATAAACGATCTTTACTATATTGATTTAGCGAGCAAGACTTCAGCTTTGGTCCATCTAACAAACCAAGTCTCTAAAGGAACATTGAGATCTAATTAGTCCTTACAATGGTAAGGATCAGCTAAGCACAATTCCACCAAAAAATTTAAGTCCATTTCAAGACCTAATTGACTAATAAAACAATCCAGCATCCAAATTAAGTAAGACCGCCACAGCTCATTCAATAAAATCGCATTCGATTTATTTACTTACCCTTGAGCTCATCGAGCCAACGGCCAACACTCTCAAAGGTGGAGCGACGGCTGATATCGTAAACGACGAGTGCTCCGACGGCGCCGCGGTAATAAGCGGAAGTGACAGCACGGAAGCGTTCCTGACCAGCAGTATCCCAAATCTGAGCTTTGACCTCTTTGCCTTCGATTTCCATGTTCTGAGTCTGGAACTCAACACCGATCGTGGCTTTGGAATGAGCGTTGAACTCGTTACGAGCGTACCGAGAGAGAAGGTTCGATTTCCCGACGGCAGAGTCTCCGATTATCACAATCTTGAAGAGATACTCCTCTCCTCCTTCTTCATCCGACGACATCCTTCCTACTTCTGATTTCTAGAGAGAGAGAAAGTTGCAGACCGGTTTTAGAGAGAGAGAGAGATGGAGCTGGCAAAAATCAAAGGAAGAGAGAGAGAGAGAGAAGACAAGACATACTGCGCATGAAGTGGTTTCATAAAGCTTTTTTAAAAAAATTGTATTTTTGAATTATGTGCCACAAATTTCGGTGCAATTATAAGTCCTTGTCATCTTATTAATTACTATTATTAACCCATTTTATTATGGGCCAAAATATCGTCTAATTTAGCCCAAAAAGCCCAAATCAGTAACGTTTAAGAAGCTCAAGGCCTGATGAGGTTCCTTTGAGACATCTATTTCCAAACGTTTATATTTTTTTTCAACGTGTGTATAAAGTAGGAACCCTAATCTTTTACAAAAGAAATTATAATATCAAGCTTACGTTTTATTTAATATAAAGCTAGTAATATGGTTTTCAAATACTCTTAAGACAGAATATATTAGTATTATTCCTACATGTGGAAACCTTTGGGGTCCAAATGGTTTTTTTTTTCCATATGCTTTAGGGGACACACTTTTGAATCAAGTTTCAAACTATATGATTTCATCATCATATGGACCCAAGTTTTCCCTTTTTCAATCTAACTTTAACCTATACGTACGATCACCATATTTTTAACTTTAGATGAATATATTAAGAACTTTACAGTGGATTTTCTTATTATATATACGAATTACAATGAGCGAATCCCATATTCTATTATCTTTCCATCATGGTGGTTTGTAACGGTGACGGTGGTAATATATAGATGTCGTTGTAGCTAGTACAATCTAATGTTACCTCATTTCTTATGATATATGATGATATATCATATTCACACACACACATACACAACTATTCTAGGCCTTTAAATTTTACTTTCTTCGAAATGATTACTTTGAATCATATAAATCACTACAAGAGACAATATTTCTGACGGTATTTTCAACGGATATACATCATATAAACACGACATATATAATAAATAATCTATGTTCTCACATATGAAATATTGTGAGAACATAAAGTAATTAGTTTGACCTAATTACAAAGGGCATTCATAATTACTTATGTAGTTAAAGTTTGACCTAATTACGGGGATGGGAATTAGGGAAGAAGAAGAAGAAGAAGAGGAGGAGACCAGAGCTAGTCATCTTAATTATCATATAAACCCGGTGATAATATTCCAACTAGAGAAAACGTTTTAGATAGTCAAATTCCAATTTGCATGATACATATAGTAAAGGACGATAATGTGAAATTGATGACATAAACTAAGAATGTTTAGTACTTATAGTCAATTCTAATTTGCATGAAACATACAAATCAAGAATAAAGGACGATAAAGTGAAATAAATTTACAGAAACTTCAACGCATTGTTCACACATTCAACCAAAAAAACAATTTAAAAGCTAGATTGTTTTAAATTTTGCCTTGGTCATTACTAGTTTAAAGTTTACTAGCTTTCACTTTATCCCAAAAAAAATAAAATTTTTTTTACTAGGTTACATATCTTTATATCTAAAATATGTTAATTCTTGGGAAAATGTACACGCAAATATGAAAGACAGATGCATTACGCGTTTGCTACTTTGGATTGATTAATTAAACACCAAACTATTAATTATGTGTTTATAATATATATAAATACTACGATTAAATTCAAACTTGACAAATAAGAAACTTTCACTAATATAGACGTTGTAGTTTTACTTTATATCGATACTCTTGTCAATATTGTGTTAATTACATGTTCAAAGTAAGAAAACCTAAATGCCAGTTTGGATCCTTCTATTAGCTAGTCCTAAAAAATATTACAATACAACATATGGTTAGATACAGAAAAAAGTAGATCCACAACATTTGTCCAATGTGTCATTCTTTGTTCCTTCAATAACATCATCTTTTCACCATTTTTCTTCAAAAATTCTAAGGCAAAATTGTCACCGTCCTCATCATCTTTCTCGGAACTTGCTGATCTCGAACTTATTCTCCGTTGATTTAGAAGATCGATATAAGTTTGGAGATCGTGAACGCAAGGAATGTTTTGAACATCGAAAAAATCTAGCGTGAGTTCCACCCCAACGTGAGCATAACATGAGCAGCTCCATGGGAGCTCATAAACGCCACCTAAAACCCTAAAATTCTCGTTGAATAAAACACCGGGAAGTTTAGTGACCGGATCGTTGACGTTAGTGATCCTCAAAACCTTAACTCCTAGCTCCTCGCAACGTTGTTTGAACTCCAAGTTACCAACCCTAGGACCTGCGAAAGAGAACACTGTCACCGGAATATCTCCCTCGCTGTTCCTCCGGTTTAAACCTAGTTCCGCAATGTCATAAGCAAGAAGTTGAGCCAATGAGCTTCCCATGCTATGGCCCGCGAGTGTGATACTCATCTCTTCTCCTTTGTACTCGTTTACCAGTCTCGAGATTTCAGACAGAAGCTGTTGTCTGCAGCTCTCTAGTCCAAATTTGCTCTCACTCTCTTCGGATGTGTATAAACTCAAGAATCCGGATTCCACCTTCACGTCGAGACGCTGGTTATGAGGATGGAACCTAGCCGGAGTTAAGGAGCTCATGAGATTTGCTAACCATTCGGGGTTAGTTACCGTTCCACGAAAGGTCACCACAATGTCTCTCCTCCCTAAACGTTTCACCGAGTCATCTGATGAAACTGCAACGTAGCCTACCCAACGTGCTCGTCTATTCGTCTCAATCGGACTGATGTTGATGTCCGGTGTGGCGTAGATGTATTTGGTGACTTGGTAGTCCTCAGGTTGGTCGACTTCGGTTTCTTTAAGTAGGGTTTGCTTTCCATACTTGCAGTTCAAGTAACGTTTGGAATTAGTGTTTAGATCGAAGGCTTTGTAACAAGTGGAAACTAAGTTTCCATAGCGAGTGATCTCTTGTTGGAGAAGAGGGTTTAATGGTTCGATGAGATCTTTCCAGTTGTTACATCCTTGTATCTCTCTCCAAACCCGAGATAACGGTAGAGTCGCAACCTCACCTGAGCACGGGGACTGCGGTGCACGATAAACCGATTGACGAGGAGGAGAAGAAGGCGAAGCAACCGGAGAAGATTGGATCACTGGTGATAATAGAGAAGAAGAAGAAAAATTGGCAACTACAAGTCTTTTGGAGTTGCTTTTAGAACTTGGGAGTGAGAGAGTGTGGGGAAGAAAGAGTGTTTGTTGTGGAGTTGAGTTTCTTAGAAATGGAACATGTTTCATCATATTAGGGTTTTGGATCAAGGCCATTGATGCAAGGATGGCGTAAGCAAAAGAGAGAGAGGTTTGTTGAACTTTTTAAGAGGAATGAGAATTGTGATGTATTTATAGTGAACATGAAGAGAGACGACTTCCACATGTCTTGGCGTGTATTTGACTAAGAAATGAGAGGAGTTTAGATTAAAATAGTCGAATTGCGATCGTTTTGTGAGAGTGATAAGAATATATTTATGTGGTCGGTTTTATAGTATTAAATTCTTATAACATAATTAAATTACTCTTTTCCAATTTCTGATTCTACGATCACTACTTCAGTCTTATGTACGCGTTACCATATCATGTGTGGACTTCAAACAAATAATTATAAAACTATCGTCTACACCAATTTTTAACATCCTCGTTCTTCTTGAGAAAATAGTTTTATTTACAATTCGGTTTAATTCAAGTGCCGATTTGACCAATATTTATGAAATAAACTGATCAATTTATGTAGTAGGGCTGAAAAAACGAAATTAAGAGAATAATTGCTGAAGTAAAATATTTACGCCTAATCTTTCCTATATACACATACGTATTCTTATGTCATTTTCCATGTTCTGAAGCTTAAATGTTTCATGTATGTAATAAAATTTAATTAATTCTGATTACACGTGTAAACGTTAAAATTATATATTCTTACAAGATATTTTTTATATAGATTTTATCTATCAATTGGCCTCTTAGTAATATTTAGCTTACCCTTGTTGAAGATATGATTTAAAACTTTGATTAAATTAGTCAGGGAATGTGCGTGGGCATATATAAATTAATCCAAGGTAAAATAATATGATCACTAAATACACATCACGCTCATGCTATAACACAAAACATATATGAATGTTTTATTAATAAAATAAAATTCCAACATGACATATCCTTAATGCGTTGACCAAAAAACCTTGTGTACATATCTTTATATATTATGAGACTCCTTGCATGCATGTGAGTAGTCAAAATTTGTCAAATATCATATATTATATTAAGTATACGCGCATGTATCCGAGCATATACAGTATGTGGGTTTCGTAATGAAACTTTCATTTTAAGTCTTATAAGATGTATTAGAGTCAATGTAAGTCTTATAAGATGTACTCGACCCTTGTTATATAGGACGAGTGAGCAATTTCATTTCTTTGCAACATAGGTGATAAAAAAAAAAAACACATTAAATCGAAGTCAAACCAGCCAGAGCCTGGAGAGAAAATAAGATAGTTTATCTAAACAGGAGCTAAAGTCAAAAAGAAAGTATATACTCTTATAAAAACTTAAAAAAGTGTGCTAATTAAGTAAGGATCTAGTGGAATTTTTGAAGTCAAATTTGCTTAGCTATATATTGGCAACATATGTTATATGTATATTAATTTGTCTGATAATACATATGCATATAGACTAGAAAATTAACGTAACTAAACGTCGATATATATATTTTTTAACTTTTAATATTACAAGTTATAATAAGTATCCATGATATATGGATAACAGAGACCATAGTATACGCTTGCTTCTAGCTTATTTTAACAGACCAGACCAGACCAGCTGATACGTACGTACATATATGTAAGTCCTTTAACAGAGGCCATAGTATACGCTTGCTTCTAGCTTATTTTAACAGACCAGACCAGACCAGCTGGTACGTACGTACATATATGTAAGTCCTTTAACAAATGCATATACAATTACAATGGTCTAGTAGCTAGTACTCTAATATATCGTTATATATTTTGGAAAATGTAAGCAAAGGTACACACACACACGCTTAACATGGTGCATGGTACAGTTTTATAGTCGGATCGTTATATATATATAGATCATCCCTAGAGTTTTTGTAGTAGATATATTTTCACTATATATATATACGTGGTTCTGTTTGTTCTGTTTGCAAATTGTAATACTTTATATTTTTCGTTTAATTTTGGCACAGACGAAGAAAAATACATAAAGGAGAGAAAGAATACGCGGAGACGAAAGATATTGACTACGACACAACAAATATATTTCAACAAAAAGTGGACTGATAGATGTATAGATTGAAGTTACTTAGTACGGAAGAAACTAGAGCAGAACGTAGTGTTTGTTGTTGTTCGTTATTTGACCCCCGGCCACCACATTCCTACGTGCTGGGAAATTCCCCCACCTTTCCCTTTTTATCTTCTTCTATCTTTTTTTTTTTGCTGTTAGGTGTTTATTAAAAACGATTGAATAAGTATCATGTTTGCCTCAAGAAAGTACTTTTATATTTATTTAATTGAAGTTCATGATCCGACCAGATTCATTAGATGGATAAGGCGCCATTTGAAATACTTTATCCATCGTGTATTTTATTCAATTAGGTACCTACTCACTCATTGAATCTGTTCCGCTTGTTCCTAACTATTACTTTTCTTTTATCTAAGTATCCGTCAAACGTAGATTGTGAACGCTCAATTATAACCATCACGTTAAGTAATCTGCGCTAAAAGAAGTAGCAGAAAAGAGCAATGAGAATATCCTCAGCATTGCACCGGCATCAACTATGATAGTGAAGATGATCGCACAGCACCAAGAAACAACAAACTAATCCCAGCTCAATACTGCTCGTGTTATCAATTTACTTTTCACTTTTCCATATGAAAGTTGATTATTTTTGTTCACATATTTCTTTAGACGGGAACCAGAAGAACTGAGTTACTTACTTTTCTTAATCATCACCGAATGTGTATTTCAATTTGTTTTCTTGAGCTAACGTAGAGACTGAAGAAAGAAACAACTGTCGTGAGTATGTCGGAAAAAAAAAATATTCAACTTAGACGACTAGTCACAACTGTTATGGATGTGTGAACTTTTTGTCCTAAAACATTAGCTCTTGGCTCTGTAAAACATCAAAATGGCGTATTTTTCTGCTCAACCAACGCAATACAGAATGATATAGCAGCCAAGAAACTTTTGCAGTTACAAAACAATGGATTGCAACCTTGAGCTCTACTCCATCTGATGCAATTTCAAAGCTGTTCCTTGTTTTAAGATAAGGGGATGTGGTTTGCTCACTCTTGTTTCTTGAGCGCAGGGTCTGTACTTGGGACACCTGATGTCAATTTCTTTACACTATCTTTGGCCTCTGCTACAAAGGAAGCGTCTGGCTTGTGTTTATCTGTAGGTTCTTTCAAAGCCAGACAGATGTAGAAAACAATCACTACGTTGACTGATACTACCGCTAGAAATCCACTAAGTATTGTCAGAGAATGTGGAGATAATGTTGTTGAACCTGTCAAAGATTTAAACAGAGTACAGTGTAAGAGGTGGTAAAATATATGGAAACACCTATGGTTGCAGCACCTATGGTTGCAGCTTAAACAGTCAATTTCTATCATATTTGCTATTACAAAACTAAATCTGGGAAAACACTTAAAATCTTTCTGAGAGAGACACAATGCTCAAGTACAGTGACCGACTAACATGCCATCACACAAATAGATGATCAAACAACATTATCATGAACTAAGCGTCAAAGGCTAATAAATTGCCTATGTTACAAGATTAACGGTTAGAACCATAACACATCCTCTAGAAGATTTTCTAATCTGGCATCAGATCCCAACAACCAGCTATTCTCAACTTCGACTAGAAAAGAGTGTTTTGCAGAAGCTAAAACTAATGAAGAGTTCCTGGTATTTTCTCTCCTAATACTGGTTCAATGGGTGTTAAACTCAATTTGAAATGCTTCAAGTGTAAGACTTCCTACGGCAAGCCATAATCCAATCACTCCTAAAAGCAACATGATTCCATATGGTTTATAGCAAGCCACGATATCCCTTTTGCAACTAAATCCTTAGTCATTTAGTCAAAGAAAAGATCCACAGAAAACTCACAAGTATAATGCAAACACCCAGTGACATTCTAAAGTTGAACACAAAAAAATGAGAAATCTAAAGATATCTTTGTCAACCTAACAAATTCGAGAACATGTAATTGTCCTAACAAGCAGGAACTTCTAACTACAGTTTACAGAATTTAAATTTCAAGAGCTACAAACTCCAAACACGATTAAACAAAACTCAAAAGCAAAAAAAAACCATGGATACAATTAGAAAAAGCACACAGATTTCCTCAGAACATCAAGTCAAAGCTCGATATTAAGCTCATGTGGACTTACCTCGAGAACAATTGGTTCTACTCAAAAGATGCACTTGTATAGAAAGTTCATCAAAATGGAGATGCACAAGTAAAAGCAACAACATTGAGATCTTACTTACCAGGAAGCAAATCATGATTGAATCCATATAATATTGCAATAGGTAGAATCCACATGAACATCGATGCAATTAGGAACTTCTGCATAACCCCAGCCATTGGTACCACTCAAAATCTACATCAAAATTATGAAATCACGATTCAACGAAGATGCGACATTTGGGATAGAAAATACACAAATCTGCATCAAGGGCTTTCAACAGAATAACCTAAAAACAACAAAGCAAGCGAAAAAAATAAAGCTTTACAGTGAATCTGGCGAGTTAACTCGATCTTGGACTCGAGGATTCAGAGTATGTCTCGCAAAGTCTAGATATTTTTCCTTCCCTCGATAGAGTTCCCTTGTCAATCAAATCACAACGAAGCTATTATTAACCAGAGTGATACACTAATACCACATTTCAAACCGAAACAAACCGATATATTTGTTCGGTTCAAGTTAAAATAAACTGCCTGCCGTTCTAAGAAACTACACGTAGTTTAGCTGAACGTGTTGTTTTGACTTTGGTGTCTATCTGTTATTCTGTTATAAAAATGTGTTTCTTTTTCTTCAAGCTAATATGGTCAACGAACTAAGTAATATAGATGCAACAAACATCAAATGTCGATTTCAGGAAATTAGAGAAGACAATAGCTAGTGATGGAGAAGAGACCAGATCTTAGATCATTTCTTCAGTATTTGCCTATTGTGGCTCAGTCTTCATCTCTACTTTGGCCACCTTCTGTTGAAGAAGAGCTTCAAACAATGTCAAAAGGGCCAAGTGAGTCAATGGTTAGCTCAGGGGAGGCTCTTGCTTTGCATATCATGAATATTCGGCAATCCCTCTCCTTGAATGCATCTGATCTCGCACCTAATGCGTTACAAGGGTATGCTCTTTTCTTTGACAAGGTAACTTATATATTCTTTTGATTGTGTGTGAGTGTTTTTAAAAAAATCAAAACATTTTCACCTAGGTTGAACATATGGCATAGAACATAAGTACTCATAAACAACTGTTTTGTTGTTATGCAGAAAATTTCTAGAGAAGAGGCTACTAACTTTTTTGGTGAGGTGGTTCCTGGATTGTGTGGATTACTTCTCAAGTTACCTTCCATGTTAGAAATGCACTATCAGAAATCAGACCATGTTCTTGATGGAGTTATGTCCGGGCTTCGTATATTAGGTCCTCAAGAAGCTGGCATTGTGTTTCTTAGCCAGGTAATAAAAACATGCATTGTGTTGCATTAATTTCTGAAACCAAGCTTTCTTTATTCATCTCCTATTTCTACCTTTTCCACCCCTCAGTACATTTTGATGCCGTCTTCTGCAGGAGTTAATTGCAGCTCTTCTTGCATGCTCATTCTTTTGTTTGTTCCCTGAACTTGACAGACGCATAAAGAATCTTCAAGGAATCAACTTTGATGAATTGTTTTCGTATGTAAATAGCTCCCTTCCTCTCCTTACAATTACAATTAAACAACTATGATATTCCTAGAGTTACAAATCCTTCTTGTGTGTTTTCTATAAGGTTTTTGTATACGCGTCAGTACACGAAGCAAGAGAGCAAAATAAGGTGCATCATCCATTACTTTGAAAGGATATGTCAATGTATCCCCACAGGCTTTGTTTCCTTTGAGAGGAAAATTCTTCCTTTGGAATACAATCATTGCTATGTTTCATACCCAGCGGCTGATTATTGGGCCAAATCCATCACCCCGCTTTGTTCCGTTGAGGTAACATAGAAACATTAGTAAGCTTCTTTGTTATTAGTCCATTTCTTTCATACGATTCATGAGTATGCTCTGGAACTAGGTTCATACCTCAGGAGTTATAGAAGATCAACCCGGTGAAGCTCTTGAAGTTGATTTTGCTGATGAATATTTTGGTGGTCTTACTCTTCGTAATGGATGTCTTCAGGTCCGTTTTTTAGAAGAATACACCCACAAACTCTTTACTATGTTGAAAATGTCATTTTATATATGTAGGAAGAGATAAGGTTCATGATCAACCCGGAACTTATAGTTGGCATGCTCTTCTTGCCTCGCATGGATAAAAATGAAGCCATTGAGATTGTTGGTGTTGAAAGATTTTCACTTTACTCCGGGTAATTAATTATTAATAATACATTTGAAAGAACATGTTAAAGCTTATTGTAGCTTTCTTACAAGAAAAGGCCAAACATGTACAGGTTTGGATCTTCGTTCCAATTCGTCGGCGATTACACAGACAAGAAAGAGTTAGATACTTTCATGAGGCGAAAAAGGAGAGTTGTAGCTATAGATGCCACTCGTCAGCCAGGAATGAGACAATACAAACCCGATGGCCTCCTTCGGTATTGAAAAAGAAATACTTATTAGGCTTTTTCACTCTATTTTTTTTCATAATTTTCTTTTTTTGGTTCTCGGTTTGGCTTTTGTTTCTATATATAGAGAAGTTAACAAGGCTTTTAGTGGATACTTGCATCGATGTAAACATCAAGTGGACCCTCAGCTTCCTCTACCATCATATTCGGCGAACCAAATTGTAGAAAGCTCACAAGTATGGTGTATCGATCATCATGAGGAGAAGAAGATTGGTGTAGCTACAGGGAATTGGGGATGCGGTGTGTTTGGAGGCGATCCAGAACTAAAGGTCATGCTTCAGTGGCTTGCCATTTCACAGGTACACTTTTACTGTTAATCAATATACATATCTTGCAAACACAGAATAATTATCATTATTGAGTTTTGAAATAATGCTTTCCATTATCTACCTCCCTAGTCCGGAAGACCCTTCTTGTCATACTACACTTTTGGCTTACAAGCCCTACAAAATCTCAATCAGGTTATTCACTTTTGGATCATTATATACACTAAAACCACCTGTTCTCCCTTTCCAAGCCCTTTAAAGAAGTGTCTTTGAAATTCTATCCAGGTGACAGAGAGGCTTGCGTTGCAAGAATTAACTGTAGGAGACCTATGGAACATACTAGTTGAATACTCTTCAGAGAGGCTCACCAGAAGAACACGGCTTGGCTTTTTCTCGTGGCTAATGACATACCTTTCTTCTTAACTGACCAAATTGAGTCAGAGCTCGCTTTTTATACATATATTGTCTATGCATGTGATCGATGTGTCTGTCTATACTACCCAACTAGTTGAATATCATCTCTTCCTAAACTGAATTTGTGTGGAATAATCGATAGTGTTATGTAATCGTATCAGTTTGTTTCGACCTTATAAAGCACTTACTCAAACTAGTTTAGGGATTATTTAGTTTGAAATAAAGGCGTTTGGGAATAAAAACTTGCCAATATTAAACATCATCCGTTCAGAAAATCATATAATGCATGAAAAAATCATCACAATCCAAAAAACACCAACTAAAAACACCCTAAAAAAAACACCCAAAGAAATGCCTGAAATAGAAACTTGTATGGCACGGAAAAGAGAGTTAGAGTCAAATATAGACAGAGATCGGTGACATAGCAGAACTATTCTGGCCGGAATCTCTCTTCACAACCGGAGCTCAAGGTCAAGCTCTGTGTCGCTGACCAGTGAGCTCCTCTGGAGGTCCAGCTCTGTGATGGAGGCCAGTGAGCTCCTCCTATTTGCCTCTTGTAAAGCCTCGAGATGTGTCGCCTTCTCACACACTTCAACCAACATATTTAGCCCCTCCAAATTTTTCTCTGGAATTGGAAATATTCTGTCGTTCTCTTCTTGAGCCGCCTCAGCTTTAGATATATATAGTTCGTCGGAATCCCTTGTAACAACTGGAGTTGGATCCCTAACCAGAGCCAGAGATAGAGACAGAACGGGAGCCGGAGCTGGAGCTGGATCCGTAACCAGAGCTAGAGACAGAGACAAAGCGGGAGCTGGAGCTGGAGATGTAGCTGGATCCAGAGGAGCAAAAGCAACATAGAGCTCGTCTGTGGTGCGATCCACACCGGCCACAACCTTGTTCTCCACTTTGCGGAAGGACCAAATCTGAAGCGTCTGGCCTTCCTCTAGTCTGTTACCGGCGACAACTTTGTTCCACCCTGAAGCCAAGGCGTAGTTGGAATTGGACCTCATATCCCATCTCCTGAGGTTAAGCCCCCATTTTTTACCATTAGAATCCACCAAGGTAAAGTCCACTCCTTTTTTAATCTTCTTTCTGAAATGTTTGTCTATGATTTCCAACTCATCCTCATTCAGAAAGTCCATATCTACTATGCCCTTCCAAGGAATCAAGAGACGTGCCTCATTTTCGTTGATATCGCTCCATACAAGGACCTTCTCCTTTATCATCTTCACGTCCGTACCATTCTCCTCTCTCATCAGGTCAACCAGCCATTCCGGCGTAGGCCCCCTCTCTTGAACCGCCTCTCTTTCTCTAACCATCTTTCTTCTTCTTACCTTTTTCTTCTTTCTTCTTCTTACCTTCTTCTTGGAGACCACTTGTCCACGCTTCTTGGACTCTACATGGCACAAGCTTAGAGAACAAGCATCACGATTAAGGTTTTGTTTTTTAGGGTATTGATTCTTGCACTTACCAATCATCATCTTCTGTCGTTTGCCCGAGCTGGAGCACATCGTTGTCCTCGTTCTCTTTCTCGTGTTATCCTTCACAGTAGCAAGAACACCAGTGGATGTTTCTCCTTCTTCCTCATAGCTAAAAGCTCTAATTATTCTCTCCGTCGCTAGAGATAAAATATCAAACGACCTTTTCTCTCGACGCAAAAGCTCAAGATGATCATCACCTCTCACCATCGTTATCAAAGATAGATAGAGAGACAAAGAGGTCAGCGGCAGAGAGGAATGAGTTATATAGTCTACCTTATATAGAGTTCTGACTTCTATTGTCTCACCAAGAGAAAGGTATATAACTTTCTATAAATCTTTTTTTTGAAAAGAAGATAATCTCTATATTAAAACAAAAAGAAAAATGATAATCTCTATACATTTTTAATTGGTGTTAGATAATTATCTATACTAAATACTTTTTTTGTTTTGTTTTGTTTAAATCTATACGTATCTTTGCATTCCTATTGGCTATTTCTAAGAAAGTAATCGGTAGTGTAAGTCCAAATTACAAGACTATTTGAATCCAGTGTATAATAATAACGGGTATGCTAAAATATTTGAATCCAGTAATCATTGAATCCTATTTGAAATCCGTAAATCTAAAGATACACTTTATTTGGATACTTTTGCTCCACGATTTTATGTCATTTAAAAAACGGGTGCGGTTTTCAGAAGGTTTTTTTTTATGTTTCACTCTGGTGCCAAATTTTAAACCTAACGTGGCCTTTATATAAGAGCAAGTAAAACAAGTTTACAAAGTAAAAAAGACAACAAAAGGTCTTAAATAAAAGACTGCAACATTCAAACAAATGGCCAGTCGTGTTCTGAACTGTTTATGGATTTGAGATTTCATTAGTCATGTTAAATGCTGTCTTCATTCTCTGCACAACATGAGGTAATGTATTGAGGTTTTCCTCAATGGATTTGAGCACGCAACTCTCCATCTCACTAACAGCTTCATGCCTGATCTTTTGGAGCTTTGTAGTCTCAAATTTGTCTTGACACACCATCAGTGCTCTGTTTAGTCTTTCCTATAACATCCATTCAATAAAAAAATCAGCTATATCATCTATCTTTATACGCACCAACCATTTCGAATCATCTCTTCTTTCTGCAGGGTTATTTTTATTGTACCTGAAACTGAGCCATTTCGTTTTCGAAATGCTGTTGAGATTTGACAACGGGGACACTGCAGTACTCAACACAGTTGCTTATCTCCTCTTGCTTTCTTCTTCTGTCAAAGCACTCATATGCACATTTGAAATAGGCTTGCTGCAACAATGAAGTTGTTGTAGATGTTTATTAAATTGATTCATATAACTCAATATATAAACACAACTCAAGAATTAAAAGAAGGTACTAACACTCATGCTTTTGAAGTCAAAACAGAGCAATTGTGTGACATTTTCATGAGCCTGATCCATAGACTCTAAAGATAAATATAGAAGGAATCCAAAGCAATTTTTTCAGAACATTTTCATGAGCCTAGTTCAAAGTCGTATAGATATCTAACTGAAAATTCATTAAATTTGGAACTCCCACGAGCTAAGCTTTCTTACAGAGCAAAGTGTGGACTTTTCTAGAAACATGATTCGACACTGCAGCTTTCAATACAAAGATTGTATCAAACCAAACAAAAATTCCATATTTAGAACTTAGAAGCTAAACATTGCTACAAAGATGGTATCAAACCAAATAAAGATTCCATATTTAGAAACTTAGAAGCTAAACATTGCTAAATCAGAAAGAAGATATGAAGAGGATGCGACATCAAATAGTAATAAATAGATGATATACCTGGAGGGTGAAATTGATGTGATCTTGGACAGGAGAAAGCTGGGCCTGAGCAGCTGCATTAACTTCTTCAAGCTTTCTAGTTAACCTCTCCGTCACGATTTGCTCCTCCGCCGCAGCGATGTGATCCATCGTCTCTCTCTCTCTCCCTTCGTCTATTTCGATTTTAGGGGTTAGGGTTTAGTAAGCTATTCGGGTTAGGTCTCTCTAAACCAATCTGCTATTTCACCTCAACTAATTTCATAAACCGATATAAACCGGAATTTACAGTATTTTAGGAAAATCTAAATCCGTCATTGACCGGTACGGATAACCAGACGGTGGCGAGAGAAAGACAGATTGGTTCTATGATCATTATAGCTAAAGAGAAGATCTTGGCTTTAAATTAGTTTTGCAACTCATATTTTGATATATATGTAACATGTTCTAGGAAGTTAAAAACTTTGCATTAAAAATCAATGGTTACTAAAGTAGAAACAAATTATGCAAGTCCAACTAATGGGAAACCGCTACAGAGTTGGGGATTAAGTAACAGAAACATCCATCAGTGACTATGAGCCAACTTCATGGGTCTCTCCATCAATATATGTTACATAGACTTTATCATACCAACATTTTGGCTTTTTCTTCATTAGTCTTCTTGAGACAGAGGTTTTATTAGTAATCATCGAAAGGGCGAATTAGAAGACGAGAGACTGAAAGCATGAGGAGATGTTGGAGCCTTCTTCACAGGAGCCCAGATGTCAGCACCATTGGTTTGAGCAACCCCTGATGTATACTCCAATGGAACAAGACATAATCCTCTGCTTCTTAGGCTGTACTCTTCCAGCTCCTCCTAGTTTACAAACACCAAAAAAGATCAGTCTGGTCCAGATTCTGAATAGCAATCAGAGTAAATGGGGATCACAGATACTGCTCACCTGTGTACTAGTAGGTGTTGCTTGCAGATATGGAGCACTTAGAACCTGTACAGACAAAAATTTAGACACTGATGGATCGAAAGAGACGAATAAATTGAATTATATTTTGGTCGGAAACTCGAGCAGACCTTGACTTGTTCTTGAAGAAACTGAATGTATTGCATTCCCTCTAGAAGAACTGATGCAGTGTCGGTCTGCAGAGACATAGAAGCTTGAACATGACTAGCAAAGACCACAAGCATGTAAGAGTGATCAACTTAGACCAAATAGTACCTTTCCGTAAGGGGAAACTAGTTGCTGAAGAGCTGAGATACGTTCTCCCAACTTGTCCTTCCTCTCCTGTTTTGAACACAAAGTTTCAAGAACATTAGCAATGCTGGTCCAGGGAGCTTTATGACCATAAGTAATTCTGATTTTGAAGATTGAGAGTATCAGAAGACCTTGGAAGAGAAAGAGAGATCGGACTTGTGTCGTTTAATGCTGTTTTCTTCAAGAGAGCAGACATTGCGCTTGTTCGCCATCATCACCCCTGCCGAGTCTCTAGAGTATTCCATTCCTTGCAATGGAACCAAAAACAAAAAAAAGGATCGGTTTTTCGGCACAAGAAACCGGTTTATTTGCTGCCTCTTAAAAGGGATATGTTGTGAGAGGAAAGCTAATCTCATGGCTCAGCCAAAGCAAGTTGCAGAAAAAACATAAGGTGACAACTCAACAACTTGTTTTCTTGCAGCGTCACAAAGACAAACCTATACGCCTTGAGGTAATATCAGACAGAGAAACAAATATATAGATGCATTTGTTTTATCATCAAAATTAGATGTAAACTACAAAAGGATGCAAATCTATGTCAATGCATTGGACGAAACGACTTTGGATTAGAAAATTAGACCAAGGGTCAAAAGAAAGTAGATAATGGTCAGAGTTTATCCCTTAAGATCACATCAGCCTAAATTAATATTAAAAGTTTAGTAGCACAATCATAGATGATTAAATATGATATCATACTTTGCTTCCATACGGAGGCAATATACATTGTATAATGCATGATATGCATACTCAAGAAACTAGGAAATTATATATCTCCCAAATTAATGAATAAAAAAAACTGATTAAATCATTAAAGTAGTTACTTAGTGTGGTCGTACTTGGCTCCATTAGAAGGCCCTATAGACAAGATTCAGAGCTAAGCGAACTCCAATTAGAAAACCCCACAAGAAGATTGAGAGAACAAAAGAAAGTGATCTTTCAATCTATTTTGCTGTTCATGTGCTAAAGATTTAGACTTTAGATAATTTTATATAGTTGTCACGACGGCAAAATAACAAAAATGTGGAACCAAAACAGAGTAATGGAAAAGAAAAACAACTTACAGAGAGAAGGGACTCAGCATTTGCCAGAAAAATAAGAAACAAGAAGTTGACAAACTCTGAAAGATCTTGGTCTGAGCTTGTAAATGTGGGTTTTTATTGTCACACGACACACACTCTTTGGTTTCTAAACCAAGGCACGAGACACGATGAAACCCATAAACGAGGATCTTGGTCTCTCTCTGGTGTATATATATATATATATTCTTTCTATCTTTGTTGTCTTCGGGTCTTGAATGAAGCCGGAGCTGCAACGGTGACGACGCGAATCCAGAGGTTTGCGTTTGGATGAAACGGCGTCGTAACTTAAAGGGTCGTGAGAGAAAGAGAGAGAGAGAGAGGGAAAGAAGAAAGCAAAAGAGAAGAGAGGACTCTCTACGTATTCATTTTCATATGTCTTTATGTTTATTTTGTTTTTCCTTTCGTCTTCTTCATTAAAGCCTATAGAATTTCTTGTGAGACCAAAAAAAGATTTTGGAGTTTTTAGTTTTAAGTGTTTGGGAAATTTGATTGTGTAGTAGAAGTCTTTCTAGTTTGGTGTTTAAAAAACGAAAGCAATGGAATTAGTAGGAAATGAAAAAACATTTGACAGCTAATGTACAACCCAATGGAGAGAGAGAGAGGTCCTTTTACCAGTCCCAGATAGAAGTCGCTTTCATACAATTTTTCTTCATAAATATGTATAAAAAAAAAAAAAAATTAATAATTTCGAAAGTGACATTTGTTTTGTTTTTTTGCATTATTATTTTAGTTTTTGTCAAAAAGATTTTGACCAATTCTGCTGTGTCTTCTTTTTCAAACTTTTTGCTTTTTTGTCTACGACTCGAGTGACTTGAGAGGTTAGGTTAATGCATTGTACTCTCTCTTTTGGTTGATATAAATAGAGATCCGGGGTACGTACGTTCACACTGATACTTCCAAGTATATTAATACAGTTTCACATGTTTTCATATGAATGGAATTAATCTCTCTTTTCATTTGTTTCTACCCATATTAAACTTTAACACATTTGTCAATAATTTGTTGTACGATAAAATAAATATTTGTTACCAACAAGTTATAGGTTACATCGTATTTTTTTAATCGTATTAATATATCCTATACATGTCAAATTAGATTTGGCATGTCAATTAGGGCTAAAGCCCGTGGGCTAGTACGGTCCGGCCCTAAAAAACATCGGGTTCGGACTTAAATATATATGTCCAAAAAAAACCGGGCCTTTTGGGCTAAGTCCATTCGGGCTAAAAGGTTTTCTGGGCTTAACCCGGTCGGGCTCGGGCTGGTCCGAAAAGTCCTTAAATAAATATATTTTTATTTTTGTAAATATTGTAGTTTGAATAGAATATTTGATTAATGAATTAATTTTTCATATTTACTTAATAGCCTTACTTAATACTTTTAAAATCATTATCTATCATATTTTCTATTATTTATATATGTCAAAACTGAACAAAGCTAAAACTATATATAGATATTGACTCTATCATCTACTTTAAAGTATTTTAGTTCCATGTTTTATTGGGTTAAAGGGTAAATAATTTATTTAGTCTTCATTTTTTCTCTTAAATTAAGTTAGTTTTAATGAATATTGATAAGTTATTTAAATTTTGATACATTATTTTTATAGTATACTTTTAAATATTGTTTTTTAAAAACTATTATGAACTTAGAAGTTGATTTTTTATCGTTAGGTAAAGCCCAAAAAAGCCCGAAAAGCCCTGTAGCCCTGTTATGGTCGGGCCGGGCTTTGAAATATAGGCCTGGATATTTTTCGGGACGGGCCGGGCCGGGCTCAAATATATGAAGGTTTTACGGGTTTTAGGCCGGGCCGGGCCGGACTAGCCCAATTGACATGCCTAAATTAGATGCCGATTTTTTACTCGTATTAATATATGTGTAGTTAGATATAGTTTTTTCTTGATTACATGCAAAAAAAAATATTTGAAAATGGTTACAAATGTCTAATTAAATTTTAATCTTCGACGCCGGACCCACGCGGTTTCTGAATTTGTTTCTCTTGTCTTCGCGGCGACCAGATTTTGTTTTTCAAAATTTTTATATTTTTCTAAACACTCTTTTCCACTTACCAAATCTGCCAATCAAAAAGTACTTTCGTTTCCTATTTTTTACTACTACAATGTTACAACCATAAATTTGAAAATTGGTAATCACCACCATTCAAGTTCGAGAGCCCTTTGGTTTAGCAAACAATACGGATTTACAGATAGTTTCCAAAAACTGCATCAATTAATTCAAGACGTCGATGTTTAACTATCATCATCATCCATATTGAATGCTTCAATAACTTTGGTGTAGGTCTCTTAACACCAACAACAAGAAAAAGGTTATTATGAATACAAAACCAACCACACGCTTCATTTTTCCATTTTGCGTATGGATAAAGGAAACAAAATAAAATAAAGAATTGTTTTATTTCCAGCATTTCAACTTCTTTGTAGCCTCTAGGATGCTTTGCTTTGTCTCCGGTCTCTGGCACTTGAGCAACCCCTCTAGTATTAATGCAGATTCTGGGATATCGCTCTCGCTGATTACGGATTCAGAGCAAAGCCCAAATAGCACCACGTTTACGTCATCTTCCTCTTCTAGTTGCAGGCCAAACAAGTGATCGAATACCTTGAACAAAAACGATACAAAAATAGATCAATTACAAAACCCTGGTTTTCCTGTCTCTGTCTCGGATCAGATTGTGAAAATACGCAGAGATTTTTTCACAATGTTTGAATGAAATCACGTTTGTTTTACCTTTTTCATTCTTGATACTACCATATCTTTGACGGATTGTGACCTCGATACCAAGTTCACCACGAAAAGACCGTGCTCAGGGAGAGCGCGCTTTACCGAAAGAAGAAATGTCTCTTCGATAAACTCAGATGCAGGACAGGTTAAACCCCCGCTGCAGACAGGCATCAAACAAGATTAGTCAAAAAATTGATATGGAAAACTTCATATCAATGTAACAATACTTGGCTTTGTGCTTACCTTGAATCTGCTGAATCCACATCTACAATCAGAATGTCAGGACAAGTTCCGCCTTTGACAGTATAAGTTGTGGAATCCCCATTTGAGCTAGTCGATTGTGGCACAGCGTTTGAGGTTTCCTCAGAAGGAGTTTCAGAGTTTGTTATATCTCTAATGAATTTGATCCCATCAGCAGGAGTTTCAGAGTTTGTTATATCTCTAATGAATTTGATCCCATCAGCAATATGCACCTAGTATAAAAACGGAAAACAGCTCAGTGATGGTAGGGATAAGAGATTTGAATAAAAACATGCTAAATGTCTTGAAGAGAAAGAATTTACCTTCAAGCGATCAGTTTGTGTGAAACCAAAGTAATCCTTGCCAACACTAAGCATTACCGGGTCAAGCTCAACCGCCTATTTAATGCGATACAATCATAAGTCTCAACTGAAAATACTTAACTTGATCAATCCTTTCAAACGAAAATTTACCTCAACATCAGAAAATGGCAAACATCCATGGAGGAACATGGGAAGTAATCCTGCTCCAAGACCAATTATAACAGTCTTAACCTGAAAAGCATCAGAATGTTTCTAGATCAGCACCAAGAGAAAGATACTTCAGAGCAGTTGGACCATAAACTTAGTCTGAAAATAATGAGGCATGACTTAATAATGCTCACCATCTTTCCGCATGATTCAGCCTTCTTCAGGTAGGAAGATACCAATGTGAAGCCAGAAATAATTCCAGTGTGGTAAGAGCTAGCCAAATAATCATGAGAGACCTTCATGAGAGGTCCGCTAGATTCTGAAAAATGGATACGAGCGAAAAAGGATCATAATGTTTTCATGCGAATGTCTACATCAAAACTCACACAGAATTAAGATTATTACCTTGGTTTTGTTTTTTATTTCCCTTTCGTTTTGATTGGGAAACAGTTTTGTCTTTCTGAGATAGTTCAAGAATCTCACCATCCTCTACAAGTAAAGCTTCAGATTGTATCAAACCCTCGGTTCTTTTGAATACAAGGCGTCGAAATGCCAAATCGCTAGGAGATAAGCCTTCAAGATTACTAGGAGTGCTTTCATAAACCACATCTTCAACGACCACTTTTCCAGTCAAGGAAGATGTAACCTACAGTCGAAATGAAAAGCAAGAAACAAAATAGAGCCCCATAACTAAGTCTTTTTACCAACCAGTAGAATTCATTCAAAATTCGCTAAAAATAGTACATAATTAACAAATCATGGAGATCAATAACGAAACAATAATGATATCTGCAAAAAGCAATAAATTAAGCAACAACAGATAAAAGCTTTGAAGTGATTAATTGTATTTTTATATTTTCAAGTATTAATACCTCGTGAACGGTATCACGCTTTTTGATTCCATCACTTGCCATCATATACCTGTAGCACCAATTCAATTCAGCTAAAAATCAACAAGCGGTAATGGGGGAAATAGTATGAGTTTGGAGTACAAACAATTAAGAAAGTTGAATAAAATGATCAACTGTTACATCAAAATATGGAGAGTATATAGAACTAAGAACAATAAACATACGGTATGCGAGCTGCTTCATCATCATTTCTAGGAGCTAGTTGTGTCACCATGGGAGATAAATCATTCTGAGGTGAAAAAGTTTACAAGATAAAATTAATCAATAAGCAGATAACATAATGTATCAGAAAATTAAAAATGCAGATTGTACCTGGATATCCTCCATGGCAACACCACTATGGCTACTGTCGAGGAAAACCTTACACAAGGAAATTAAGATTTGTTTAGGTTCTCATTCTGCGAGTAGATGAAGGAGAAACATGGGGAATATAAAGCGGCTTTACCATAGCTTACCATTATGAGACGAGCAGCCTGAGAACTCTCGATAACCTGCCACTGTCCTTCCTCTGAACAGAACAGCCACTCATGAGCACGAGTCTGAAATATAACACTCCTTTTAATAGTTCAAACAAAATTGAGATAAATATCCAAGATTATGGCGTTGCAAAAGCTTACCTTGGGGACAAGAAAAACACCACAATGATACACAAATGGCTCAGTCTGCTTCTGAGCATCAAGAAGCACAGCTCTATAACTGAAATTGCTAGCCAAAGTAAATTTTATACGGCGGCCTCCAGTAAGCTCTGCCAAATCTCCTTTAATACCAAGTTTCAAATCTTCATGAGAGTACAGTAAGTCTGAGCCATTATTGCAGTCTCTACGTATTTGGTTCTCACTCTCGAGGGCTTCACGCATACCAGAGCCCTACAATATAACTCAGAATCATATATAACCTTGGCGACGAACACATACGAAGTTTTAACGAATAGGTGTACATACGAATATATTCAAAGATAGTTGTAGTCATATTTAATGGGAAGAAATCATCTTGTCTCTAAACAAAAAATTCAGAAAAGTGGATGAAATTCATGTTCAAAAAAGAATTACCTGGTTATCGTTGCGACCAATAGATAAAAGATCGAAAGAAGAGGTAATATCGTGCAATAAAATGGACTTTTCCTTTTCAGCCACCACCATAAACGTTTTAAGATTGGAGCGTTTTTGAGAGATTGAATGGACCGTCATCTTCCAACCAAAACGAAGTTTTGAAAAGAGCAATGCTGTAAAATCACAAACGAATTTCAACTAACTATGAAGTAGTTCACCTAATGATAACAGAAGAGAAGGTGCAGGAAGTACCTAAGACATGAGACTCCGCCAGCGTTAGACAGATAAACTTCCCTCCAGGTTTCAAAACCCGCTTGGCCTGAGCAGAGAGTTAACTAATGATCAAGTTAAAAATTTAAAGCACATAATTTTCATTGTTTGATCTTACACTCATCTGATTAAAACGTAAATTAAACAAAAGAAGTTCACAAGACCTCTGTTAAGTATTGATTTCCCAGCTTGGTACCAACTTCGGGCTCCATCAAAGCATCAAGAGCACCTTTATCCAGAACCGTATCAAAGGATTCATCTGCCAACTGGGTAAAAGAGTAGTAGAGCTTGTGTGAATGATCGAGAACAACCAAAATAAGCTAGAAAAAAGGGAAAACAGAGCACAAAAATTGGAAATGGAAGCAAAACCTGCATCTTTGTGATGTCCATAACTCGCCAACGCAGTTGAGGCCGAGTCCTAATGTTCCGACGAAGCATATCGGAGATAACAACCTTGGAAAAGTCGACATTGGTGATGTCACGGAATCCAGCATCGTACAAATGCTCAGAAAGGCGGGAGTTTCCGCATCCAGGAACCAGAATCTGAAGCGAGCCAGAAGATGAAGATGATGATTCTTGGAGGAGAGGTAAAAGCGTGTCACGGAGCTGAGGCCACTCAGCATACCACTCGAAAGAGTCGTCGTTGCCTCTGAGAGTGAAGAATTTATCCCAGTTCTCTTTGCTGGTGAAGTCTTCCAGGGTTTGTAAGAAATCATCTGCTGGAGCAGCTGCTTTGCCTCCTTTCTTCTTCCCCATATCTGCTATAGAATCTCACACCCAAGTTCCAAAAACCCTAATTTTCCAGTCTAAGGATTTACACACTCTGACAACACACGGTGACGACGAAGCTTGGAGGTGGAAGCTGAAGACGGCGTAGTACGGTTTAATTTTGGTTCAAAAATCAACAGCCGAACTTAAACCGTACCGGAAAGCTAACCAAAAAAAACTCAACCATCGAGAAACTGATACGATCGTGATGCAGGCTTGTGGGCTTTATTTTAATTGGGCTAAGAGTTTGTTCAAAAAGAAAGATTTGGACCTCGTTATGTACTCTTGATGTTTCATGCTTACATAAGCAATGACATCAACAACTATAGTTTGATGGCAGTGTCCCTCTTTGGGTAGATGACAAGAATATCTAATGCTATGTCAAGTCTCTTTTGTCTCGATATAAACAACATTATTACTCTGGTTCCTTTTATATAATACCAAAAAAATGAAAAAAAAATGAAAGAAAGTTTCAAAAATTATGTGTTAAATCGTAACGGAATTACATTCGTAGTCACGTAACTAAGCAGTTAATTTAGACCTCCTAAAGTTTGAAAAATACATCATGTAAATCATTTAACATAGGGAAATTTCATTTTGAATACCATATTATTGATACTGATATATCTGTATTAGCACATCCAAAAAGATGCTAATGAAACTGATGTATCTAAACAAAGAGAGATGTCGTTGTTTTGTTGTGAACGTATCGAGATTTTTGGTTAAAAGTGTGGACGTATGAAGTTGTCATTGTTTAATCTGTTGTGCGAACGTGCATGCTCGGCAATAGTCAATTTGTTAGGCATGATACATTATAATTGTTATGTTCGTTGTTATTTTATGATGATATTCACCTAGTACATATATATAACATAGTTTAGTTGTTCTGACTTCTGATATGCCCATCTCAACAACAACAACAAAAAAGCGTCAACATTAACGTGAAATGATTAACATAGTATTTATATATAATGGATATTGTATCTGTTTAGTATCATTTGATATCATTGTAGGTACCGAATTTAACACTTTGGGTCGAAGTTGGGCTTTATGTTTTGCGGCATGTTTTTATGAAAGTTCAATAAAAGAAATAGGTCTTATGACCGAGAAATGGAGTGAGTTCGGAAGAAAAAGATAGCATTTATGAGAAAATAAAAACGTACGAGCACGAGGTCAAACCTGTGATTAATGAGGATTGTGCGGATAACGCGAGCTTTAATAGGGATGAATTTTGTAGTTCCAATATATAAGGGAATAGAAGCTGTAATGTAGAGTCCCTCGGATTTTTCATCTATTGACCAAATTTATAGCAATAAAATTCTTAGCAAGATCACTTCTTTATTCATTCAATTTGAGTTCGTTACAGGAGAATAAACCCACTTTTAGTTCTCACTTTCTCACAAAAAACACTAAAGCGGGTTCCGACTCCCACAATTACCAGAAGTGAACGTATACGATTAGATATAATGTGCACATCTTCGCCACTTTTTCAAATCGTACGCAGTAATTCTAAATAAGTTTTCAGTGCATGGTAAAGATAGATAACAAAAGAAAAGATAACCAAATAAGTTTTCAGTGCATAGTAGATAGATATTATTTACTCCACAATGACTCATTCCTTAAAATTTTACGAAAAATAACACTTAGATTAAGATGTCAAAAAACTTATCGGAATATGATGTTATTAGACTGATATGCATGATGATCTATACGGTCAAATCAAAATGTTAGTCAAAAACTTATAGAAAAAACGAAAATAACCAAAAATAATATAGAAAAAACGATTATAATATAATGGGAATAATCACATATTAACAAGAAAAAATGAAACTAATAATATGTAAATTAAAAATTTAACAAAATTGATGACAAAAAAAAAAACTTAACAAAATCTTATGGCTAAAAACCTACCAATAAACATCGTCTTATTGATTTTTTTTTTTTGTTTTATTGTTATCCACCACTAAAACAAAACCTTTGTAACAAATAGAGGCACGTAATTTGTAATAATTTAGTATCCATCCCTACGCCATTGTACAAATAATAAAATTCCCATATAAGAAAATAATCCTATATAATTAACCAAATCACCAACCCACCATTCCCTTTTAACTTTTTCTATATGGTAAAGAGACATTTCATAGAAACAAATCTTTTTATATGAAAAGTTGCATATATATCCAATTAAATACCATTTTATCTACACGTTGCATTTATCCTATATATAAAACCTACCCTCTCCACATTATTAATAGAGTTTGCATCACCAAAAAAAAAACATTTCAACAAAGAGAAGAGAAAGAGAAAATGGGAGAAACAGCTAAAGCAAATGTGTTAGTCTTCTCATTTCCGATACAAGGACACATAAACCCTCTCCTCCAATTCTCAAAACGTTTAATCTCCAAAAACGTTACGGTCACATTCCTCACCACTTCCTCCACTCACAACTCCATCCTCCGCCGTGCTATAGCCGGTGGAGCCACCGCTCTCCCAATCTCTTTCGTCCCCATCGACGACGGCTTCGAGGAAGGTCACCCTTCTACGGACACCTCTCCTGACTACTTCTCCAAGTTCCAAGAAAACGTCTCTCGAAGCCTCTCTGAACTCATCTCCTCGATGGACCCCAAACCAAACGCAGTCGTTTACGACTCGTGTCTGCCTTATGTCCTCGACGTTTGCCGGAAACATCCCGGAGTCGCCGCGGCTTCGTTTTTCACTCAGTCCTCCACCGTGAACGCCATCTATATTCACTTCTTGCGAGGAGAGTTCAAGGAGTTTCAAAACGATGTAGCTTTGCCAGCCATGCCTCCGTTGAAGGGTAATGACTTGCCGGTGTTTCTGTACGATAACAATATCTGCCGGCCCTTGTTTGAGCTCATTAGTAGCCAATTCATCAATGTTGACGACATTGACTTCTTCTTGGTTAACTCTTTCGACGAACTCGAAGTCGAGGTAATAATCCCCATGCTCTTCTCTTATGCTTATTAGACAATATGCATAATGAAATCCAAATGATATACTGATAATGGTGAATAATCGATACCAATCATATCCTGCTGAATTAATTACTACCTGATGTGACCCATATCAAAATTAAAACCAAGCATTTTAGGTATTTTGCGAAATAATTTCTTACTCTAGTATGGTTGTAGCTATCTACGTTCGTGCTAACAAAAAATAATTTAACGTTGGTATAAAAAAAGAGGACATCATATTGGGAGCTTTTACCCTAAATTTTTGTTAAAAAAAAAATTTACATCCCAATAATGATGCTCTTACAATAAACCGACAAAAAGAACAATATTCATTTATTCATGTTCGGGCCGAAAGGTATCAAATTGGGGCGAACATCCCAAGGTGTAGATTATTTGGTGGTATACACTTAGATTGGGTCTTCACGTGGCAATTATATGGAGCCAGAAAACTGAAAACGACTATCGTCTCAAATATACACATACGTGTCACTCCCTTGACCTTTTGATTATTCAGCATACATGTTGGCTTTAGCATGTGTGATGTGTCCTACCAATTGAGTTTTTGCATAACAACTTTATTTATTTCTAACTTATCATTTTAATTTTTTTTGTTTACAAACTTTCTTAAAGATGTTTACATTTTCGCAAATTATATATGTGACTTTTGCTTTTTAAACCCTTTTTATCCAATGAGTTCTGTCAAACCAAATTAATGACGACCGAGACCAACTTTCCTCTTAAGTAATTGCATATCGAGTTGCGTAATGAGCATTAGACATGTCGAGTAGAGTAACCCAAAAAAGTATAGTCACTAGTCAGGCTTAACAATATTTGGCATCAGTGGATTGTTTCAAATTACATCATTGAGAAGTTTGGGCATTTCTATTCAATCTTTCTTTCGTTCAAAGATCAGAAATGGTTACTTAGTGTGTTTTAAACCCCAGCGTCTAAATTTCTAGGTTATCATGTTTGGGGTTCAAACTAGGAATTGTTAGTCCGAAAACTGCTAGGTTAGGTCGGGATAGCTGGTTTTACATTTACGTTTTAAAATGTGTGTTTTTTTGGGTAATGGCCCTATGGGTTTCCTAGCTTTTTTCTAGAAAAACATGGTTGACGTGAGTCATTTTTACTGTATTACAGTGACAAACAAAAATGACTTATGGTACACCTATCAATGTTTCTTTTATTGCATGTATTAAAGGGTGTGCTACTTTTTTTTTTCAGGTGTTAGAATGGATGAAGAACCAGTGGCCGGTCAAGAACATAGGACCGATGATTCCATCAATGTACTTAGACAAACGATTAGCAGGGGACAAAGACTACGGCATCAACCTCTTCAATCCCCAAGTTAACGAATGCCTTGATTGGCTTGACTCAAAACCTCCCAGTTCAGTGATCTACGTCTCTTTTGGAAGCTTAGCCGTCTTAAAAGACGATCAAATGATAGAAATCGCAGCTGGTCTAAAACAAACCGGCCATAACTTCCTATGGGTTGTTAGAGAAACAGAGAAAAACAAGCTCCCAAACAACTACATAGAGGAGATTGGTGAGAAAGGTTTGATAGTGAACTGGAGTCCTCAACTACAAGTTCTTGCGCAGAAATCCATCGGTTGTTTCATGACGCATTGCGGGTGGAATTCGACATTAGAGGCATTGAGCTTAGGAGTGGCTTTGATTGGAATGCCGGCTTATAGCGACCAACCGACTAATGCTAAGTTTATAGAAGATGTGTGGAAGGTTGGGGTTAGAGTTAAGGCAGATCATAATGGATATGTGAAGAAGGAAGAGATTGTGAGATGTGTTGGAGAAGTTATGGAAGAGATGTCGGAGAAAGGGAAAGAGGTTAGAAAGAATGCTCGGAGATTGATGGAGTTTGCAAGAGAAGCTTTGTCTGAAGGGGGAAACTCCGATAAGAACATTGAAGAGTTTGTTGCTAAAATTGCAAAATAAACTGATTGTAATATTAATCTGTGTGATGCTTAATAATGTGTTTTTTTTCTTTCTGGGAGTTTTTTTTTTCAAGAACTAAGAAGTTAATTTTTATGTTGTTTGTTTCGAAGTTATTTATGGTGCAACCAATGTGAGTTTAAATGGTGTAGAAATTTGGGATCTCTCTCATTTCACATTAGTAGAAGTTCCCAATTTTTTTTTAAAAAAGGATCTTCTACTAATGTTCCTTTTTTTTTTTTTTTTTTTTTAATTTGTCGTCCTAGTAATATTCCTTCTTGTGGACAGAAGTAATAAGGAAACCATTAATAAGAAAAACAGATATGTATTTGTTTTAAAACCAAATCTACAGATTTTTATACCAAATCTTTGATATTTAATTTAGAGACTTTGATAAAATATTTTGCACCAACTAATATAAAAATTGAAATCGGGGATGCTTGAGGCACTTAGTGACCAACAGTGCACACCAATAACTCAGCTCCAATTCATCGTAGAAGCATGACTTCAGTAGACTGAAATATTTAAAATGGCTAATTTTTTCATCGATATTTATTCCGTAACAAAACAAAAATAACATAGATGGAAAATATACGAGGGATAACAATATCTCTAATACACCTCTCGAGATAATGTCTTTACCTATAAATCTCGGTATTTTCGGATAGATTGATAGACCAAATTTTTTTGTGAGATCGATGATTGATCAGGGTCGACAACATATGGATCCATACCAGATAAGATGTTATTGGAAGTCCATATTCTAACAGAATATAGAATATGTGTTGACAGAACATAATGAAATCATATACTAGAGTGAAAGTTTATCATTTATCTTGTTGGACTGATAAATTAGAATACAAGATTAATCAGCAAAAAGTGTGATTTGGTAAAGTTGAACCGCAAAGTCATTCCATTCAACGAATTAGCTAGTAATGTGATAGACAATTATAAGTTGAGAATTAATTTGTTAACTAAAACATTGTTGTTACAAATTACTAACATGTGGTTAATTTTACTGTTGTAGATCATTGAATGTAGAATGTAGGTCTTGCAATGGACATACGCAAATGGATACTACATATGCTTGCCTGTTAGAAAATTTGCAATGGACATACGCAAACGGATACTACATATATATAGGGCATGATCAAACCACACGACAATTTTCCGAGTATTTCAAGAATGTGCCTCTGTTAGAAAATTAATAGAAGAATATGAATCTAAAGTTTAATTAGCTGGTGAAAGCTTTGGAGAATGGATCTTGCTAATATTGTTGATGTAATATACCAATATTATCAAAAATATCTTAATTACCATTCTAATATTAATGAAAGCATAAATAAAAATCATCTAGTTTTAGAAACCAGATCTATAGATATTTTTCAGCAATTGTTGAATATCTTAAATTTTCTTTAGAACGAAATTTGAGTTTATCCTAAATCCCTAAAGTTTATCAACAAGATAACAAACAGAAAAGCAAAATTTGTGATAATAATGAAAAAAAAATCCGTACGTGACTGTTTAATACGTTTTTATTCGTTATGACTTTTGAGTTGTTGTTCCTTTTGTTCGGACTTTTAAAGCTTTTCATTTAATTTGTTTAATTAAAGGTCGTACAAAGATAAAATTAAAATTAAACCCCAAAGCCCTAATAGTAGCCTATATAATGAGATTTTAAGAATAGAACTTGAAAAAAAAAAAAAAAAAATAGCAAAGACCTTGTTACAGTGCGCAGCCCAAATTTTTGGTTACGTCTGCTTCCTATAAATCTCAAAGCCGTTTTAGGGTTTTTATTTTATTTTCAGCTGTAGAGTGTCGATTTTTAGTTTAGTTTCAGCTCGTCATGGATCATTACGATGATGATATGGAATCAGCAGGGGCGAACTCTTACAGCGATGTTGAAGATATCGGAGGCGATGATGATGTTGAAGATACTGAAGGCCATGACGACGAAGGCCGTTTGCATGAGGAAGACATAATTCAATCACAGAAAGGTTACGTAGTTCTCAAGGAAGAAGACATTCGCAGGCATCAAAGAGACGATATCGGAAGGGTTTCCACGGCTTTCTCTATAAGCCAAGTCGAAGCGATCGCTCTGCTTCTTCACTATCACTGGCACTTTGGTAAATTCGAAGAGGAATGGTTTTCGGACGAAGAGAGAGTCCGTGAAGCCGTAGGTATACTGAAGGAGCCCGTCGTTGATGTTCATGGTCAAAAACTCATCCAATGTGGGATTTGCTTCGAATCGTACACTTCAGGGGAAATCGCTAGGGTTTCGTGTGGTCATCCTTATTGCATTACTTGCTGGGCGGGTTACATCACTACAAAAATCGAAAGCGGTCCGGGATGTTTAAGGATTAAATGTCCTGAGCCTTCTTGTTCCGCTGCGGTTGGTCAAGATTTGATCGTTAAGGTTAGTAAGGTAGAAGATAAGGAGAAGTACTATAGATATTTACTTAGATCTTACGTGGAGGAAAACGTAGGGAGAATAAAATGGTGTCCATCACCGGGATGTGAATGCGCGATTGATTATGGTGATGGTGGGACTGGAAGTAGTGAGACTAGTAGTTATGATATTACTTGTTTGTGTTCGCAAAGCTTTTGTTGGAATTGCAGTGAATTAGATGCTCACAGTCCTGTGGACTGTGAAACCGTGTTAAAATGGACATCCAAGAACGAGGATGAGTCCGGGAACAGGGATTGGATTGTTGCGAATTCAAAGCCTTGTCCTAAATGCAATCGTCCGATCGAGAAGAACGACGGATGTAACCATATGACATGCTCATCTCCGTGTAAACATCAGTTTTGTTGGATTTGTCTTAAACCATATAAGGATCACTTGGCTTGCAACAGGTTTGTTCATGATCAGACTGAAGATACGAGAAAATCTATTCAAAATGAAATCGTGAGATACACGCATTATTACCTAAGATGGGCAACTAATCAGTCGTCGAGGCTAAAGGCTATGAGTGATCTGGAGATATTGCAATCGGTGCAGCTTAAGGAGCTTAGTGACACACAGGGCAAACCAGAAACTGAGTTTGAGTTCATTGTAGAGGCATGGCATCAGGTTAGTAAAAGTATTTTAACAACTCTCTTATTTGTATAGCACTGGAAAGAACATATATAATCTAAGAAAATCTACATGGATGCGTTGTTGACCATATATTGTTGTTACAACATTGACTTAACATGTAACATTGCAAAGCTTTTATTTAGATCTTATATGATTGAACAATTACTGACTATGTAATTGGCGAAACTGTTGTAGATCATCGAATGTAGAAGGTTCTTGAAATGGACCTATGTGTATGGATTTTACCTACCTCCTCGTGAACATGCCAAGAAAGAATTGTTCGAATATTTGCAAGGTAAAGTTGTGATACCGAAACACGTTTTAAATTTGTCTATTTTAGCTAATTAAAATATTTTTTTCTGTATATATTGTTGTCACCAGGGGATGCTGAATCAAGTTTGGATAGGCTTCATCATTGTGTAGAGACGGAGTTGAAACAGTTTATCCATAAAACTGATGCTGATTCAACCAAAAAGTTCGATAGCTTCAGGAAGAAATTAATTGATTTGACTTCGGTAACTAAAAAATTCTTCGAAAATTTGGTGACAGCTTTGGAGAATGATCTTGCTGATGTGACACACAAAGGGAACGAGTCAGCAGCACAAGGATCTGATTTTAGCCTCTACCACCAAATGCTAAACACACAATTATCTTATGGTGAAGGGTTCGTGGAAGAATGGTTAGAGGACTATAGTGACGTCGTTTGACACGAGCCTTCTTATTTCAGAAGACAAAAGGTATTATTATATGAAGCTCATGCGATCTCTCTGCATCGGTTTAATAATAATTCCTTAGTTAATTCTTAGCAATTTGGATAGTCTTTTCTTTTTTTGTTTTTTTTTCTTCTCTTTCCTATAAACCTTTGGTTATTCTCTATTATGAAATGATTTTTTTTTTCTTTTTCACGTTGCTACTCGACCTTAAAATTTTTGATTACTTGATCGTACACAATTTTGATCAAAACAATTATCATTACTTCTTGTCCAAAAAGATTCTACAGGTGAAGGAGAAAATTTATTTTTCTTCATTTCTTTGAAAAAATAAAATTACATGCATTTGTTCAACGCTTGAGTAATCTTGATCACAATATATCATTATATCATATTTACTGACTGTGAGGCTTATGAATGGGACTACAGAATCTTCAGGTTCTTACCACTTGTATTACAATGCGAGACCCTAAGAAAACTAGAAGCCTAGAACAGACAATGCGAGGCCGAAGACCCTAAGAACCGACCGGATCACTCATGAGTCATGACTCAACGAGAACATTTTAGTCCTATTTGGGCCAACGTTGCCCATAGAAAATAGTCCACATTTGCTAACCTGTGGAACGCACTCAATTAAATAATTAAACTCTATAGATATACACGGCAAAAGACAGGATGACTACAAAATGGGTAGACACATACTTGGAAGCTCGGAGGCAAACTACCCATGATTATATTGCAATCTAATTCAATAGAGGGAGAGCACCAACGAAGAAAGCTAAAATTATCAAACTTGGTGACTTGAGAGAAAGAAATGAAAGAGCATCAAATGCTCACATCAACCCATGTTTTGAATACTCATATAACGTCTGAGAATGATTAAACATTCTAAATCATAATTAAATCAAAAGATAAACAACATAATATATTAATATTGTAAAAATCAGTTTGATTATTTTTATTCCTTCCAACCAATTTCTTCGAACGACATAGTGGGATCTTTATCAAAATCTATTTATAAACAAAATCAGGTTGCATGTAAACATTATCTTTGTTAATTTTTAATAATTTTATGGAATTTAAATATACGGACTTAAACATTAGACTAAAACTAGATTTGTAACATACCATAAATCTGGATCTAAAGTGGATATGAAAACAATGCAACAAAATGTATAGTTTGTTAAAACAAAATCTACATATTATTAAACCAAAACTACAAATTATTAAACCAAATCTTGAGTTATTTAGATTTTAATATTAATTTATATTATTGTTGATAGTAAAGGGAGAAAAATTGTTAAACTCCGTAGCAATTTACCTTATAATAATATGTAAATGTTCATCAACTAGAAAATAAAATCTTTCCTCAATAAAATTTTATAACCAATTTTTGTATTTCACCTACAAACCCAAGAGATATTTTTTTCTTTATTGACTAATTGAAGTGTATGCATTCAGTTCTCTGAGATAAAAACACGTGGTGAATGCTTATTGGTTCTTTTTTTTGGAACACAAATGCTTATTGGTTAATTTCATTTTCTTACGCTGTCGTTTATTAAAGGTCCATAAAATGATTGATCCCCAAGGGCCAAAATAATACTTGGTTGAAACCCTACTTAAGTAGCCTTATAAAAAGGAGATAATTAGAAGAGACGCAGCAGCAGCTAAAACTTATCAGAGAGCAGCCATAATTATCCGAGGAGTTGCATTCTTCAGCTTCCTATAGATTAACCTCAAATTATTTTTAGGGTTTGTTTTTTTTTTTTCTTGGTTTCAGCCGGCCATGGATTATCCAGATGATGATGACATAATCTATATCGAATCAGACGAAGAAGAGAATCTTCCCAGCGATGACGAAGAGAATCTTCCCAGCGATGACGAAGAGAATCTTCTCAGCGATGATGAAGATAAAGACTACGCTGTATTCGCCGAGGAAGAGATAAAACGAGCATCGAAAAGTTACGTAGTTCTCAAGGAAGAACACATCCACAAGCGTCAAAGAGACGATATCGAACGAGTTTTTACCGTTCTCTCTATCAGCCAAGCCGAAGCAATCGCTCTGCTTCTTCACCATCGTTGGAGTGTTAGTAAAGTCCAAGATGAATGGTTTAAAGACGAGGATAGAATCCGTGAAACCGTTGGTATACTCAAGGAGCCTATCGTTGATGTTAATGGTGGAAATGTCGAATGTGGGATTTGCTTCGAATCATACCCTCCAGGAGAGATCGAAAGGGTTTCTTGTGGTCATCCTTATTGCAAGACTTGCTGGACTGGTTACATCACTACCAAAATCGAAGACGGTTCTGGATGTTTGAGAATTGTATGTCCTGAGCCTTCTTGTCCTGCTGCTGTTGGTCAAGATTTGATCGATAAGGTCGCTGAGAAGGAAGACAAGGACAAGTATAATAGATATTTACTCAGGTCTTACGTCGAAGAAGGGAAGAAGATTAAATGGTGTCCATCACCGGGATGCGAATACGCTGTTGATTTTCATGGAAGTAGTACTAGTAACGATGTTTCTTGTCTGTGTTCCTTTAGGTTTTGCTATAACTGCTGTGAAGACGCTCACACTCCCGTGGACTGTGACACGGTGGAGAAGTGGTTACTAAAGAACAGAGATGAGTCCGAGAACACGAATTGGATACTTGCTAAGACAAAGCCTTGTCCTAAATGCAAGCGTCTGATCGAGAAGAACAATGGATGTAACCATATGTCATGCACAGCTCCGTGTCATTTACATTTTTGTTGGGCTTGCCTTGAACCATTGGCAGGTCACAAGGCTTGCAATGGGTTTAAAGCAGAAACTCAGGATGAAACTAAGAGAAAAAGGGCTAAAGATGCCATCGACAAATACACACATTATTATGAAAGATGGGAATTCAATCAATCGTCCAGGCTCCAGGCTGCAAGTGATTTGGAGAAATGGGAATCCATGGGGATTAAGGAGCTCAGTATAATATTAGGCACACCAGAGACTCAGCTCCAATTCACCGTAGAGGCATGGCTTCAAGTTAGTAAAAATATATATATAGATGATTCTTTGCTTATAGTAACACTTCAATACCGTTGAAAACGTTTTTGGGATGTAACCGAGTTGAGTTATTTGCATTGTAGAATAAACGATAAAAGCCTTAACTATATTATATTGTTAAACTATCTTGAAGACAATTTTATGACTAGTATCCTGAAAAGTGTGACTAGCTAGTATGATCATTCCACCATTACGCGTAGGAATCACCAACGAGACTTTAAGTTAGATTTTTTTAAATCACAAGAAAAAAGAGTATCATTACATAGTAGGCAAAAAAACGAGAAAATTGAATAATCATCTTAATGGCAGATGAAATAATTTTGGAATAGTGAAATCATTCCGCCAGTATGAGAGAGTTACCAATGAGCCTCTAAGTTAAGAATTTGATTAACTACAACATTGTTATTGACATGCAAATTGGTTTGACTGTTATATAGATCATCGAATGTAGGAGGGTCTTGAAATGGACCTATGCATATGGATACTACCTACTTAATCATGAACCCAACAAGCGAGGATTTTTCGAGTATTTGCAAGGTCAGTTTTTTTTTGGTATGGAAACACTTATTAGTTTGTGTGTCCCATTAATTTGAGCAGAACATTGGTTGTGTTTATTGTTCATCAGGGGAAGCGGAAACTGGTTTGGAGAGACTTCACCAATGTGCAGAGGAAGAGTTGAAACAGTTTATCTGTAAAAGCAAAGACCCGCGGCAAGATATTATAAAGTTCCAGGTGAAACTGATTAGTTTGAATAGAGCAACCAAAACCTACTTCGAAAATCTGGTGAAAGCTTTGGAGAATGGTCTTGTTGATGTCACACACAATGAAACCCAACCCACAAAAGAATATGAATCTCTTAGCAAAACTATCAAGAGACGCAAGACCCTCGCCACCGCCAGAAATGTTTAGCAACTTGGAAATATTTTTTATGTGACTTGTGTGTTTGCTGAGAAAGAAAGACCGTAGGGGTTTTATTTGTTTAGTATTAAGGTAGTGAAACCTTGGTACTTATTTTGGCTTTTGAATCTTCTTGATTGCTTGATGTCTTGCAATTTTGTTGATTTCCATAAATTGTAAAGTCTCGTTCTGAAGAATTCTTCGAGATCAATACGGCAAATGTAGTCTCCTTCAAGTGGAAGAAAAATGACATTTTCAAATTTCAACACGTGCCATTCAAACATCATTGTGAAACTTCGACAAGCAAAACAAATGATCACACTAGCTAACTTGAATTGTGATTTGTGAGAACTTCAACATCTATAGGAAACAAATATTCTCGTTTATCAATTCTCCTTTTAACATAAAAGCTAACCATAACTTTTTTCTGAAGTCCAACTAAATTATACAAGAACATGAAAAGGAGAGAAAATAATGAAATAAAACTAAAAATATCATATCGGAGTATCGGACCCATCCACCTAATCTCCTACCTTGCGACTTCATCTACCCACCACGTTTATTATATGATTTAGTAAAAAGAAGTTTCTTTTACCAATCACAACTTTTTAATTGTCTTGAAAGTGGAAGAATGATCATACCTTCAAACTTTGGACTCAGTTGTGTTAAAAAAATAAATACTTTTATCCAACACAGTAAATAACGAGACATATATATATATATAAACACTACTATGCCCACTCAACTTACATTAGAACATTATCAACTAGTTTTTGCTCCTTTGGTTGTCCGAACAAATTAACCACACACAAAAAATGAGTGAAGCAAAGGGTCACGTATTGTTATTTCCATATCCAATACAAGGTCACATTAACCCAATGGTCCAACTCGCTAAACGCTTATCCAAAAATGGCCTCACCATCACACTCATCAACGCCTCCAAAGACCACCGTGAACCTTACACCTCCGACAACTATTCCATTACTGTCCACACCATCCACGACGGTTTCTTTCCTCATGAGCACCCTCACGCCAAGTTCGTAGACCTCGACCGTTTCAACAACTCTACTTCTCGTAGCCTCGCCGATTTCATCTCTAGGTATATATATACATGAAATTTTATCTTTGTCAATTACGAAACTATGGTTAGCTAGCTTTTATGACATGGCTATTGTTTCAGCTCTTCTGACTATGCTTTCCGTGGTCGCTTCGCTAGGCGGTGGTTTAGTATAATTAATTATATATATCAACCACTTTTCATGTTTATACAAAGTAATTCAGCCACATCTACATATCTATTATACAAACATCCATATAGCTTTTTTTTAAGAATTTAAAATAGTTTGGATATAATGCAACTCCGTGTAAAACAATAAAACATAATTATTATTATAACTACTGCTAAATTATGTTACTAAGCTTTTTGATAAAATTAAATGCAAAACTTTATAAATCTCTATTCATATATTTCCCTTGTACATGCAGTGCGAAGTTGTCGGACAATCCACCAAAAGCTCTTATCTATGATCCATTCATGCCCTTTTCATTGGACGTAGCCAAGGACTTGGGTCTATACGTTGTGGCCTATTTCACTCAACCATGGTTGGCTAGCCTTGTTTACTACCACATCAACGAAGGCACCTACGATGTTCCCGTTGATAGACACGAGAACCCAACGCTTGCTTCTTTTCCAGGTTTCCCATTGTTAAGCCAAGATGATCTGCCTTCGTTTGCATGCGAAAAAGGATCGTACCCTCTTATACATGACTTTGTGGTTAGTCAATTCTCTAATTTGCGGCAAGCTGATTGCATTCTCTGTAACACTTTTGATCAGCTTGAACCTAAGGTACGGTTATAATTTAGATATTGTTTTGGTCATGTACTTGAGTTTAGAGAAGGTGGAAAGTTTTGTGGAACGTCTTTTCTTTCTTTACAGGTAATGAAATGGATGAATAATCAGTGGCCAGTGAAGAACATTGGACCGGTGGTTCCGTCGAAGTACTTGGATAACCGGTTGCCAGAAGACAAAGATTACGAACTCGAGAACTCGACAGAGCCAGACCAGTCTGTTTTGAACTGGTTGGGGAAAAGGCGGGCGAAGTCGGTGGTTTACGTGGCGTTCGGGACATTGGTGGCTTTGAGCGAAAAACAGATGAAGGAAACCGCAATGGCGATTAAAAAAACTGGATATCAGTTCTTGTGGTCCGTTAGAGAATCTGAGAGAACCAAACTACCCTCTGGTTTTATTGAAGAGATGGAGGGGAGAGACTGTGGACTTGTAGCTAAGTGGGTTCCTCAGCTAGAGGTTTTAGTACATGAATCAATCGGGTGTTTCGTATCACACTGCGGATGGAACTCAACACTGGAGGCACTGTGCTTAGGAGTTCCAATGGTGGGAATGCCTCAGTGGACGGATCAGCCAACGAATGCAAAGTTCATAGAGGATGTGTGGAAGATTGGGGTTAGAGTGAAGACTGATGGTCAAGGGCTCGCAAGTGAGGAAGAGATTGCCAGATGCGTTGTTGAGGTCATGGAAGGAGAGGGAGGAAAAGAGATGAGGAAGAATGTTAAGAAACTTAAGGTGTTGGCTCGTGAAGCTATCTCTGAAGGAGGTAGTTCCGACAAGAATATTAACGACTTTGTTGCTCTTTTCACTTAAACAATTTAAAACTGTGATGTCGTCAGTTTACTAGTTGTTTACCTAATATATGTCTTCTGTGTCGGTTACATTCCGAGTAAATCTTGTTTGCCTCCGTTGGTTGTCCTCTGCAAACAAATCCATATCTGAACTCTGTTAATTAATAAGAAGAGACATCTAATTTTATTTAAGACATAAAGAGCTTTCTTGCTACTTATATAAATATTGTACATTTTTATCTCAAAACGCTCAGTTCTGTGGCATTAGAGAAGTCTAATAGCTCGATGAAGTACTTTCCGTGGTATACATTATACATTGTTACACTATAAGACAGTGACAAATCTGAGAGGGCCGTTTCCTTTTGTTTCTTTGTACGGAGTTTTTAGTAAACATGAGAAGAGAGCTCTTGAAACATGAGAAGAGAGCTCTTGAATTGCTATGTTCCTCGTGTTTCTGAGTCAAACCTCTCCTGGTCTTTTGTATTATTTCCTGAAATATTACCCATTTGATTGAGAAAACAAACTCATAGTCTATGAATTTAAGAGCTAGGTTCTATAGTCCGTTAAGGATAAGAAAGATCACGATTTTAGCAGAATTCAGCTTAGATATGGTGAAACTAGAATGCAAAATATAAATGATAAAGAGTTGTTAAGAGAAAGCTTTTTACCAAGGGAACTTGAATGTATCTTTCCACCATCCCTGTTTTGAGCAGTGTACAAAGATCTTGTCCAATCGAACTATGATCTCAGAAAATGTTGGCCTAACAAAAGTTTCCGTATCCCAGCATTCCTCAATCAATCTGTGTAAATAATAATTGAACCAGTGAGCAGCAATAGGTTGGATAACGCAAGGATATATCAAGGACCAAGCAAATGATGTCACTTTACCCTAAGTGTAAAAACAAGTTCCCTGCAGTTTTGGTTTTATGTTACAAAGTTGATAAAGATTAGAACACTTACTCTCTTAACTCTTGAGGGCAACTTTTGGTCTTGGCCTTAAACGAAGGTCGTCTTCCTTCCAAACACATTAGCTTCACTGCCTCTTCTGGGGGCTTAGGATGGAAAGGTTGTACTCCTTCGATCATCTGAAAAATTTATACAATAAACTTAATCAAATATTACTGCAATGGGATTTGTTACAGAATGGTTGAGAAACAGAAAAACTACTTTTAGAGAGCATATAGTTGAGTGGATTAAACTCAGACGCCAACAAACACAGAGGAGCATTATTGGCAAGCATGTTTGACCATTAGAATAACAAATAGCTACCTCATATAAGACTGACATCACCAATTATGAATTCATAAGGTACCTACCTCATATAATACGACACCAAAAGAGTAAGAATCCACACTCCTGTCAAATACTTCATCTTTGTAAACCTCAGGTGCCATACAGTAATCTGCAAACGATAAACAAAATCATCTGATTAAACCATAGCCTCATGGAAATTGATAATTCTTATGAGTGTTTTCAAAAAGTAGAAACAGTTTCAATACTTAATAGTTGTATCAAAGTTTCTCAGAAATCTAGATGTTTGATCTACATCCTGTTTGCCCAAAAAAAGATTCCCATCCTGTGCCCACAATCCTGGTGCTAGAACTCTGTTGAGAGTCCCAAATGCGAGGCCGTGGGTCGAGATTTTTAAATTTACAAATGAGATATGGACAATTCTTTTGGGCAGCCAGAAGGGACTAAGCATTTAGAACTTACTTGAAGGATCTATATGGGCAGCGTGATTAAGGATTCTGGATTTATCAGATGATAACTTCGTAAAACTTATTAACCCAAACCCGGCCACCTTCAGATGTCCTCCATTATCGAGCATAATATTTCTGGCACCTTACAAGAAGTTGCAAAAATTAGATAACGAGGGTCCAAATCAACGTTCTCATAAAACTTAACGTGGAGATACTTCTTTATTTAGTTGTCTTACTTGGGTTTGAGATCACAGTGGATTACTGGTTCTGGTTTACATTCATGAAGATAATTCATTCCCCTGAGAAGAGTCAAATGATTTGTTTAGAAGATTAAAAACGCGGTTATAATTTAAATCCAATCTTGCAAAAGAAAAAGCACATGCCTGGCCATATCAAGGGCAAATCTTAGAACTTTGGCCGGAGAAAGACGACCTTTCTTTTGAAGATAGCTCCCCAGGTCACCCTGCAAGTTATCAACAATCCGACAAAATTAATTCCTGCAATCCAACAATTTCTTAATGAGGGAAAAATCTTGTAAGGTGTAAAAAGACTGAGAAACTTACTTTAGGATGGTACTCGGACACAATCATCATGGGGACGTTTTGAGTAACCGCTCCAACAAATTGCACAACATTAGGATGACGAACCTTCTCGAATAAAGTAAGTTCGTGTTTGAACGCATTTCTGTGTGTAAACAATAAAACTCAGATGATAAGATTGCAGAGCAAACGTAATACATGAAAAGCAAACAGGATTATATATAACACAGAGCCAGAGGGAATGGAGTAGAATTCAGAAAATATTACCGAAAATGCATAATCATAGAGGATTATATAGGAACTATTATTGAAAAATCATGCAGCTCAGATCATCATCACTAGGAACCTAACAAATGCTTTCAATGATCTATAAATTAAGTCAAGAAGAAATTGAAGCTCCTTTTCGACCTATTGACCTGTTTGCTAACTAAGAGAGATACTCATTAAAGAGAAGATTTAACGTACATAGTTTCAGGATCCTTGTAGAGATCCTTATCAAGTATCTTTACAGATACCTTTGTTCCATTCCATTTAGCCACTTGATATATTCCCTGCTATATAGTACTTTGTTAAAAAGCATAAAATGGAGAAGACTAAGACATCATTACAGGAAAGTCAGGGAACAGAGAGCTCTTGCCTTTGAAATACCATCAGCTTTCCGAACTTGAAGTTCTTGTGGATTTAACTCGTATTCAGGAACTTCACGAGGATTTGTCACAGCCATCGGTGTCCTTTTGGTTTTCTAAAAACCAAGAAGAAATCGGAACTATAAGCACATTGAAGATATATGAAAAGAACAGAGCTCAATGTATGAAAAGAATAGAGCTCGTACTGGAACTTTAGCTCCACGGGCTTTCAAAATGTTGAAAACATCCATGTTACCATAGTACTTAGCATCAGCAGCTGCCTATCCACACAACACAACCAAATTTCAAAACCAAAAAGCACAAATCTAACCAAAAGAGAACCGATTCAAGTCGTGAAACCAGAAGAATCACATTACCGTGCTTCCCCAACGATCTCTAGCATCGATGTTAGCCCTCCTGGTAAGAAGCAGCTTCACAACGTCAACGTGACCTTCACAAGCAGCGATATGAAGAGCCGTACGACCATCAAGATCAATACTATTAACATCAATCCCTTCATCGAGCAGATCCTGAACACCTTCAACATCACCTCTACAAGCCACAAACAGAAGCTGCATAGTGGCGTCGAGATTATCCGGCACAGCCAGCTGCGGACGGTTGTTAGAACCTTCAGGACTCCGGCGAATCGGATCTAGAGACGATTGTCGGCCGAAACTGAAACGCATATTGATCCGGCGAGGATCATGTGAAGCTTGACGCGTGAATTGACGACTAAGCGTCCGACGAAGCGATCCAGTTGAGAATTGTCTCGAGATTCCTCGTTTTAGCTGCCCCGCGATATTCGCCATGATTTTGAAAAAGTCCTCTTTCTCTCTTCTTCCTCCCTCTCTTTCGTCTTCTTCTCAGAACACAAAAACTAAAAAAATCGATTGGGTGGATAATCACATTTTTTTTTTTCAATTTTTTTTTTTGGTTTTGATTCACGAGAAAGTTGAATTGATCTGTGGGGATTATGTTGAGATCCGTCTCAAGCGCGTCGGGTTATCGAGAAGATTTTAATTAAATTAATTAACGACGGGTGACGAAGAAGATATTATTGGCGACTTATTGACTTCGATTTGACTTTTGCTTTCAATCATTGTCCCGCGTAAACATGGACTGTTCTTGATCGTCCACTTTTTTCGGTGGCTTTACCGGATATAAAATTGGGATTATATCTTTTTCATAATTCTGAATTATACCTTAAACTTCCCGGAATTATATAATTAGGTCCTGAAAAGTTATGAGACTGAATAGTCAAGGTCTTTTACGTGGAGCTGACGTGTCTGCCTTATCTAGTTTGAAGCCTTTTGGGCTTTTCTTTGAAGCCATTAATGTCTAAGATCCTTTAAACCGGACCGGACCGGCCGGTTCGACTCACAAATATTAATATACCCGTTCACTTGCCATTTCGTCGGCTTCAGTCTTCTTCAGTAATCAGTAGCAAAAACCTTGGGGCTTCGTCTCTTCAATGGCGGCCATTTCCGTTAGTTCTTCACCATCTCTTCGCTGCTTGAGATCTGCATGTTCCGATTCTCCTCCTGCTCTTGTGTCCACGACGACGCGTGTATCCTTCGCGGCGAAGATTTCATATCTGTCAGGTAATTCTTCGAACCGTGGCGAAGAAATGGGTAAGAGAATGGAGGGAATCGTTAGAAGCGTCGATGGGAAGATCTCTGATGCATCTTTTCCCGAAGCTTCATCTGCGACTCCTAAATCGAAGTACTGTGAATATTAAGCTTCTCCTTTTTGATTTGTAAAAATCAACATTTTTCATGCAATTATCTTTTGGAATTGATTGATTGATTTTTTGCCCTCCTAGCTTTTCCTAATATTCTATTGATTCATGTTGTTGAGAGCTATGAAGTATCTTCTTTCTGATTTCAATACTTGACTTTGTTGCTTCTTCACAGAATTAAATTCCTGAACACTGTTCCGTCATAATATCATTAATGTTTTCTTTGTACGCTAAAGCAGGGTGAGGAAGCACACAATTTCAGTGTTTGTTGGAGATGAAAGCGGAATGATTAACAGGATTGCAGGAGTCTTTGCGAGGAGAGGATACAATATTGAGAGTCTTGCTGTTGGTCTGAACAGAGACAAGGCTCTATTCACCATTGTTGTTTGTGGAACTGAAAGGGTACTTCAGCAGGTCATCGAGCAGCTCCTGAAGCTCGTTAATGTTCTAAAGGTTGTCATTTTCTAAATCCCACTTCTCAGTTTCTACTTCACAATGGTACGGATCAGCTGATTTGCTTGTAGAATTTGGTGGACTTATCAGGATTATGTTCAGAATTCGAATTTGTGCTTAGAATCTTTAGTCATTTGTTTTAAAAGATTTCATTTTCGATTTCCTTGTCCATTCCCTGAATCGTCTTTGACTTGCCAATCAGGTTGAAGATATCTCAAGTGAGCCGCAAGTGGAGCGTGAACTGATGCTTGTAAAAGTCAATGCAAATCCAGAATCCAGGGCAGAGGTAGACTTCCTTGCCTATGGGAAATAAGAGTTTACTGTACTTGTTTGTAGTCTAGTGCATAGGTGGTGTTTATTTTCTTTTCAATTTTGACTAGTTTCTGTCTATGAATTTACAGATCATGTGGCTAGTTGACACATTCAGGGCAAAAGTTGTAGACATTGCAGAACATGCATTGACTATTGAGGTACATCTGCTTATGATTTATGTTGTTCTTGATATCTGTTTCGCACTATAACCTATGTGTTTTAGACTTCTTTTTTGACCCTCTTACTAATCATTGGAATACATAAGAAAATATTTAGGGTATCGTTTAGAAAATGCTGTCCAGTGGTTGGATTTTCGTTACCTTTTGAAACTGGTGACAATCCTCATGCAGACTCAATTATGGTGGATGTAGATGTAGTTTTTGTGTATTAAGGATATCTGTCTGTCTGCTAATTTAATATAATAGAGAAATATCTTCAATAGCTTGCTACCCTTGACATCCTATTGCCTATGCTGATTTCGGTGGGAGTGCTCAATGTTGTTTATGAATGTTAGAGAAGCTGGACCATAAACATATTGTTGTTTTCTTCTTGGTTAGGAGGATATGGAATAAAAATAATTGGGTTCTCTATTTCACATATATCAGATCTTTAGTAATAATTTAAAGCTATCTTGCAGGTAACTGGAGATCCTGGAAAAATGATTGCTGTAGAAAGAAATTTGGAAAAGTTTCAGATCAGAGAGATTGTACGGACAGGAAAGGTAGTGTAGATTGTTTGACTTCTTACATCATCTAGTTTGTGTTTTCTAATGTATGTATGAGTTAGTTACGTCTTTGAGTGGGCATAAAGACATAGATTTCAGTGACTTTCACTAATTTAGGGAAAATGGAATAACGATGTTACATAACAGATAGCACTGAGAAGGGAAAAGATGGGTGCAACTGCTCCATTTTGGCGATTTTCAGCAGCATCCTATCCAGATCTCAAGAAGCAAGCACCTGTTAGTGTTCTTCGAGGTAGCAAAAAAGAAGCCACGGTCCCTCAAAATATAACAACAGCAGGAGTATGTGCTTCTCTCCTCCTTAGATTGCTTAAGCTCAGCTTTAAGTTTCTCACTTTCCTTTCAAAGATCTTGGTTGCATATTAATAGGTTTGACGGTTTTTCTTCCCTTTATGTGGTTGCTGCCTGTGCATGTGATCAATTGGCACTGCAAGGGGAAATTGACAATCTTTAATGATCTGAAAGTGTTAATAGGCTTGCATTTAGCTGAAAAACGTACAAACTATTGTGCTTTTTCGTGGAGCAGAAATTTTTTGAAGCTTGCAATTCTAATGTCCTTTTTCGTTTTCTCGCCCTAGCCACACTGAAGGTTTCCAAAGTTTGCTAATCGTACTGCTAAGAGTTTTTTTTTTTCTTTTTTCTTTTTAATGTAGGGAGATGTTTATCCCGTTGAGCCACCTTCTGACCACATGATACATCATGTTCTCGACGCTCACTGGGGACTTCTCACTGATGAGGACGTAAGAGATTTCTTCACTATGTGTATAACATCTATTGGAACCGCCTTGTGATGCATTCCATAAATTTACTAATTAGCAATATGGAAAATTCAGTTATCAGAATGTGGTTTCCATGTCAAGAATTCCACTTATTTTTTCCACTGTCTGTGACTCTGAATTACAAGAATCAGTTCTGTTAGTAGTATGGACCAATGTTTTCCTAGATTTAAAGTTAGACATAGTTAGGTGTGCTTGATTTAGTTAATGATACATCAATGGAGTGTGTACGATAGTTGTGAAGACTGTATTTATTTACTTACATAGCAGAAATTGCAGGAGTTAGGGTTTTCTCTAAGCTATATTGTTTTTTTATTTATCATAGTTATTCTTTTCTGATCTTTCAGACGAGCGGACTACGGTCGCATACTCTATCTTTGCTTGTGAGTGATGTTCCAGGAGTTCTTAATATTGTGACTGGTGTTTTTGCTCGAAGGGGATACAATATTCAGGCATAGTCTTTACCCCTCTTACACGTGCACACACATTTTGTATGGGGTTGACATATTCACTGAAAAATCTTCTTTTTTTTAGAGCTTGGCTGTAGGACATGCTGAAACCAAGGGCATTTCACGCATTACATTAGTTGTTCCTGCAACAGATGAATCGGTCAGCAAATTGGTGCAGCAACTTAATAAACTTGTTGATGTGCATGAGGTGAGATTGCAAAAAGCAACTGTCATTCTTATATATATTAAACAGTATGAATGTTTTTGATGACCAACTTTCCTTTGCTATTGTAGTTCTAGTACCCTTTGTTAAAATGTAGATTAGAGAAAGAGCTTTCTACTAAATCGTTCTGGACTTTTGTATATCATTTCCTTGTCTTGTGTGTTTACTTGGATGAGATCTCTAGTCCTAATAGTCAAAATGGTCGCATACTTCAGAGCATGAACCGCAACCATCCAAGCCGTTATTAATTTTGTGAGGATTTCTGCAGGTCCATGATCTGACTCATTTGCCATTTTCTGAAAGAGAACTGATGCTGATTAAGATTGCCGTGAATGCTGCTGCGAGAAGAGATGTACTAGACATTGCTAGTATTTTCAGGGCTAAAGCTGTTGACGTATCTGATCACACTATTACTTTGCAGGTAAAAAATATTTCTCATAAATTGGGTTTTATTTAGGTGTAATTGCATCTCAGATGAGAAATCCTTTCGATTGGAGATCTTTAAAGTTTCACATCTTTCCATAGGTCTTCTTCACCTTATTTGACTTAATCAGAGTTCCGTTTGAAAAAATATAGGAAGCAGACTTGGATTTTCCATTGTAATCTGTTTGTTCCTTTAGTGTTTGTTTTCGATTTGGTACTGAAATTTGTTGGCTGTGGATATAGCTTACTGGGGATTTAGACAAGATGGTTGCGTTGCAGAGGTTGTTGGAGCCATACGGTATATGCGAGGTTTGTTTCGCAGTCAACTTTCATCTCTGAGTGAATGCTATATTAATTAATAACCCATGAATTATTTACCATGACTCCTGCTCCAGTTGTTCAGATATGTACTTGTAGTCTGTTAGACTAAAAAACAGAGTGAAATCTTAGTCTCTGGTAAAACCAATAACCAAAGCTGGACCCATTTTTCTGATATATATATAAAATTCCATGTCTTGTGGTGGAGCTTAGAACAAGAAACTGTCTGAAAAGCAGTGCTACTGTTTACTAATGCATCGAATTGATATTTGTAATGAACAATCAATCACAGGTTGCAAGAACTGGACGGGTTGCATTGGCTCGTGAATCGGGAGTGGACTCCAAGTATCTTCGTGGATACTCCTTTCCTTTAACAGGCTAACCAGAGTGCATCCATGGAAGTTTGGAACAGCACGAAAACTCTTCAAGGCAAAAATTTCGTTACACAATTTTATGAGCCAACGCAAATAGAGAGCCAGAGAGACTGCGTAGGTACATTTGTGACTTACAAGTATCAGGTTTTTTTTGGGGGTGGCTCCATTTCAGTTCCTTTCTTTTTCAGATAAAAAAAAAAAAGTTGTTAGGAATTCAATTCCTTTCGTTCGTCTTCTTTTTCCAATAGTGTAATCTCGCAAGATAAATTAATCACAGTTTTAAAGTAAGAAGTTACAGAGATCGCTATATGACAAAGAGGAACACAAATGGACTTTGTAAATATGTTTGTAAACATGTTTATAGACTCAAAAAGGTCAAACTAAGTAAGCCTTGACTGAGCCGGACGAGTACCTAATATTTCATATTTGACACTTAACTTGTCTTCATTCATATTTGTCACTTAACTTGTCTTCTTTTAGAGATACTCTGTTCACTTACATTAATAAACTATACGTGAGTTTAATCTACTTTTTCGATATCCATGTGAGAAGTAAAGGAGTTAGATCAATGCAACTATAAAGCAAAATATTTAAAAAGCACATGGTCGGTTTACTCGTTTATTTTAATTTGTCTGTAGTGACTACAGATTTGAATGGATTCATTTTTTTATAACTCTTTTTTTAATTGTTTTGTCGGCGAAAGGAATAAACTTAATTTGTATTCTTTTGGTCTTCTGTGATGGATATTTTATTAAATCACCTCTGTTTCTTTAATAGTAGTGCTGTACTGTTTAGGAAAAAACAAAATAGTAGCTCTATGTTATAATGTTAATGTGGGTATGCAACACTCGTTTAACAAATGGGTATGTCGCCACCAAACTGGCAGAGGATTAAGTTTGACCTTGCCTTTTCGCGGTGATTTCTCTAATGAGTATTTTGATTTTTAGTTTGTTTTCCGTGACGGTTTAGATCTCATGCTCGTCAACGCTTGCTGTCTCAATGGTTTCATATACAGTAGAAATAACATGACAATGCTTTAGATCGGATTCGGATATTCGGTTTTTTTCATGGGATATCTAAAATTTAGATATTTAATATCTCGAATTCGGATTCGAATACTCTTCATTTCCTTATTTTGACAGGATATAGTAAAGATTGTGCCAAGAATATAGTAAAGATTGATGATAAGTTAGCTATGGTTATTGCTGATGAGAAGAATGAACTGAAGAAATCTATTCGTTTGGCCAAGAAAAGGAATGAGGAGAAAGCCTCTCACGAAGTGGCTGTGAGCTTATATATGAATGAGAGTCTTGTATTTGCTTATTATGAAGTGATGTCCTTTTTAGTTTTTATGTTAAGGAGAGTGTATTTAACATTAGACCAACTTTAGGTTAACGTATCTTTACGGCATTAACATCAAAATCTCTCATTTCTCGCCTCTTTCTATGTCACGGATGAGCGTAAATAATAATAAACTAAGAATACGACAACAACTCGGATTAGGTGACATGGCACCAGCCACCATCCCTAGAAAAGTCATCGAGTCCAGTAGTGGTGACTGACCTCCATCAAGTTCTTACAAGGGAAACAAATTCTATTGTCCATTTTAAAGTTTAATATTTTTTTCTTATAAGTTTAAACTTTAAACACTTCATTTATCTCTTTATTACATGGACTCAAGGAGTGAAGTGAAATAAAAGCGTGTAATTTTTATTTTTTTTAAAAGAAGGCACTAACAAAAGAGTTTGTGGCTGCTGAAATTCTTCGAACTGATGATGATGTTGATGTTCTGCTTCTGACTACATTCTCTCTCTTCTCTCTCTTTCGCAGCTTCTTCTTCTTCTTCTTCAATCTTCATCTACGGCTGGTCAGAGACCACCCCCCCACCCCCCCCCAACCCCCCCCCCCAAAAAAAAACGAAAAAGGATCGAGCTTTATTCAAATCCTTGTTTAAAATTCGAGCTCTTTTGGTGTTTCTCTGGATGTAACTGAATCATCTTCAATCTCCGATCTTTGATCGATTCCTAGTTTCTTCACAGCTTGGGGTCGATTTTACATCAACTGTATAGAGTCTTCTCTCTGAATCGTTTAGTTGGGTTTTTTCTTCTTCCTCTTCTTCTTCTTGCTATTCATGGATTCTTCGAGGTGATGATGTCAACACAAGCTTTATGTGTAATTAGAGATTAGGTTTTTTGTTTTTGGGTTTTTGTCTCCATAGATCATCTGGGTTTAGGTATTTTTTGTTGATAACGACGATAAATTTCGAGTAACAATAGATATGACTATAATGGAGGAGAAGCAGAACAGTCCTGTGGGAGAGAAGCAACAACAGAGCTTTAATGGTATAATATTAAACCAAACACAAGAGAAGCAGACTAAATCATTGGAGAAACAACAGAGTTTCCGATGTGTGGTGGAGAATCAACCGAGAAAGGCCAGAGCTTTAGAGAAACAAGTGAGTTTCCAAGGTGTTCATGTAGAGAATTATCAGCAAAGCAGATTCGGGAGATCAATGGAGAAGCAACAGAGTTTTCGAGGTGTCAACGTTGAGAATAATCATAAACGTGGTGTTCTAGAGAAGCTACCTAGTTTTGGTAAAGCAACGATGGAGAGGCAGAAGAGTTTCCGTGGTGGGTTTCTAGAGAAGCAGAAGAGCTTCCGTGTGGTGATGGAGAGGCAATTGAGTTTTATAGGTGAGAGGAGGAAGAAGACTGAATCACCTGGGAAAAGAGGAGATTCGTCTCTACATATCGCTGCTCGAACCGGGAACCTAGGTAAGGTTAAAGAACTGATTAGAGGTTGTGGCGATGGCGGTGGGGAAGAGTTGAAAGAATTGCTGTCAAAGCAGAATCTTGAAGGAGAGACTCCTCTTTATTCTGCAGCAGAGAATGGGCATTCGATCGTTGTTGAGGAGATGTTGACGCATATGGACCTTGAAACTGCTTCCATCGCTGCTAGAAATGGGTTTGATCCATTCCATGTCGCAGCCAAACAAGGCCATCTCGGTATTAAGATTTTTTGCTATCTTCAAATTTTCTCCATTCTCTCAAGTCTCAATGGATTGCTCTCTTACTTGGCTTGGCTTCTTTTGCAGAGGTGTTGAAGATACTGTTGGAGACATTCCCAAATTTGGCAATGACAACGGATTTATCATGTACAACTGCCTTACACACAGCTGCAACACAAGGACACATTGATGTGGTGAATCTTCTTTTGGAGACAGACTCTAATTTGGCTAAGATTGCTAAGAACAACGGTAAAACTGCGCTTCACTCTGCAGCAAGGATGGGTCACGTGGAAGTTGTTAAATCTCTGATATGTAATGATCCAAGCATTGGGTTTAGAACCGATAAAAAAGGGCAAACTGCTCTTCACATGGCTGTAAAAGGTCAAAATGATGGGATTGTTGTGGAGTTGGTGAAACCTGATGTTGCAGTTTTGAGCGTTGAGGATAACAAAGGAAATACGCCATTGCACATTGCCACAAACAAGGGGCGTATTAAGGTAATGGCTCTTAACTTTTTCTCAACTATCCAAAATTGGTATTTGGCAACTCTAAAAGAAGGGATTCTTCATCATGGAATGGTGATCCTTTTCAAGTTTGCAGTTGATTTTAGTTCTCATGTAAACTTTTAATTGACTGCTGTGCAGATAGTGCGGTGTTTGGTATCTTTTGAAGGCATTAACCTCAACCCTATAAACAAAGCTGGAGATACGCCACTCGATATTGCTGAGAAGATAGGAAACGCAGAGCTTGTGTCAGTTCTGAAGGAAGCAGGAGCCGCTACAGCTAAAGATCTTGGAAAGCCTCAGAACCCAGCTAAGCAACTAAAGCAAACGGTCAGCGACATCAAACACGAGGTACAATCCCAGCTTCAGCAATCCAGACAAACAGGTGTAAGAGTCCAGAAGATAGCAAAAAGACTCAAGAAGCTTCACATTAGCGGTCTAAACAACGCTATAAACTCAGCAACTGTTGTGGCTGTACTTATTGCCACGGTGGCTTTTGCAGCAATCTTCACAATACCCGGTCAGTACGAAGAGGACAGGTCGAAAGGACCGTTGCTAGGACAAGCTCATATAGCAAACAAAGCACCGTTTCTGGTCTTCTTCATCTTTGACAGCTTGGCACTATTTATATCTTTAGCTGTTGTTGTGGTGCAGACTTCAGTTGTTGTGATTGAGCAGAAGGCGAAGAAGAAGCTTGTGTTTGTGATCAACAAGCTCATGTGGTGTGCTTGTTTGTTCATATCCATTGCCTTTGTTTCTCTCTCTTATATTGTTGTTGGCAAACAGGAGATCTGGTTGGCTGTGTGTGCCACTGTTATCGGCGGCACGATTATGTTGACTACGATTGGTGCAATGTGCTATTGTGTGGTCATGCATAGGATGGAGGAATCTAAATTGAGGAGCATAAGGAAAGAGAGAAGCAAGTCTCAGTCTTTCTCTATGTCTCATATGCCATCTGATTCAGAGATTCTAAATGGTGAATACAACAAGAGAATGTATGCCCTCTGATTTGTAGAGAATTTGGGCAACGATATCTCCTCAGAATGTAAGAATAACCAATATATACTTGTATCTTGTACCTATAAGATTACTATTTGAGCTTCTCAGCTAGAATAACAGATCTGTAATGAGTTAGTTAGCTGTGTAATGTCTACCCGACGAGACAGAGAGAGAGAGAGAGAAGTTCATTGTACCCTGAAGAATAAACTCAAAGGCCAAGGCAATGCTCTTTTTTGATATCCAATAAATTAAAGACTGAAAATGAAGAAACTATAACTGGATGTAACCCGATACTTAGGTGTGAACATAAGAAATTTGATCTCCTACTGGGTCTGTTAGCATTTCTTTTGATGACTTCACAGTTTCTTGTGCTCCTAAGATCTAGCTATAGTTGTGAATTGTGATGTTAACTGGAATCATCATTAACCCCGTCTGGTGGAGTCATCGGTTCTGTGTCTGGTGCTTCCACCGCGGTTAGTATCTGTCTGGTAACGAGTGGAACCCTCTAGATTCTTTGTCATGCTGTTTGTTTTAGAATGAGCAAGACTAAGGGATTTGGCAGCTGATGAGGAGTGGCAGACTTTGATAGAGTGGTTTGTTGTTTTGGTCGAGCAGCTTCCCTGAACGAATATGATCAAGGTCACTTCTTTGTCAGAAGTGTCTTCGCACAATGAGTTTTGTTGGATACCATCACTGGACTCGTCTGAGTTGTGAAAGTCTTCATGATGAACCTTCACCTGCAGTGAAGCATCTGGTTTTATAATCCCAGCTCCTGGAGAAACCTACAGAAATATATATATTTGTCAATAATAAATATCATTAAATCTTGTCAAGCCGTATGGCGTAAACAGATTCATTGGCATAAAAGGAGGAAATGAACCTCAAGCCAGCGAGGGAGACCAAATGTGCCTCTAGAATGATTCTCGGGTTCCTCCCCATCCTCTCTAACGAGAGTTGGACCCTTACAGACAATGTTGAAGATAGCTCTACTCGAGTTTGAAGTGTTTCTGATTGTGAAGATGAATGTATCCTGATTATGAAGAAGTATACTGTTGGTGCTGACTGATGTTTCTGGAACAGATTTTAGTTCCTCGAACATGGATCTGAGTTTCTCATTGGACCTTACTATTTTCCCTAGCTCCTGTCTTCGCACAGATTTATCGGTGTGAGCTATGTTAGCATGAAGTTTGCACCGCACGGGTTTGTGATCACTCTCAGTAACATCCATACAAGCTTCATACCTGCAAACACAAAGCATAGGAGGGTGGTGGGAAAGAGTGAAGAGGAAAGAAAAGAGAGGAAAGATCGCGGGATGGAATACTACATTACAGTTGACGCAACTACAGGGCACTGCAAACTGCACTCCGAATATGAGATTGATTGGTTGTCTCTATATATAACTCTGTCACACCACGCGGGTATTCGCTTTTTCTCCCCTGAATCATACCCTGGAGATAGGAGCAGCATAAAAATAAATTACATTGTCCAAATCTTTCTCTAACTACCAGATTGTTTAGTTAGTGAGAAACTAGAGTCACAATCTCCACAATGATAGAGCAACCATGAAAAATTTGCAGAGTACTGTATTTGAAATCTATATTTTTACCTCCAAGACCTGGTTTATTCTTTTCTGTATTTGAAATCTATATTTTTACCTCCAAGACCTGGTTTATTCTTTTCAAATTTGTAAGTCGGCGGGAAGGTGATCAACGCCTCACGCATTCCCTGGAACACTTTTCCCTCATTCATCTCTTGCCTAAGTTGGTCTTTCTCTCTGAGCCAATCAAAAGATCGGTGTGAAATGAAGTCTCTTGCTTCATCATATGTTATACCAAACAACCTATAATTGAAGTCACCGAAAAATGCAACCAGATCTGCTGCTGCTAAATCAGACTTCTCCTCTTCACTGCTGATGTTTGCATTCTAGGAAAAAAATATTAAGAGCAATAAACATTAGCAAGGGACAAACAACAAAAGCTTAAGACCGAGATTGTGAACCATGCTGTTAGTAGTGCTAAGATAGTAAGTTGAAGTTCTTACACTGTTATTCTTTAGCGCTTGAGCAGAGGTTGACGCACCAGCTGCAAGAGAGAGGGCCCAAGGCAAGCCAGAAGAATAAAGCAGCCAAAATAAGTACGTGGAGAAGCCAAGTGAGCAAGACAAAAACAGGTACGGTACTATACCAGCTGCAGCAGTATATACACTTTGTCCCTTGGAGAAGACCATTGACCGATATATGTGGTTGAAATCCGCGTTTCTCCGGGTAACTGCCTCCAAGTGAGCAGCCAAGTGACAGTTCACAAAGCACATAATTCGGTCATAAACTCTGATTCTCAAACCCACACCACCCTGTTTTTGACAATGTAGGAACAACAAATGTGAGCAATAAGATCAACAGTGATGACTCATTTTCATTGGAGGTTAGCCATCAAAATCCATTATCACTGATTATTGGACCACACATCAGACAATGATTTTTGTATTATACAGAACCAAGTGTACGATAGCTGTAAAGACAAACCTTGTTGCCAATGGCGCGGCCAAATCCACATGGAACTGCCGCAACATCAAGATCTCCGACATGTGTTCTTATACTCTTCCTCACCCTAAGCAGAAAGTTACAAGACATGAGGTGGAAAAAGATGGTTAACCGGGAAGGTATGATTTAACTTTACACTCTTAAGACAGGTTAAATACTTCAGGTGCTATGTAAGGAACTGTATCTGGTCCACCTGCAATCACTCGAGACACCAAAAACTGTAACAAGTCTGAAATTATTTTTTTTTGCCTACCAAAGAGATATTAGCAGTCCTGCCAACTGCCTTGAACCCATACGTTCGAAAGTATTTCTCTCATCCAGTGCATTTCCAATTGCATCAAGCCACCATTGGCCCACGGCACTTCCTTCAACCCCTACCTACAACCGAAACACCAATATGAGCTGACTTAAAATCTGTAGACAAATAGCATTGTCCCGATATTAAGCAAATGACCGCATGCATCATTTTAAACATTCTACTGAAGACAGTTGTCTCAATAGCACAGTTGTATCAATAGTGATCGTAGGTAGTACTGGACCGGTTTTGCGTGCAGTAGTTGGGTTAATGATCGGGTCAGCCGGTTTGGATTATGAAAAACAGTCATGAGTAAATAACTGTAAAACAAGGAGTTACCGTTTCCTTAGCAGTGGACATGGCTAGGAAACCAGCCCCCATATCCACCTCTTGCAACCCAATAGCAACAATGCCGACATCTGAAACAGCAGAACTCAGCCAAGACACAAGCGCTCCACGTGAAGCTCGCCCTTCACCAACATTCCAGGTACCAATCAAGATTTTAACACTGTCTTGTCGGGCATATGTCAAATCCTTTTGAGACAGTTCCGTTCGGATTACGCTGTCTAGAGGTCCTGGAGATGTCACATACCATCCTCTTACACCACCATGAGTGGCTAAGCTAAAAATGAAACCACCACCTGCTGCTAGCTTTATCACAGGTTCATTGTGTGATACCCAGCTTGCAATTAGCTTTCCACCAAGATCCAAGACCTGGATGTAACCACTTGCATAACCCACATATATCCGATCACCAAAAGTGCAAAAGCACAGAACAGCCTGCTGATGATGATTCACCTCCCGCAAGCGGTTGCCATTTCCGTCCCACTGAGCAATTACGCCATTCATGCTTCCAGTCCAAATTGATCCATCTGCTGCTATCACAATAGCTTCTACTTTCCTAGTGTCTTCTGCAAAAGCTCCTGCACTTCTAGTGGCTGCTCGACGAACAGCTCCTGCAGCTCCCATTATGGCATGGCGTGATCTTTGTAGAAAACCCTGTGACTTTTCCTTTTTTGGTGCGGAGAAGAACTTGACTTTCGTTTCTTCAACTTGTTGACCTTGCGCTGGTGGCATGTCCACACGATTTTCAACTTGTCCATCAATATTAAAAACTTTCAGAAGCTCTTTATTCTGAGCATCCCTGCACAGATAGATCTCTTTAAATGAACGTAATAGAATCACGACAGAAAAAGTTCCAGTATTGAAGACTAATGCATGCCATTATTCTCAGAGGAAAAAGGTCTTACCAGAGTGAGAATAAGAGGTGCTGCACAGCCCATACTTTAGCTCTTACTGTATCAACTAACAAAAACTTGACATCTGACGAAGATATGCTGCATGTACCATTGACAGTAACTTGGCTCCTCAGGTCAATGCCAGACCTCTCCACTAACAATGCGGCCATATGCTTCTCCTCCTGCTTAAGCACAAGAGACTTCTCTAAAGAATCCAAAGTCCATATTTTTATCACACCGCCATCAGAACATGACCACATATCACCTGCATCATAAAATAAAAAGAGACCAAAACGATTTGAGAGTCCAAATACGGACCATCAAAAACTAGTTACCCTCTAGAATTAGAGATCACTAACCATATGAGCTTATGACAATATAATTCACAGGCCCACGATGAGCTTGCCACGAGAGTCGTTCCTTGAAAGGCTTTGAATCATCCGCATTAGTTGTAATTGGCTGATCCATTTTCCAGGCCCTAATTTTGCCATCCTTGTGGCCGGTCCAAACAAGCCTATTACCGTGGTCAATCATCATACACAAGGCAGGCGAGGTCGGAACAGATTCATGAAACGGCGCTGTATCTTCATCCCCTCGACGTGCCTGCCCGCTGAAGCCACAACCAACCTCGTATGCTTCCTCCAAGTTCCAGAACCTCACGCCGTTCTCTTGACCCGCCCATAGCTGACTTTCTGTGCAAGCAATGTTTCTCAGGAACTTTCCCGTCTGTGTCTCTCTTAATGGATGCGGACGGAGCTCGAGACATGGTGGCCGTCCGGGATTCACCGCAGCACGCACCGGCACTTTGAATACGTCAGTGCCGCCTCCTGCACCGATGAATTCTGGAAGAGACTCGATATCGTCCTCCCCACCGCCATCATTTTCACCGCGATGCGATGCTGGTTTGGATGGAGGTGTGACAAAACCATAATCATCCCCATTGCCTCTTTCGCCACCGGTTCTGCCATTGATGATGACTGCTCCTTCGGTGGAAAACTCACCGTCAGAGGAATCAAAGTAAATAGCTTCAGAATCCGACGTTACAGATCTAGAGCCCTCGTCAAGGCTATATTTGCGGATCGGGTGGTGCGGCCTCTGTTCATATTGCTCAACATAGGAATGTGTCTTACGCGGTGGCAGCGGATGAGCGGGGACGAGCGATGCTAGCGCCTCCCGCTCATCTGCTTCAATGATAACCGAATCCATGGACAAATATCAAAAAGAACTCACAAAATGAAGAAATTTGGAAATCGGAACGAATCCAACCATGAAGAGGAAATGAGAAGGAGACATGGTGGGAGATTGAGAGAGAGCGAGAGAGAAAGGGAGAAGAGAGCACGTCACAGGAGAGAGAAACATGGTGATCAAGTGTTTACGGACGCGAAGTCTCTGCTTCTGTGACTCATAATTTATCATGTTCTATAAATAGCAATTTCAGAAGAAAAAAAACATACATTTCACATTCAAAAGATTGATTCCTTCTTCAGTTCATACATTTTCTTCATACTAGAGAAGAAACTACTTTACATAAGTTCACAAAGGCTCATGCTTAATTGACACTTACATCGACCAAAGGAATCTGTTCTTGCGAATTATCCACAACATTCAAACAAGGTGGTTTTGCAGCTCCATAATAGAAGAAGGCCATAATTTTAGAAAGCTCATCTGCTGTTCTAATGCCTGAAAATATGTTAAATTGTTCTAAGTACAACAAAAAGGTTAGAGATTCCAGTACTGAGCGGTTTAAGGTTTAGACACAATACCTTTCTCACGGTATAGTATCTTTCCAGCTTTAGTGAAGATGATCTCTGGGAACACAGATACTTGCAGAGCAGAGACTAAATCTGTCTCAACCACAGCATCAACAGCAACACACTGGAAGTAATAATGACCCATGAGGATTAAAGCACAGAACAAAACAGACAGCAAAATCTAAGAATAGTTTTAGAAATAATATAGGGATATTCAAAACTTACTCTCGGTGAAGGAAGTCCACAGTTCCATATCATCTGAATCGCTTTCTCTAGTTCTTCCCTGAATTTTTCGTTTTCCTTTGGCCTGAAATTAGCCAATACTCGTGTTAAATTTAAACAACAAAGCTAGAACTACTATAGTCAGGATTGATTTATTCCATAAAGTCAAATTTAAGCAAGAATAGAGAGCCAGAACCGTCTACAATTACAGTAAAGGTTGAAACTTTCTAAACACTAAAGTGAGTTGAATACATAAAACAAAACAACCCAAACGATAATCAAATTCAGGAATGAGGATAGAAACTAGTAAAAAAAATGTCAGAATAGTTCCCAAATGTGACAAGCAAAACAAGTATGAAATTTAGCAAAGTCACGTGTGAGGAGACTACCAGCAGAAAAAGTTTGGATAGTAAAAGAAACTGTTACTACAACCGACCTTTTGTAGCGGTTGTGAACAAGAACCATGAGAGGACTGATATCTTTGAACACCGTCTCCTCCCATTCTGCAGTTGTGAGATCTTTAATCGGGCGTATATAGTTATCATCTTGCCAAACAATCTCCTTCTCACTATCCTCTCCTTGATCATCGTCGTCATCATCATCATCCTCCTTCTTTTCATTCTTAATGGTTATCTTATTAAAGAACTGGTTGAAACTGAATCCCCAACCCTCAGCATCCTCAGGCCAATTGGGATCCTCTTCATTCACAACAAGTGGGTAATCAGCAAGAAGCTTTTGCATCTTCCTCCTCTTCTCAACCATATCAATCTCTTCCTCGTCTTCGATATCGGGATGCTTATCCATCACCTCTCTTATCGTCTTCCTCCATTCCCGTCTCTCTTCTGGATCATCGAGACTCGCTTCATTTCCTAATCTTTTGCCGGCAGAGGTATCTTTTTTCACTTCATCTTCCTCATCTTCACTGTCACTATCTTCTTCTTTTTCTCTCCACACTTTCTTCCCAAGTTTATCAACTAACCCAAAAGCTTTCACATTTCTTCTTGAACTCGTAACATTCCCCTTCTAGCACCCATACGTCAGAGCGAAAAAAAGGTTTCAACTTTAGCCAGTTTGGAAATTGGAACTCATGTAATACTCAAAACTAAAGATTATCCAGAAACTAACCGAATAGGAGGAGGCAATTTTCACCGAACCAAAAACGTCAAAACGATCTCTTTTGAAATGGGGAAATAATGGGCAAGTGCTAAATCCAATTTCTTGAACAGGGCAAGTGAAATGTGTAGAATATGGAAGAATCATTCCTCCTGAAACAAAAACAAACAACATTGAAGAAATCGAACACCCATCGAGATTTTTCAAGTTCAATTTCAAAATTGAATCGCCCAGAGGAAAAAAAGAAAAGAAAATAGAATTGAATAGAAATCAACAAAACCTTACTACTTGAGTTGTGTTGTGGTGGAAACAATCAAAAGCTTGAATTTTGCCACTCGATTTGAAAAACTGTATTTGACTCTGCTTCTTCTTCTTCTTCTTCTTCCTGTCCCGGCAACCAAAAACAAAACAAAAAAGAAAAAAAGAAAAGACTTAAAACCCTACAGAAACCTCGGTTTTGTTCTTTGGGATAGAATCACACAACGATGTTTTATTCAATAGTATCATGACACGTCAAACACATAACTTTTGTTCTTGTTTTTTTTTTTTTCAAAGGGATTATAAAAGTTTCTCAATTAAATTTTGTTATTATGGTTTCGCTTTGAAGACAGTGTCACAGTGAACTAAAAATATGTTTAATTTAGAATTACTAATTATGTTTACATTTATTTTCAACTGACGATAAACACACAAAAAAATAAAATTGGAAAATACAGAAGAGAAGTTTGGATTTACCGATTTACAAAAGAGTTTGGTATAAACATAAAGAGAGTTGGATTAGGAATTGTAATGATAAATCAAAATCTATTTAAACACAGTAAAAGGGATCGGAATCTATTTCGTGTCATATAGCCGAGAAATAAACAACAGTTGCTAAGTGCAAGGACGAGATGGATCGTTTCGAGTCTGAATCAGAAGAAGAAATAAAAAGATCCCGGAGAATCTTTTTTGACGTACCAAGGAGAAAGAGAAGCAGGAGGACCACGCCCAAATATAAGGCTCCACCTTCGTCTCCTACTGCTTCAACTCTTGCTCCAGCTCCAGCCCTAGCTTCTGTTGCAACTAGACTCAATGGCCTCCGTCAGGATGAAACTGGAATGTCTGGCTCTAGCACTGGCTCCTGCTCCAGCACCGGATCCAACTCCATGCTGATATAGCTCAAAAACCAGCTTGTCCCACCGCCTCTGGCTCACGTTGTAAACTAGAGATTCTGAAAACTACGGGCTGACTCTGCTTATTGTGAGAACTCTACCTTCCATTCCCGTGCCATGCAAGTTTTTAATTATTATTTTCTAATCATTTTTTACAATAGTCTGCAAATCAGATTTATGATACTTAAAATTGTGTGTTTAGGGTTCATACAATTTATGATACTTAAAAATTAACGCAGTTGCTTTGACTTTGGGAATAGATTTGTAATTTGTTTAGTTCTTTCTTATTTCCTGCTTTATATGATCACTAGTCGGTTGCCCGCGCGTAGCGCGGGAGTTTATTATATGTTGTTTATGAGTAATTGGTTCGTATTTTATTTTCTACTTATTTTTTTCACTATACCATACTTTATTTTTTAAAACTTAAATTGTGTTTTTATAGAAAAGCTATTGAGTTTTAACTTCATTAGTCGCTGAGAAATTAAGTCTGTATAGTATAAGTCGAAGTGTAAGTGTAAATGGAAGTGCGGTTGAGAATCATTGAGAAACGTGTGCTATTAAGGTTTTTACCAAATATAGATCTAAATGTTAATATTTTGGGTCCTTTTATATGTTGGCATGAAATTTGAACATGATTTGTGGGTTTCGGGCGTACTGTTGTATTTTTAATTGTTTACATTATCTCTTTATATATTGTCATAATTTATTATGTTTTGTTTTACATTTTCCTTTTTTGGATTTGTCGTACTTTATATCTCGTAATGATCATTTATATACTATTATATATTTTTCTGATTTTATGTTTTATATATTTTTTGTTTTTTCATATGGAACAATTTTAAAATTTAACATATTAGTATAATTTACTTTATATTTAGTTTATTTCATTTAATAATATTTTATTTTAATTTTCAATTTTATGAAATATAGTTAATTTTTTATTTTGTTTATTAGTTTAACATATGTGTTGTGGAAACAAATAGTTAAATTCATATTTGAAACTTTTAAAGAAATATTATTTTTATTTTTACCTTTTTATATGTTTATAAAAAATAAGAATTCATGTTTCGGTCCGACCTATCTCACTTATGTTAGAAAATTATTTGAGACATAAATTAGATAGATTTATATTCTCAAAATTTCTTACTTTTTGTTTTATTCCCGTTAAATCCCATTATATTTAGGTTTACATTGGGTAAATATAATCATATATATATTTTAAACATTCACTAAAAACTATAATCTATTATTTATATATTTGTTAGTATAATCGATAATTAGTAAGTTTTTTAAAACTCTTAATCAATTATCTTTTTTAGTTTATAATGTATAATATAAAAAAAGAACTTTCATATTCATTTTGGAAAAACTTATTTACATAAGTTTAAATATTAATATTAAATGATAAAATGGTATAATTAATTTTAAAAATTAAATAATAAAATGAGGTGGATGATGATGTGGCTTAAGGAGAAAAGAGAAAAAGTTAACTTTATATATATAGATGCATGCAATTTAATCCATCCTTGAGAGTTCGAGATACGTTTTTATAATTTGATGTATAAACGAGAAACCAAACCTGATCTAGCTAGTCACTAGAGCTTCAGATCCAAATGTGTAGTAATATATAATAAAGTGATAAGTGATAAGTGATAACTCTGAACGAACAAGGACAATAGAAAATTAAGTAAATGGAAACAAAGAAAAAGACATTAAAAACAAAAAAAAGCAATGGCGGCAACAAAATTGATTTGAAAGCTTGAATTTGCCACTATGATCGGGAAGCGGTATTTGTTTGTGCTTGTCTTCACAAAAGGAAACCTAAGCCTCATAAACCCACCAGTTGTTGTATTTGGGATAGAATTACAGACCAAAACTCGTCGGATAAAGCAAGTATGCATGGCCGATCCAACAAAAAATCTTGGTCTGCCTAATTAAAGAAAAGAAAGTCTATGTGATTTAATTTCCTTGATAATTATATTTATAATTTTAATTAACTAGTACTCTTTACATTTTATAAATATGTATTGTCGTTTTAACACTTTTCTTTTGTAAGATAGTAAGAGTGTCGTTTTGTATATTCAATAGTTAATCTCATTTTTAACTTGTTTTTCTTCTGGGTCGGACCTCGTGACACGCGTTTACACACTAATAAAAAAGTTTTGGACACCGATTTAAATGTTTTTGGAAATCACTAAATATGTTAAAAATATATTTCTCAAATAAGAAAAGACTGGTCAATCAGAATACAAGAAATTACAAATTAAATTACTTTTTTGCGAAAAATAAAGTAAAGACAAACCAGTGGAGTAATTGGAAAAAGATTAAGAAGCAGCTAACATCTATTTAAGTAGCAATCTTCTTCTCTTCTTATTCATCCCACACTCTCCCTACCAATCAACTTTTGGCTATCCCTTCTTGCTTAGAAAGCCATACAAACTTCCTCGAGAGTGCGCGAAGATGGATGCAGAGAGTGACCAGAGGATATTTGGTGATATCCCAAGGAGAAGGAGAAGCAGGATGAATTACTCATATGTCTCCATGCCGGCATATCTGGTTCCACCTCCGTCTCCTGTTTATGCTCCAGCTCCAGCTCCATATGCAGATGTGTTTGTGATTGTTATTATCATTGTGTTCTAAGTGTTATGTTATATTGTGCGGATCTTTTTGCAATATAGCTCGTTACCTTCCTTTGAAATATGTAATTGAATAATAAGTATGGAACTATTTCATTTTCCCTTTTTGCACTCTGGCTTGTATTTATTTCACTGCCTTTTATTTCATTTATACTTCACTCCGCAATACAAATGATATTTCTCTGTCTGAAAAGTGAAACCAGACTGAGATTTGTTGCTTCAACACAACTGTTTTGAGTCAATAGTACTGTTAAGCAGATTTGATTGAAATAAGCCAATCAAATAAACCAAGTTTAGGCTCTCTTCTTTTCTTGTTTTTCAACCTCTGGTTCGAATACTTGACCAGCTTCCTCCATAGATCTCCCACAGTCCATCCTTTAGATACAACCAATTCCGTTACCTGTAGCAAAGCACCACAAACAAATCAGCACAGAACATTGTTCTGTTTTGTAATTTGATGTTGTGATGAGAGGGTACTAAACCTGATTTAGATTATGGAGTGCTTCAAATCCAAAAGTGTAGTAAGACATGTAAGGTCTTCCTGCCTGAGAAGGATGTAATGTTGTGAGCCAATAAAATCCATTGGTTGGTATCAAGAAATTGTTGGAGATAAGATTGTGTAAGATTTGACCTGTGAAACAGCAAGCCATTGAAGAAGAGACTTGAGCTCAGGATCTCCACCATAAGCACCACATCCCCAATTCCCTGTAGCAACACCGACTCCATCTTCATGATCTATGCACTGCGCGTTGCTCTGATTTTTGCAGACGTGGAGGAAACCACAGAGAGCCTTATTGGTTTCCCTAAAGAATAAAGGATCAAACAGGAACAAAGAGACTACAATGTTAAGTAAACGGTTTGATATAAGACTTGTAAATGTAAGAAGTTATGATACAACTTTACCTGAGGAGTGATTCAGGTTTGTATTGAGAGACTCCAGGGTGACGCAGAGCATCGATGGCTACTATTCTCGTTTTTCGCCTTCCGAAAACATCTGTATCCTTTGTATCAATGTAGTCACCGGAAAACCGAAACGAAGATGAATATCTGGAGAAATTAGAAAAACCATTGTTAACAACATTTTTTTTCAGAATCACATTTCGTGTCTTGGTTTATAACTTAAAGTACAGATCTACTCATGTACCCTGTGTAATGAGAGAATCTTTGTGCACCAACAACTTCAATAGCTTCATTTACTTCCATGGTTGGTAAGAAGAACATACCAACGATCAGTTCGGGGTTGATCATGAATCTAATCTCTTCCTGTATTTTCCAAGAAAATTATTCACATCAGGAAACTTCAAAAGATCAAAAGGGAATTTAGGTTTAGGGTTTACTGACCTGGACACATCCCTTACGAAGAGCACCTCCTCCTAAGTTCTTGTTAGCAAAGTCAACTTCAAGAGCTTCAACGCTTTGATCCTCTATCAAACCACAAGTATGAACCTAGACCATTAAAACTGCAAATTAATCACCAAACCCTTCACAGATCCTATTGAATATCAAACATTACATCTCATCTGGTTTGTTAATTACCTCAACAGGGCAGAGTTTGACAGTAGAGTTTCTCCAAAAGCGTTCATCAAGCAGACAAGCTTCGAGACCAGAAGTATCTTGTTCTAAAGAGAGAACCTTTCTTTCGAATGAGACGAATCCAGGAGGGATACATGAAGATAGCCTCTGGAAGTAATGCGTTATGCATTTTATCTTGTTCTCTTGATGATCATTTCGTCCTGTGTTGATCAGACTTCTGCAATGAATCAACACAAGATCTTAGATCTTGAACAATGGACATTAAATTTGTTTGAAAATGTGTACCCGAATAGTTTGTCGAAATTGATGATTGGAAGATGGTTCGAGCCTCTGTTATCGACAGGGAACAAACAGAAGAAAGAACATGAAAGCAGTGCTCCTATGAGTTCCTGCCATGGCCAAAACATAAATCAAAATTCCAGGTTTCAAACTCTGTGTTCTGTATTGAAGTGGTAATTGGGGTTTAAAAGATATACCTGGCTGAGGAACACAATGCCAGCTTTCTTGGGGCCTAAGACACGAAGACCGGTTTTGGTTCCACTGATGAGATTGTCTGAATTTAGATAGTGTAATTCCAAGAGAGATGGGAATCTTAGAAGAAGACAAGCCATTGCAGGTAAAACCTCGTTAAACCATCTGCTTGATTCTTCTTTCGACATTCTCTGTACCAAACCAAAACATTATCCATTCAATCAAATCCAAATGATTTGGAAAAAAGAAAAAAAAACACAGTTTGAGTTTTTGTTACCTCGTCAAAGTAGAGAGCGTAGCCTTGAAGTGCTGAAGAAGAAAGATAACAAGTCAAAGAGAGAGCTTGCCTCATGTCAGAGATGGAATCAAAGAGAGTTTGTCCCGAATCGACTCTGCTGTGACTCGGTCCTTTGGTCATAGCTTCTAGAACCTCCACCAAGTGCGGTGATGGCCAAGACAGAGACGAATCTTGAACCTTTAACGGCAAGTAAGGTAAGATCGTCTCAAGGTCTTCTCTTTTCTCCATTGCTCTGTTTTTTTATGACTTCCCCTTTTCTGTTGCTTCTCAGTTTGAGGTTGCAGGTTTCTTTCTCTGAAGAATGATGCCACAACATAAATATATAGATACCTAACTAACACAGTTGACATTCATGTAATCTTTTGACTTAAAATAGATTAGTTTATTATAACATTCCTTGGTGATCAAGAAACGTGGAAAGGAATTCAGACAAACTCAAGTCTCTACAGCTCACCACTCTGATTAAGTAATTATTCAAAGGCTGTATTCGGACTTACATTCGAATTTTAAAATCATAAGAAAGAATTAGAGGACCATTAAGACAAATTTAGTGTAGGAGACATATTCATTAGGATCCAAAATCCTATCTTATAATAAAGTGAATATGGTAGAGATTTCATACAGAGATGATCTGAAACAATTAAAAGTATATAGTCGCCGGAAACACACAACTGGTTTGATTATTTCTGGATAAAACGCTATAAGCATATAAGATCGGAACAAACAAACTTTATTTACTGCCTTACATTATTATACTTCAGAGGTCAGAAACAAACAGCGACATGGATATATCTCAACATAATTCAGAAAAATATAGTACAGTATATAACTTTGGCTCAAATGGTCCTCTAGGTAGACAATGAGGTTATGAGCCACGAGAAGAAGCCAAGCCGTGTTCTTCTGCTGAGCCTCTCTGAAGAATACTCAACTACCTTTGTCCATAGGTCTCCTACAGTCATTTCTTGCAAAGCAACCCTTTCGATCACCTGAAAAAAACATATATACAGCATTTTTTTCCTAAGGTCTTTGGAATGGGAGAAAGAGTGGTTCCATTGTTTAATGGATTCTGATTCTAATAACCTGATTGAGATCTTTCAGGGCTTGGAGGCCAAAGGTATAGTATGACATGAAGGGCCTTCCTGACTGGAAAAAGTAGATCGAGATTGTTTTCACAATTAAATGGAATGATACTTGTGTTTTGCAAGATAAATTGTTGAAAGGAAAAAGAAAAAATAGGCGTGCCTGTGAAACGGCAAGCCACTGAAGCATGATCTTTAGTTCTGGATCACCTCCAAACACACCGCATCCCCAGTTCCCTGTAGCTACACCAATCTTCTTCTCTTCTTCGTGATCGATACACCATCTCTGAGAGCCTTCTACAACTTGATTTTCCGAATCTAAAGTATGAGGAACATACCTCTATGCAGGAAAAAAAAATTAACCTTGAAAAAGTCAGGAAACAAAATCTTAACTAAGTATGCTAATTCCAAGTATGGAGCAAAACTGATGATCTTACAGACGATGATGCCTCAAGCTGTGTATAGTTACTGTCTGTCTTAAGTGGGATCTTAAGAGATCCAGCCATTGTATATTTGCATTGATGCATGAAACCGCTCAAAGCTTTGTTAACCTCTCTATATAAACAAAAGGAGCAGTTGAGAATTTCACAAACTGTATAAAAACTAAGAATGATAAATTGGTTGAAAGGCAAGTTTTGATTACCGAATGAGGGCATCAAGTTGGTACTGTCCCATTCCTGGGCCAGGAAGAGCATCTATAGCTATGACTCTCGTTTTTCGCCTCTTGAAAGTGTCTAAATCTTTCTTGTCTGTGTAATCGCCAGCATACTGGAATGAAGGTCCATACCTAAATGGGGAGCCATCATGTGTTGGATTTTGTGAAGATTAAGCTTAACATCTACTTAGAAGACCCCAAAAAGAACATATACTTTTGGTACTTACCCTGTATAACACGAAAATCTTTCAACACCAACAATTTCTATTGCTTCATTTGCATCCATACGAGGCAAAAAGATCATTCCAGCTATAAGTTCTGGGTTGATCACGAACCTTATTTCTTCCTACATAGGTACGTAGTAGAGTTTAGTAGTTGAGATAGTAGAGTTTTTAAGAAAGAGATGGAAGAAAAAAAGGAAGAATAAGTCAGACCTGTAGAGTATCATAACTCAGAGTAAGTCCTCCAAAATACTCATCTGCAAAATCCACTTCAAGTGCTTCACCTGGTTGATCTTCTATAGCTCCTGAGGTGTGAACCTACTCTCCAATAAAAAAATGGATCAAAAGGAGAATAACCTAAAGCATACTCATGAATCATCCCAAAGAACTGGATTCAACGGCGAGGAAGGGTTGTGAGTGTTTCTATGTTACCTCAATGGAGCAAAGTGGAGTAACGGAATTAGCCCATGAATCAGCCTCAGGATAAGAAACAAAGTGAGGATGGTGTTCCAGTGGAAGAATTTTTCTTTCAAATGAAACAAAACCAGTGGGCATACATCGACATATTCTTCCAAAGTAATGGATGAGACACTTTATTTTGTTTTCTTGCTTCGTGCAGTGACTCATATATGGAAACCTTAAAAACACAAGAAGGATTTGTGAGTTTGGGACATATGGTTATAACTTATTTAAGGATAATGAGGGAGCCACATACGAAAACAAAGCATCAAAGTTGATTCCTTGAAGATTCTTTAAGCGTCGGTCAACTTCAGGGAACAAACAAAAGAAAGAACATGCAAGTAGAGCTGCAATTAACTCCTGCAGAAGAAGGAAGCATATGTATTAAGGGGTGAATTTACTAGAATCAGATAGGAATGAAGATTGGTTGTAAAAATCAAGAAGATTCACTTCTAAAGAGTACGAGAAAGTTACTATATCAACTTTCATTCAATGCAACACAACAGATTTTTTCGTTTGTTTGTTTGGACTCAAAGAGTATACCTGGCTAAGTAACACAATTCCAGCTTCTTGAGGGGCTAATAGACGAAGCCCGGATGTAATGCCATTAAGAACATGATCTGCCTTCTGATAGTGTTTTTCTAACATGGAAGGTAACTGAAGAAGTAAGCCGCACAATGGAGGAACCACCTCACCAAAAAAGTTGGCTGACTCTTCTCTGGAAATTTTCTTCATTACAACCAAAAAATTCGTTTGTAAGTACTTTATGAGTGCCTAACATTTGCTTAATGCATGTAGAATGTTCACCTTAAGGGACAACGAATCAAGCAACACAATCAACTAAAAAAGTAGATGAAAGGACAGAAGAATTGTTACCTTGTCAAAGAATTGAGCATATCCTTGTAACGCATGAGGTGCTAGATCATTTGAATTCAAGGAGAGGGATTTCCGCATAGTCGTGATATGCAAGGCAAGAGCCTCTCCCGAGTTAACCATTGACTCACTTGGTCCTCTAGACATTGTTTGGAGCTCTTCTTCAACAGAAGGCGGCCAAACTAGCGATGAAGACTGAGCTACAAGAGGCAAATACTGAATAATTGACCTCAGATCTGCTCTCTTCTCCATCCTTATCCCTGAAAGAAATTTGAAAAGTAGGAGATAACAGTTTGCAAATGATGAAAGGAATGGAGATTTGATGTTGCATCTATATGACTTAAGTTCGTTGACTAGTAGCTTAAAAGAAGAAAAATAGAAAAACCCAGTTGATTTTGTTTATAACAGATGGCACCAAAGTCAAATGAACACGTTTTCCTAAGAGACTGAGTCAAATTCATGTTCTCTGACAACAAATGGTGGTGAACACACTTTTCCCGGAAATTTTCCGGATAACCTTGTAATTTCAACTTTTAATATGAAAAAGAGCTCGTTTTCTTTAAACGAAGACTGGTTCAAACACATTAAAGCGCACCTAAACGAATTATGCCTGAGGATACAGAACTGGTGAATTAATTTTTTACATATTCATGTGGGAAAATGCATAGATACAGTATGAGGATGCATCAAACAAGTTAATGAAGGCGAATTTGCGAGTCAAGGTCACTGGATGCTCTTGTTGGTGGTAGCTAGAGATGGAAGTAGCCAAGAAAAGAAGCCAAGATTGGTTTGCTTGTTGAGCCTTTGAGCAGAATATTCTAGCATCATGTTCCACAGATCTCCAACAGTCCATTTATGGGAAAGAATCCACTTGGTCACCTGTCCTTGTAAGAGTATGTATCAGTTGCAAAATCAATTAATGTTCACCCAAGACCTGATCAGTGCAATTTTAGGATACTCTATCCGCTTACTACAGACTCAATTCTTAGTAATGTCCGTATTGAAATCAGAGGAGAAAAAAGAAGAAACTGAAAGAGAGGTTGAAGTGGAGATATAAAGAGCAACCGATTTTACCTGATCTAAGTTTTGAAGTGCCTCCACTCCAAACGTGTAGTATGATATAAATGGCCTTCGAGTCTGCAAAATAGCCATGACCAAATCAAGTAAGAAGCGCCAAATGAAAACCACTATATATCTATTATCATCCAAACTGAAGCTTTGGAAAATTTGAATTTCAGTTTAGAAAAATTTAGTCAAAAGTGACATAGAGTGTGCTCATACAGTCAAAACAAACTCGGCTTCTTTATGTTTGTGGTTTCTGACAGAAATGATCATAATGGTTTTATTCTTAACTCCTATTGGCACTCAACTTGTACAATCCAGCAAAATTATAATTTCATCATTTTTAGCTGATGATGCATAAAGGTACCTGGGAAGCAGCAAGCCATTGAATTGTAGCCTTTAGCTCTGGGTCTCCTCCAAAAACACCGCATCCCCAATTCCCAGTCGCAATACCATTATCTTCATGATCCATGAAATCAACTCCTTCCACATAAAAATGTCTGACCAGGTTGTTAGCAGGGTTTTCTCTCATTTCAACATCATTTAGTGAAGCTCCAAGTGACTGCATCAGAAATAGAAGAGAATAACTAAAAGAGTATTAAACATTTACTTTTCAAAAGCTTAATTGAATTTGGCTACTAATGAAATGATAGTACGATACTAAAGGTTTGTGGGAAGACTCCAACCGCATTAGTTTCTGTATCTCGAATACCAGAATCTCCATTATCTATGAACATATTTTGGTGCTGCCAAGACTTGCTACAATTTAAAAAGCCACACAGAGCCTTATTAATTTCCCTGGAAAAAGCAGAAAGAGAGGGAGAGATGGAGACATTAGAATTCAAGTGTAAAGAATAATAAAAGCATAGAAAGTAGTTATCAGCAAAACTTCAAAATGTTGTATCAACCAATGCCCAAAAGAAGGTTTTCACATACCGTAAAAGGCAAATTTCTTTAAAGTGTCTCATCTTCGAGGCACATAATGCATCTATTGCAACAATTCTGGTTCTTCGCCTTTTGAAAGGATCCATTTCCTTTTTGTCAATGAAGTCACCAGCAAACCGAAACGAAGATGCATACCTACAGCAGAAAAAATTTAGAGTTGAAAGTACTTAAAAAGCTTTATTCACAATTTGGTCATTTAGATGCCAACTATCTGCTATTTAAATTTCAGTAATACATAATTCTTACTCTTATTTATGATGCATACCTACAACTAAGCAGTACTTAGATGTACACTACTTTTCAACGTGCCTCAATCAGAATTCGTTTAAACTAATCTAAAATAAGCTTATTGGTCCATAGAAGTATGAAAATACAGAGACTAATCAGTAAATATTAAGTAAACACAGATCAATGCTATAAAACTACCAAATCTCACCCTGTGTAACATGAAAATCTTTCTGTACCAACTATTTCTATAGCTTCATTGTCATCCATTCGGGGTAAGAAAAGCATGCCAGCGATTAATTCAGGGTTGATCATGAAGCGTATCTCTTCCTGCACAAGAATCCAGTTAGAAGTCAATGAAAAATCCTAAACCATTTACACTTAGATCTTTTGAACAAAGAAAATGAACTAAGGATCAGGTATGCTTCTGAAATCTAAAATCTAATATGAATCTCAAACCTGTACGCACCCCCTACTTAGGGAACCACCTCCGAGATACTTGTTTGCAAAGTCCACTTCCAGAGCACTGTCAGGTTGATCTTCAATTAACCCAAAAGAGTGGACCTGTAATAATAAAGCTGTCGGAAAAAGTAATGCACAAGCATTTACATATTTAGTGGTACAGGGTACCAAAATCCACAATCCAATATCTATCACCTTAAAAGCACAAAGGGAAAAGTCAGACTTGCTCCAGAAATCAGCGTCAGGTGCAGCGGTAGAAGAATTGTGGAATTCAGCTGGAAGAATCTTGCGTTCAAATGAAACGCTACCAATAGGCACACAAGAGAAAAACCTTTCAAAGTAATGCATGATACACCTTATCTTGCTTTCTTGACTTTCACTATAACTTTCATAAAGGCTCCTGAAAAGCAAGGGAAAGTCTGATGTCGGACTGCGTGTACACAAAGTCCAAGACTCCAAATGAAATTTACTCAATGCACGCTAGAAAAGATACCACAAGTGAATTTTAAGATAATAAATTAAAATCTTGACATGCCATATGATAGCTAATGAATCATAGAAATACATATTTTTTATCTCACCAAGCTAAACCAAGTCTAACAACTGAACTCTCAGTGCAGACTGAATCCCATATGCGATCTCTACAGGATATGCTGTCTTTAGACTCTCTCTCGCTAGTATAATTGCCAGTGAAATACATATTTCAGTTTCCTTTCTTTAATAATACTTGCTTGATCACTAATCACTTAAGAAACATTAATATATGATTCCCGTTTCTTCGAGACAAGACTAATGCAGACCTAATTCTTTAGGAAAAGTTTAGAAGACAAAGCGAGAGATCACATACACAAACAAATGATCAAAGTTGATGTCTGGAAGATGTTTTGCACCTCTATTATCGTCCGGAAACAAACAAAAGAAAGAGCAGGCAAGAAGAGCGCCAATCAGCTCCTGCAATATTGAATGTGAAATGGACAGTAAGAAAAAGCAATACTCCATAGAGACATACACACTATATCTTCAACAACACCAGGTCATTATCTTAGTAAGAAAACATATATTCGACCTATTCTTCCTCCCCATAAATCATTCAAAGAGTCAGGAATAGAACCCAAAAAATACACCTTTAGCTCAAACGTAGGATTAGAGATATTATCACTTAGCATCAATACCTGGCTGAGGAAAACTATGCCAGCTTGTTGGGTATCTAACAAACGTAGACCTGTATTGATTCCACTAACGATACTATCAGCATTATGGTAATGCTCTTCCAATAGAGATGGAAACTTAAGGAGTAACTTCGCCAATGCCGGGATAATCTCATCAAACCATCTCTTTGATTCTTTCTCACCAATCAGCTGCCATTATAAATTAATATTTCACAACTCAATTCAATCACCAGAACTTGATATTGGAGATACACTCAACTCCAAAAGCAATCAACAAAAAAAATTAATTATAAAATAAAAAAAGGAAATCACTTCATCAAAGAGAAGAGCGTAGCCATGAGAAGCAGATGGATCGAGAGTTGACAAAGACAAGGATCGTCTCATATCGGAAATTGCTTGCCGTAGAACCTCTCCCGAGTCAACTCGGCTGTGAAATGGTCCTTCAGACATTGCCTTGAGGGCCTCCACCACGCGCGGCGGCCAATACAGCGACGAAGAACGAATTAAAAGTGGAAGGTAGGGGAGAATCGAGCTGAGATCACCTCGATTCTCCATAAGTTTTTCAATATTGTCTAATCTCACAGTTCTTTCTCACTTGCTTTTGAAACAGGTCCGCGAATCGCTTCGGCGACAAGATTAAGCTGCCGCTTTGGAGAAGAAACCCAAGTCCGGTTTACTTGAACCGAATAGATAATTTAGTGGTTTAATGGGATGCACCAGTTCAGCTCGGTTTGAAACGTTCTGCTGTTTCGACTTAATTCACACTCACCAGTTTGGAAATCTTAATACAGATAACAAACCTATCGAGGCAAAACGCTAAAGAGTGCGAGTGAAAGTGAAGTGAAAGGTGTGGAACATAGCATTAGCAACATTTAATTTGATATAATTTTTCTAACGTGGAGGAAACGGTGGCTCTCACTATGGTACCCACAGAGGAGACTTTGACTTATCAACGTTTTACATAGTCAAGGTCTATCACAAGAAAAGCTTTAGGAATTGCAACTTGCATTTTTCACATTTTTCTACTTTGTTGTTTCCTGGAAGAAAAAAAAGTACCCATTCCACACGTAATGATTACCCCCAATTTCACAAATTCAGGACAATTATTAATTTATTATATTGTTTAAGACAAGACATGTGCTTTTTCTTATACATTCTAGCCTATTTAATAACTTATAAACATCATAATTTAGATTTCTATGTAAGAATTCAATCAAATATATCATAATGTTAAATTATTATTAACAGATAAATGTTAGTGATTACTTAATTAGATATATAAATGTTAGTGATACATGTATATTTGATTGACATATTATTATTATTGACATTCATATGTCTAATTATTTTACTGTATTAGATTAACATATGGGTATATTTTGTGACGAGGGAATAAAAAGACCGTAGAACACGCACGACGATTTTTTTCTGTAGATTAGTATCAGTTGCTGACAATAAATAGCCATAGTGTGTAGACTCCGACAACATCCACAAGAAGAAACTTTCTCTAACTAAAAATGGCTGTTCCCATTGGAAACGCCCATCTCTTTCTCCGGCCAATACTCCTCGCCGTTCTCTCCTTTCTTCTTCTCTCTTCATCCGTCTCCTCCATTGAGTTGCTCGATATCGATTCCTCGGACCTCAAAGCTCTTCAGGTCATCGAAACAGAGCTTGGAGTCAACGGTCAACGTTCTTCGTCCAGTGATGTCGTCAACCCTTGCGGTCGCCGAGGAGTTTCCTGCCAGAGAAGGCGCTCAGCCGCCACAGGAGAATATGTTCTCCGTATCACGAGGCTCGTCTACCGATCACGGAGCTTGACGGGGGCTATCTCCCCGGTGATCGGAATGTTGTCTGAACTCAAGGAACTTACTTTGTCTAATAACCAGTTAGTCAATGCTGTTCCGGTGGGTATCTTAAGCTGTAAGCAACTTGAAGTCCTTGACCTTCGAAACAATAGATTTTCCGGTCAGATTCCGGGAAACTTTTCTAGTTTGAGCCGTCTTCGAATCCTTGATCTTTCTTCCAACAAGTTCTCTGGGAACTTGAACTTTGTGAAGAATCTACGCAAACTGGAGAATCTCACTGTTGCAAACAATCTCTTCTCAGGCAAAATCCCTGAACCAATTGTGTCGTTCCACAATCTCCGGTTCTTTGATTTCTCCGGGAACCGGTATTTGGAAGGTCCTGTTCCGGTTATGAGTAAAATCAAGCTTCAGACAACTCCACACCAAACAAGACACATTCTTGCTGAAACCCCATCTTCAAATGTCACGAAAAAACCCAACAACAGCACTACATCAAAAGCTCCAAAGGGAGCTCCAAAACCTGAGAAGTTGGAAAAGAAGAAGAAGAAAAAGAAGAGCAAGAAGAAGAAAGTAGCGGCATGGATCTTAGGGTTTGTCGTTGGAGCCATAGGTGGAACGATCTCTGGATTTGTCTTCTCGGTGATGTTCAAATTGATTGTTGCAGCAATAAAAGGATCAGGAAAACCATCAGGTCCTTCCATATTCAGCCCATTGATAAAAAAAGCTGAAGATTTAGCTTTCTTGGAGGACGAAGCAGCGATTGCTTCTCTGGAGGTCATTGGAAAAGGAGGTTGTGGAGAAGTTTTTAAAGCGGAACTACCCGGAAGCAACGGGAAGCTCATCGCCATTAAGAAAGTGATCCAACCAGCGAAAGATGCCAATGAACTTACAGATGAAGATTCCAAGGTTCTGAACAAGAAAATGAGGCAAATTAGATCAGAGATCAACACAGTCGGCCAAATCCGGCACCGGAATCTTCTCCCATTGTTAGCACATGTGCCGAGACCCGAGTGCCACTACCTCGTTTACGAGTACATGAAGAATGGGAGTTTGCAAGATATACTGTCCGACGTGCTAGCTGGACAGAAAGAACTAATGTGGCCAGCAAGGCACAAGATTGCTCTAGGTATAGCCGCAGGACTTGAGTACCTTCACATGGATCATAAGCCAAGAATCATTCACAGAGACTTAAAGCCAGCAAATATTCTTCTTGATGATGACATGGAAGCCAGAATTGCAGATTTCGGGCTTGCAAAGTCAATGCCTGATGCGGCCACACACCTTACACTCTCAAATGTAGCAGGTACTGTGGGATACATAGCACCAGAGTATCATCAAACTATCAAGTTCACAGATAAATGTGATATCTATAGTTTCGGAGTGATTCTTGGAGTTCTGGTGATTGGGAAGCTTCCTTCAGATGAGTTTTTTCAGCATACTGATGAGATGAGTCTGATAAAGTGGATGAGGAATATAATCACATCAGAGAATCCAAGCGTTGCGATTGATCCAACTTTGAGGGAACAAGGATTCGATGAACAGATGCTTCTGGTTCTGAAAATCGCTTGTTACTGTACTCTGGATGATCCAAAACAGAGGCCGAACAGCAAAGATGTCAGGACCATGTTGTCCCAAATCAAGCACTAGTGTCTCAATATATATTGTTGCTTCTATGTATGTTTTCTAGATTCCTGTTGCATAAGAAATAACTATGAACACAATCTTGGCAGAAATTTATAATGAAGACTGTATAACTTAAATGGATCTCAATTATGTTTATTGCTCCAAACATAAATTATCAATCTTAGTTATATACATAAGGGGAAAAAGCACTTAATTAACAACCTCGGAATGATAACGCTTTACATTAGTTATTGTCTTCTCTATATGCAGCCGGTGAGAATCTCCCTCAAATATTCCAGCTGTTCGTGGCTGCCTTCATGTTCTTCCCACTAAAAATAGTAATAGCAAAGTCAACACATGTTCCAGTGTTTACTCGTGAATGAGATGGGAAAACATTATAAATTATGCATTGAGCTTTCTAGTTTTTACTATTGAGCAAAACATGTATTCTAAAAATGGAGACAGTTATATAATAGTTTTCGGCGTTGTAGACCCACCTCTTGAAGAGACAAAGATACTACTTTCCATCCAGCTGCAGCAACATATCGCCGCTTCAGCATTGTATGCCCTAATGGTATTCCTGCAGAATGCAAGAGACGAAATGACCATTGAGTTTGGCTTGGCTCCACCAGCACCAAGATAAATTAAGAAACAGAGTGATGGCACTTACCAGTGTTTCTTGAGAAATGAGTTGGCCCATCGATTTCTAAAGCGACTTTCTTCTCGATCAGAGCAACATCCACAGTGTAACCATCCACATCATGTTCTTTAGCCCAATCAAGCCCTGTACTAATTAGAAGGCGTCCAACTTCTTTCTGAAAAGATGAGGTTATTTTCTGGTTGAACCTTTTGGTTTTTCCTGCACGGGTTATTTTCTCTTCGAGTTCATGACAAAGTGACAACTGAAGGTGAGGGCACTCAAGCTTCAAGCATTGATTTACAAGATACACCTGAGAAGCAAACATGACATCTTCCCTATACTGTTCTGAAAGCCTTTGCTCCTCCAAGGTGGTCAAAGTATTCCATATATTGGCAAAGAAAGGTCGCTCCACTTGCCCAAGAACAGCATAAGACCATGCTATGTTTCCAAGCTGGTCCCTGTTAAAGCTAAGTGCTGGAGATTCTGAAGCACCATTGCTTACTTCAACATCTGCTACCTCATCACGGTTTGTCATTTCTTTTGTTAAGCAGCACTTGAACTGGTCACGGCCTTTAAATGCACTATCTAAGGATTCAAGCAAAGGATCAGCTGGCTCATAAAGTGAGGCAAATGACCACAATAGTTGAGCAATCTCTTGGCCCTTAAAGGTAATGATAATAGTAGATGCCCTCTTTGACAACTCAGCAAAGAGTTCTGGAGCAGAATGCCGCATGGAAGCAAACGCCCCTGCAATATTAGCAACATTCTGAGAATTGAAATCCCCAACCTTTGATGTGGCAACTTCTGCAACTCTATCCATCTCTGTCAAGTAAAGCAATTCACCACCAATTTTGGACAATGCCCAAGAAATATTTGAGATCCCTTGAGCTGAACATTCTGGTAGACATGTCATAGCAAGAGCAACAAGCATTGACATCTCTCTTTGCCGAGCAAATGCAAGCCTACGAGTTCTCATCATCGAAACTTTCTCCATATTCTTGGCAATTCGGTGGAGTGCAGTAGCAATGTTTAGGGGAGACAATGGCGATGGACTTAAACCTTTGGCAACAGCCATGATTGTCTCAGCTGTTACTTCCAGTACCTCTTCAGCAGTCTGTGCTTCTATAATAGCTTTGTTTAGGTTGATTTCTTTCATACGATCAGAAGGTCCTGAAAATTGGGATAGCCGCTGAGCTAATTGCTCCTTCATCTTCTCCTTCTTCTCCTCAAACATTCCGCCAGCTAGAGAGCTAACTCTCTTCCGTAGATCCCCCATCTTATCCTCCACCAGTCCATCTTCAAAATCCAAATCATCTTCATCTGTATCAAAATCATCTTCGGGTATACTCTTAATTTTGACCTTGTCTTTTTTGTTTACAATTACTTTCTTGCTCTTTTTCTTTTTCTTCTTCTTAAGAGGCAACACCTCCGCCATTCTAGAAGACAATCCTCTTGCCTCAATTGATTTAAGCGCAATTTTCCTTGCCCTTACACACCAATCCATCCCTACAGTGTCGTCGAGCGCTTTTGAATTCTTCTGCTTTTTCCTCTTCTTTGGAGGTTGAATATCCAACGGATCAATCTCCCCAAGAAACTCTGACTCCCAGTCCGCATCATCCTCTTCTTCTTCAACTTCTTCCTCCGAGTTACCAATCACAGACGAGTTCTGAAACAGACACCCGAACAATGACAATACGTGAACACACAAGCTTAGAAACCACATAAAAAATCGTTTCTGTAACCTTATCCAAAACATTCCACACTAAGATCATAAAAAAAACAACCAATTGACTAGAAACATCACAAGAACTCATTTCAGTTAATTATTCGACAATTCCAATATCTACGAAATGAATAAATATCGACATTTCTAAAGAACTAACCACGGAAATAGGAAGGTGCTCGAAGGAGCCCGTACGACGATGCAAGGAACTTCTCTGCGCGAGTGGAGCAAAAAATCGATTCTTCTTATCAGCAAGAGGCCAAAGACCTGAAATTGACCAAAGAGCGAGTAAGGAGATAAAGCGGGGTTGATTAAGAAACAACGAAGAGAAGCGGATTCTAAATGATGACCTGATGCGAAAGAGGAGGAAGAGAGTGAGAGATGGAGATGGCGGCGACTGGGGCTAACGATGCGGTGGCGTATCTCCGGCGAATTGAGACAGAAGCACCGCCGGAATGGAACTACACACTCCATCTTCTTCTATCGGAACAAATTTCGATGGCGCTGTTGCTGTGATTCTTTTAACAGAGAGTGGGTTTTAGCTAAACCCTCTTGCTCGTTTAGTGAGTTTACTTTTAAATCAAAGCATACGGGGGAGTGTCAGTTATCATAGTGATCCCTCAAAAATGAATTTTTAATAGAACATGCTCACTGTTTTCTATAGATCCTTATGATCCCCTCAATCTCAAATATACTATCTTCCTAGTCATTGTCCAATTTGGATATAACTCATGATCAAAAATACATGTAGAATCTATATAGTGTGTTCTAGTAAAAAAAAATACTGAAATGGATAAACTTATTTTTTAAAATATATTATAAAATATCAAATTTTAATATAGCAATTTTTTTTTGTCAACAATATGTATTATGTGAATTTAAATGTGGATGGTAGTATAACGGATCAACGATAATAATAAAACAAATCATTAGTCTAATATATAAAACCCAAATATAGCATTGATTCTTTGGTATCTTTTTATATTAAATCCAAAATTATACAAATTCAATCTCATTAACATTCATAATACCATTACATCATCATGTATCAAATGGCAAACAAAAAAAGAGTACACCATGTACAATATTAATCTCAACTTTGTCTATACACAATATAATTTGGAAGGTATAAATCAAAGAAACCCCAAACCAAAAAGAATAAAATAAAGGAATCATAAAAGGAGAGAAGCTTCTTGCTTCATGTAAGGAAAAAAATAAAAAGAAAATAGAAAAGGCTTCCATTTATATAATATATGCAAAACTCAGGGCTTCATTAAAAATTATTAAAAGATTTTGCCTCTGTTGGAACCTTCTTCCGGAGAGAGCAGGTTCTATTCAATGTTTCTCTTACTCACTCCGGCAATGTCTGGAACAAGAAGTGGAAATCAGATCGCTGGCGGAGGAGCGGCGGTGGTTCGACGTCGGAGAGATTAATGTTACCTCCGTGGAAGGATTGCGAAACATCTTCCACTGAGAAAGGAATGCTACACGATACCGGAAACAATGAAAATTCGAGAGTAATTAGGGAGAGAAACAGATAAATTTTGTTGATGCGTACCTTGAATCGACGTCGAGCAAAAAAGAAGGGTAAGTCATATTGACTGAATCTTCCGCCATTAGTTTTCTCATCTGCTGGATAACCTATTTTCGGCACAATTCGTAGAATCATGAGTGAAAGTTTTAGTTTTGTTCCTTAGTTTTAGGTGTAAGTTTAGAAGTATTTGGATACAATCCTGGTTCAGGCACATAAATTCAAAGCAACTAGTAAAGCCACTTGATTGTAAGAACATAGCTTTATTGTATTTTAGTTAGGTTTGTTCTGTGTATTGTCTTCAAGTAGTATTGGAGTTGGTTTGGTTGATCCATTACTTACCTCAGGAGAGAGTCCTCGAGTTCCATATTTGTCGTCCCAAAACATAGTCCCAATTCGATATACTTGTGGAAGGCTCAGCACCTGAACGACAAATCAGGAAAAGACTTCTGTCAAAAGTTGCAATTATTTTCCATAATCAACTATTTGTGTAGCAATAACTTGAAGTAGGACTGTAGGAGGGTTTGGTTTTATGCCATCTTGTAGTTCTTTAGTTTGGTTTATCCAACTAGTTTGCTTTTACTTTCATTAAGATCCCTCACACGTTTGCCGATTTATCCAGCTATATAGTGTTTCAGTGGTACCCCCAAATAGATAATTGTACCACAAAAAGATCCTTCTATAGTTCTATAGGATTTGCAGAAGTTTTGGTTTAAGATCTTTACCGGGCATATCTCTTTTATGATCTCGTCCAATGATTTCTGTGTCTTCTGATGCGAGACCTGTATAGTCACAGTGTATATCAAATGCTGAATTATCACCAATTATGTATTTCGACCAATAGGTATGGTTTGGAGTTTTACCAGAAACTTCACGGCTTGCCTTATGTGTTGAAGTTCATCCCATGGTGATCGTGCTGCCTGTAGGAGACAAAATAAAAAGAATCATGTAAGTTAATTTCCTTGTCTTATTTTTTATAGTTGCATAATTTGGTTATTAATGCTTTAGCCTACCTCGTCGTCTGCCTTCAGACACCACTGTTCTAATTCATGCAAGCCCATTTTCAGATATTCTCCGTTGCTAACCGAACAACACTCTCGGCGAAGCAACAAACTGCCAGAAGATCAACTTTGCAAGTCAAGCTACCTCATGACTAAATGTTGGTACGTGTGTCCTATGCAATAAATTTTCTGTACCTATTGAAGAGCTGCACATTGATGTACGAGAAAACCTGATGGAAGAGTTTTCTTGTGATCATAGATGGGACCTGGAGATCATTAACACTCAGTCAAGAAACAGGAAAAGATCAATTAAGCTTGAGATCAAAATCTTCGAAATTTCTTTCTCTTACATGGTTCTCTGCCAGTAAGGTCAAGGTATGTTCAAGCTTGTTGACAATGTTCTGCCACTGTACATGTGATGCCTGTTGCTTGGCAATTGTGTTCAAGTGGATGCTTTTAGTCACATCTCGTAAGGTTCTGGCTCTTGTCGGTCTTGGTGCCTGATACATCTCACATATAACACATTATTAACAAATGTGATTAGAAGTTCCATAGTAACTTGGTGAATGATGTACTAACATGGATACAGAGATTTAGTAATGGGTTTATCTCTTTCTTTAATTTATCTCGGATCATTCCATATGTTTTCTCAACGTATGCTGCTAAGTGTTGCTTGAATAGTAAAGCTGGGTATTTAGCTTCAATCATCTGTTGGTCAGTTGATATCCCAACCATTCCACTGTAGCCACTGGCTGTTTCCAAGCCCACTGAAGATGATTGCATTCCCTACAATGTTTTTAACAACTATTACTAAGGCTCTTACAAATGGACTAATCAGAGGTTCACTTATACCAAGCTTACTTGGACCAATCTCCCAAATAGCGTAGCCTGGGATGATCTGTTACGTCTTGAAGCCGCATTATTTGTACTGCTGAACTTGAGTGTAGATTGGAGTAGATATAAGAGGGTAGAGCTTGTTGTGAGCCAATAAGTTAGTTCCCTGGTGTCCTCTTGGCTCTTCTGAACCAAAATTAGTGTAACTTGAATATAAAGTTCCAGTTTTAGAGGGTTCAGATACTACTTTCAAAGGCATTGTGTTTAATTTATTACCTCAATGGACGATCGGATTATATGAACAATTCTATCAAATATATTTGTTTTCTCTGCTTCAAATAATCTCCATTGAAGTAGTGCCTTGTAAACTATCCAAGCTGCCACAGATCTGTCGTTATCAAACCTTCTGTCGTCGGTGAGGCATTTTATCAGCACCTCATGGTTCTCCTGTCCAGTAATAGTCATTATAAATTTTTCTGAGTGAAACAGATATTGAAATATCTTTTGCTTGCTTCTGTGGGTTATTAGTTTTTTGCTCTTTAGTACAAACAAGTTCTCGAATGATACCTGTTGTCGATCTGTTAGAGACCCTTGTTTTGCTAACACATTGATTTGATTCCGTGGCTCCTGAAACAAATAGCAAGGGATGAGGAACTGCAGAGTACTATTTCTTAATTGGGCCTAGCTAGATATCGTACCTTAGTTGCCTGAATCACTTCTGTTTGATATCCATTTTCAAGATCCTGCACAGTTATATAACATTAATGCAAATTGTTATACATATTTTTTTACTTAGAAAGTTATATGTTGACAGAAGTTTTGCACCTTTTCAGACGCGGAAACTCTTTCATGAGGCATTGTCTTTTCTACAGAAGCTGTCTGTCTTCGGAGAGATTCATTTTCTGACTCTAGTATTGCAAGCTTATCCTTCAGGCTGATAAGAGGTATTTTTTTAGATATGTGGTGATGTCAGATACAACTTCATATTTTTCTTTATAATTCAGTTTGGCTGAAAAATTTCAAATCCATGCAGCTAGGCCTGATAGAAGAAAGGAATGTATTAGGTGGACAAAACTGATCAGCTCACAGAACTGTACCTGTTTAACTCTCCAGACTCTTCGACGATTGTTGAAACAGCCAAAGCCTGCTGGCGCAAGACCTGATTTTCCGATTCAAGGTTTGACAAATTCGTATGTAATCTGGAATTTACCAACAATACTCATGAACACTGACAGTAAAACAGAAATATGATGTCAAATGCCTTAAGGAACCAATAATCTATACCGGTCGATGATCTCTTGAAGTTGGATGGCCTTTGATTTTGCATCTTCTGCTTCAGTTAGATTTGCCTTGCTATCTCTCTCAAGTGCAGAACATTTTGCTTCAAACTCCTCAATTGTTCCTTTTAATTTTGTTACCTCGGCCTACGTTTGAAGATATTGTATCAGGGAAAATATCTGCTAGTTATTGGAACTTTTAGCTCAAATTTTTACCTCCAATTCATTGTTTTGACTGTTCAGTATTTCCAGTTGAGTGTTATCTACAACTGGAACCTCTTTGATGACCGGTGGAGCTTGTTCAATGGCTAATTTTGCTGCTTCTTTCTCTTGTATGATTGCAGTGTAGGCTTCATCTAGCTTTTCTTGCAATTCAATTAAATTATTTTGTAGTTTTGCGATTTCTTGTGCTTTGGCTTCTTCGAGATCAACCTAATGACACAATTAAACGTGGGTTTCATTTTGGAACTTTTAACTCTAGCATTTCATCCCAGGTGGTTAGATAGCAGAACAAAGGACTCTAGTTTCTAACTTTTTTGACAATACCTTTTGATGCTTCTCTAATTCAAGACGCCAGGTTAGCTCTTCCACACGTTTCTCTAACTTGTCCTTGGCTTCCTTGAGCGCCCCAGTTTCTCTTGCAGCCTATGTTGGAAAGATTTTATTGTTAGTAACTTAGACTGAAGCATTTTTCTAATTTTCATTACCATTTCCTGCCTGGTAGACAGTAGATTGATTTTTATTAGAGTTAGCAATCTAGTAATGAAGCTTACCATTTTGAGCATTTTGAGCTCTTTTCGAGCTACTTTTGCTCTCCACAGACATTGTAATGCTAGTGTTGCTTTTTTGTGCTGTTTATAAGCTTCTTGAGCTTGGTGTCTTCTCCATTCCCTCTGTTAGAATATAAATATCAGTAAGACTTATCATCAAAGTACATCAAAATTATCTTCACTGTACTGTTTTTCTCTTCCACTCTATTTTATGACAAGTAAGAACAATCATATTGCTTGACATCTGATCCGTCAAACATCTTGGAGAACATGCATAAGTTTCCTTAATCAAACACTTGATCTCTTATGGTTGAAGAATAATCCAACTTTATAAACAAGATTGTTACTGCTTTTGATTATTTCTAACAATATTTGCGAGTTAACTGGTGAGAATTATAGAAGAGAAGTCCAGATACTTCTGATTTTGAAAGGGAATTAAGAAGTGAAGTAAAGTAGTCAAAATCTAGTACCTGAACTATAATTGCTGCCTTTGTTCTTCTTCTGTGTCTATGCTTGTTTCTTGCGGACATTGTCCGTAAACCAGTCTGAATAACTGTTGCTGATGCTTTGAGATTAGCGTAGTTTTTCCTTGATCTGTGAGCACGGATGTTCTTTTGGATACAAATTGAAGCAGCTTCTCTTCGCATGTTTTGATACAACTTGCGTGCAAGTTGTGCTACATAAGCAATACACATGACACACAGTTAATTTGAAGAATAGTTACCTGGCTGAACTTTGGATCATTTTGTGACATTCTAGATCAGATAAGGCTGCTAATATTCGAACCGTTCCAATATGGACAACTCTATTGATAATTAAACATTTTAATTCATAAGCTGGGTGTTGGGTAGGGTGTTACTATTGAGACATATGTAGAAGAAAACCTCTCCAAAGTTTTTGCATAAAAATTGTAGCCCTTTTCTGCCCAAGGAACTCTTTTCTTGTCAAATAAGTCCTGATTTGCCTCTGAATAAGTTTAGTGGCACCAGCCAGGACCTCGGTTCTTCTTGCATCTAGTTCAGCCATCTGTCCAGCCCTAAGAAATATCTTTGTTTTCCCTATCTGAAGATGAGTAATTAGAATGCAAGCTTAGATTATACTGTTAGCATTGGGGTTGCTTTATTTATTCATATCTGACATGCTTGTACCCTGAGATTAACATACCTGGTAGCCTTTTAGACCCATCTTGTCACAGATTGAAGCACATGCCGACTTTTCGTCGGATCTGTCAATAGATAATGTAATTTTCTCAGTGTTGATTGTATCAGGATATAGGATAAAACTGGTTTAAGAAATTTTCTATTGAGTAGTTTTACCCATCTGGAACGTCTGTTGCTAGCATCACAAAACGATCTAGGAATTCATCGAAAGCTCTTTTTGTTGGATAACCAGCACAACTGATTCTTATAGCTTCCAAGACACCCTGTTCACTTATCCAGATCTGCTATTAGCGAATCCCTATGTGGTAACATGAACTTGTTTAAATAGGGAACTTCAGGTTTTATGCTTACTCCGCATCTTAGTTGGTTTAGGACGTTGTCATTCTCAAAAATCCCGGGCTTTAGTACTGCATTTGGCTTCACACATCTAATATAATGGGGCTCTGTTGTGTTCAGCGTCTCCATTAAAGCTTGTAGTTGTTGCTGCGGGTAAGTTAGATCAGGAAGCAATGTGCAAATGATATATAGTTACTAGCAGCTTACCTTGAAACGGGTCCCAATGGATGAAAATTTGGACTGCTTTGATGCGTCCTCTGGAAGTGGTGGAAACAAATTGGCCACAAAAGAACACTTGGATGCATCTAACAAAGCTTGATGTTCTGCCACAACATAATCCTTGTTCTTGTCAAGAAATTGCTCTGCTGAATATGTAACCTGGACACAGAAAAGTGTGCTTAGTAACGAACTACTATATTTACTTCAGCTTAGCGTCGAAAAATTGTGTGTCTCACATCTCCTGCATAGTGGTTGACAGTGAAGGCTGTTTGGGCAAGCTTAGGTTTGCTGAAACGCTTGTGTCCTTTATATGTTTGATACATCTTTTGTGCAAACGTCTCATGAGTCGACTTGGGAAACATGCTGCAAAGGTGAATCTTATGAGTATGCGGAGAGGAGCCATTTTACTTCTTACTATGGATTGATTTTGTGAAATTTTCCTTCCCCTAAAAGTAGGATTCCACTTACCATGCTTCATCAAGTAGGGCAATTATGCCTCCTGGTTTCTGCAAAAAGAAGATGCCATTGATAATTTTCTGTACTTGTCCATGTTGTACAGCCAACGTCATCCAGATTTATGATGTTATTCGCATAGTTTATACCTTCTCAATAAGATCTAGGACATCCTGGTTATCAACAAATTCAACATAGCTCCAGTTTATTTCCTCCCTCGTATATTCCTCTTGCTCCATCTTGAATACATGCTGCAGAGAATATTGTTCCATGTTAAAGTTGCTTGCAATGTGAACAGGTTACAGCGACTTTATATCCTACCTGATTGAAATGCTGTTGTAACTTCTCATTTGTGAGATTGATGCATAACTGCTCAAAACTTTGAAACAAATAGTGGTATTAGATCATACGTTTTATATGTACCCATCATTCAGGTTTACAATTTCTTTCAGGTTTACCTGTTGATCTTGAAGCTTTCAAAACCATAAATGTCGAGAACTCCAATCAAGCTTTTAGCATTCGGGTCTTGACCTATTGAACTGTTGATCTTATCAACGATCCTGCCATTATTGAGTTGTGCACATGTCACGGTTTCTGTCTTACCTCTGCGCTCTTAGAATTCATGTGGAGGGCATAGCATCTTTGCCTAATGAATGTTAAAATATCCCTTTTTGTTTCAGGGTGGATTTACATACCAGTCAAACAGCCTGGAGTATACTGTCTTGGCTAAAGCATCACGGTTTGAGGCTGCCGATTCTGGGTCAAGCGGCTTTGTAATATTACCATCCGGAGTGACAATTACACGCTTGCAGAGTGAATCTTCCATCATCTTCTCATTGCACCTGCGTCAAGTGAATAATTGAAAATTTGTCAGCATAGCCATTGGAACTGTGCAGGGTTCAAAGTCTAGTGGTAAGGTTTCTAGTCGAAGTTACATGAGTAATTCTGCTGCTGTTTGAAGATGATATCTCGATTTATCATCCCTGAGTTTTGAAGAATCAGCTTCTTCTCCTTTGATAAAATTGACATTTCCGAGGTGGAGGATTGCAGCTACGACGCGGAATATGGCATCCTAAAGTTGAAGTTTGCTTTTGCTGGTCAGTATTTGAAGTATCTATAGTCATATGTATCCTAAGAATGAGATTCAGGAGGCAAACCTGTGCCTCTTGTCCAATGCCCACAATGTCCATGGCATTTCTGGTCTCCATATACTCTCTTGCATCATCTACATTGGAAACCTCATAGCAGTTCGTCTGGTTTAGATAGTGGAACATCCTTGGATCCCCTACCTTGAATTTCTTAGCTTCCTGAAGATCAAATATATATTTACAATCATTGTATCGTAATTTTTCCAGCTCTATTGCTTTTAGGATTGTTGCTAAAGACTTACCTCAGGCGGTGCTGCACAGAGCATGTAGAAGCAGTGATAGTTCCTCTCAGGGTCTGAGACTTGGCAAACACGAGACCGTTCAAGAAGATAAGTGCGGATTGCAGCTCCAGATATTTTCCCACGCTTGTCAAATTGTATCTCAACAAATTTACCAAACCGACTGTTGGAGAACCAAGAGAATTACAAAGGAGTCAGAACAAAAGATGCCAGCAGAAAAAGGAATTATATGTCCAAAGTAAGTGTTTCATAGGCACCACCTTGAATTGTTGTTTTTCACTGTTTTCGCGTTCCCAAAAGCTTCTAACACTGGATTAGACTGGAAACAGAATAATTTAGAACGGTGGAGGCATTTGTTCGAAGCAGTTAAAATCAGAGCAAGTAACTCACCTCTAAAACTTGTTGTTCAACACTTCTTCCTTCAGTATCTGATCTGCCTCCCATGAATGCTAGATATCTCATGAGCATCTTGGTTGTCTCTGTTTTTCCAGCTCCGCTCTCTCCACTGACCAAAATGGACTGGCTTCTTGCCTCATTTATCATCGCCCTGGTATATATGTTAAGCTTTTACTGAGCTCAGTTCTTTACAGTAGCTGGCCAAAAGTCTCTACTCAAGGATTACCAACTTTTACCTGTAACTGGTATCTGCAACAGCAAACAGATGAGGGCTTAGCTCTCCAAACGCAGCTCCTTTATATTGCTCCATCATATGGACGCTGTACAAATGTGGAAGTCTTTGGAATGGATTCACCGCAATCAAGATGTTTCCAGTGTAAGTCTGCTCTATCCAAGAGTTTGCAATTAGATAATCTCAACATCGACTTTCAAAAGTTTGATCAATGGAATGTTTTAGATATCCGTCTTAAATTACTGACATAAATCTCATTTAAAGCAAAACGGCAATCGAGATTGTGGAGGACCCCTGGCTCATGGAGGTAAGCCAGTTTAGTCATGTCATCAACTCCTGCAGGCGGCGCCTCTGTATCCTTTGGATATATACTAGAAATACTAGCAACAACCTGTAAAAATGAAATCTAAACCATTAATTCTTCTAGAAAATCTGTGAATCCCACTGTAAAGGTCCCTGGTAAAAAGATCAAAATCATTTCCATTTTGTGTGGTTTTATATCAAATGAAAAGTAGTTTCTCACTGTTTTCTCATTTGCAGTGACTATTTTGGCATTGGTGCCTATGATTTCAATCACTTCTCCATTAATCCATGCGAGTTCTGGATCCTCAACCCAGACATGTGACCCGAGTGTGATATTTACAGGAGTCCCCTATTCATCAAAACAAGCCTTTCATTAGTCTCATCCAGAAGAAAAGATAGGGATATGCAGCAGAAAGTTAATGGGAAGGCTTACCATAACTCAGAGCTCTTCCAAGCTCTTACGCTGAGAATCTGCAGCAGTTGAAGAAAAGAGAAGTTAATATAGATAGAGAAGATTAAGCTCTTTGAGGGAGAGAGACAGAGATGAGTCACAAAAAGAAAAGAAAAGGCGACTCTGAATCCAAGAAAAGCCAGGATATTCTTTAAGCTAGAAAATGACCTTTCCCGCACCTCTAGTCTCCACCAATTCAACTTCTTTCAGATATTCTCTCTTTGATCATTTGCTTTGAAAACCATGCTTGAGCATTCAATACGAAACTGTATGGTGTAAGGACACTCTTCATATTTTCTCCTTTGCAAAGCTTTATGTTGCCTCCTTTTGAGTATGAATGGGGTCCTCGTAGGTTAAACAAAATGTGAAATAGCTGCTTTTAGAACTTTAAAGTTGTCTGCTTTACATTTTGATATTGCTACTGCACCAACTTTTTCACTTGATCGGCCATGGCCAGGTACTGTTTAGCTGTGAAAGTGAACGTTTTTCCTCTTTTTCGTTAAAGACAATAATGTCCTTTTCGTTTGGTTTCCATCTCAAGGGACTTGTCATGGACGTGCTTAAACTTGAAGTCATCACCTTATTAAAAGTGTTAACTTTTGTCAAATATGATTGGAAGTTGCAGATTTTTCAAACTTTCCTGTTTTTATTTTGATTTTATTTTTCTGTGTGTGTGAACTGTGAAGGTAATGGCCGGTGGAGAATCTCCGGTGGCTGTTGGGTCCGGTGGCCATTCGTATTAACTTTTCCAGCTAGACTTGGCTTTTCTATTCTTTCTCATTTTATTTATTTATTGTCGAAAGGTTTTATATATAGCTGTCTAATTTTTGCTAATTTCTTGATCCAAGAACATCATGATTACATGTGCAACCTTGTGTTTTAGGCTTTTCCTTAAGATTAAATAAAAGATCTCTCCTAATACCTTATACTACTATTAACTAAATAGTAACATATTAACTCATCTATCAAAAGGACATTACAAGGAAGAGCCTAACAAAATTTGACTAATTTCATCCTCAAAGGAGAGTACAAAAACAAAACAGCTACAATATCAAAATTATCTATAATTAGCATTGACAAAAATGAGGAAAAAAACAAAAAAAACTCTCAGCTATTAATGCAAAAATCAACACATGATGAACACAAAACGTTTCAAATTTTTTTTGTTAGCGGAAGGAAAGGCCAAAACCTTGTGGGAGATTTTAGAGTTTCCCATTCGTGATGGCGGCCGATCCTTTTCCCCAAGCTCTACCTAAATTTGATGAAATGGCAATCTCTCGGTATGGGAACGTCGTGTGTTATAACCAAACGCTAATGAACATGGCCGGAGATCATAGTTTAGAGGACAGCGGAAGCTCCCTTACAGCCGCTCTTCCTGTCTTTGTAATGCAACTCTTTGTTTCTAACCTCACCTACCGCCTTCTCTACTATTTTACTCGGCCTCTCTATTTTCCTCCTTTCGTCGCTCAAATCCTTGTGAGTTAATCAAATCTTGAGAACATATTTTATTACTAACCATTATCAATCTTTTATCTTACCCGTCTTGGTACGTAGAAATATTCATTAGTGTTTTCGTCGTCTCGCTCAATTTTTCATATGTTCGATACATATTTGATTGGCGATTATTTTCTTCAACTGATAATGTCAGTTTCTTGATTTGTTCACGTAAAAATTGCAATATGATGGCCACATTGGCCCATGGGATATACTTTTTTCAAATTAATCTCGTACGTAAATTACAACATGATCTCATAATAATTGTAGTGATTATTCTTTGTTTCTTCCCTATATAATTTGCAGTGCGGATTACTGTTCAGCCCGAGCGTGCTCGGAAATAAGGGCTGGGTCCTGGATCATGTATTTCCTTATAGATTTACAATGGTTCTCGAGACATTCGCCAACTTAGCTCTCGTTTACAACATTTTCCTCCTCGGTCTAGGCATGGACTTGAGGATGATAAAGATGAAAGATCCCAAACCAGTGATTATAGCCATCGTTGGCCTCATTGCGGCTTTACTTGCCGGTGTTGGCCTTTACTACCTTCCCGGTAACGGAGACCCCGACAAGATCTTAGCAGGTGGTCTTTACTGGTCGGTCGCGTTTGGCTGTACGAATTTCCCTGATCTTGCTAGGATTCTTGCGGATCTCAAGCTCTTGCGTTCGGATATGGGACGTACCGCGATGAGTGCAGCCATTATTACTGATTTGTGCACTTGGATTCTCTTTGTGTTTGGAATGGGGTGTTTTAGCAAAGCAGGTAACTAATATGAATGTTCCCTTGTAATTATTTTTTCTTCCTTTAGAACTCACACACGCACACGGTGCATGATGACACTAGTACTAACAAGAAACATTATTTAATTCAAGGTATACGGAATGCAATGATGGCATACTCATTAGTATCAACCGCAGTTTTTGTCCTTTTCTGCTACTTCGCGATCCGTCCTGCAGTGGCTTGGATCTTCAACAACACCGTCAAAGGAGGCAACGTCGATGAAACTCATGTCTGGTTCATTCTAGCGGGAGTAATTCTCTGCAGCTTATTCACCGAAGTATGTGGTGTCCAGTCAATTACCGGGGCTTTCTTGTTCGGTCTCTCGATCCCTCACGACCACATCATTCGAAACATGATCGAAGAGAAGCTCCACGATTACATCTCCGGGATACTGATGCCTCTCTTCTACATCATTTGCGGTTTAAGAGCTGATCTTGCTTACATGTTCGGGTTCGTGAGCATCGGAACGATGGCGTTGGTGATTTCTGCCTCGTTTATGGTGAAGATTTTGTCCACGATTGTTTGCTCCATCTTCTTGCGTATACCTTTGCTTGATGGTTTCGCCATTGGTTCGCTTATGAACACCAAAGGAACTATGGCATTAGTCATTCTAAATGCAGGACGAGACACCTACTCATTGGACGTAAGTATGTACACTCATATGACGTTGGCCTTTCTAGTGATGTCAATAGTGGTGCAGCCACTATTAGCCATTGCTTACAAACCAAAGAAGAAATTGGCTTTCTACAAAAATCGAACCATTCAAAAACACAAAGGAGAGTCAGAGCTTGGTGTACTAACCTGCGTCCATGTCTTCCCTAACGTCTCCGGCATAACCAATCTATTACAACTCTCTAACCCGACCAAGAAATCCCCTCTCAACGTTTTCGCCATCCACCTAGTCGAGCTAACGGGTCGCACCACGGCTTCGTTGCTCATAATGAACGATGAGGCCAAACCGAAAGCTAACTTTTCGGAAAGAGTCAGAGCGGAATCCGATCAGATCGCTGAGAAGTTCGCAGCTCTGGAAGTGGACAACGACGGGATTCTGGTTCAGACCATCACCGCGGTTTCACCTTACACGACGATGCACGAAGATATTTGTTCGTTGGCCGAGGATAAACAAGTCAGCTTCATTTTATTGCCTTACCATAAGAACATGACGTCAGACGGTCGGTTGACTGAAGGTAACCATGCGCACGCTGACATCAACAAAAACGTTTTGAGCTACGCGCCTTGTTCGGTTGGGATTTTGGTTGACCGTGGCATGACGATCATCCGGTCTGAATCACTTACGTTCCAAGGCGAAAACACCAAGAAAGAGATCGCGATGCTATTCATTGGAGGTCGGGACGACCGAGAGGCTCTAGCTTTCGCTTGGAGGATGGTGGGACAAGAAATGGTTAAACTCACGGTTGTGAGATTCGTGCCAGGGCGGGAAGCTTTACTCACGGTCGGGATAGAATACGAGAAAGAGAAAAATATCGACGAAGAGTACATCTACGAGTTTAATTTCAAGACAAGGGATGATCCGTCGGTGACTTATATAGAGAAAGTGGTTAACGATGGCCAAGAGACGATCACAGCGATTATAGAATTGGAAGAGAACAATTCACACGATCTTTACATTGTAGGAAGAGGGTATCAAGTAGAAACACCTGTGACCGCGGGATTAACGGATTGGAATAGTGCTCCGGTTTTAGGTGTTATAGGCGATACATTAGCTTCCTCAAACTTCACGATGCATGCTTCGGTTCTTGTGGTCCAACAATACTCATCAGCCAACAGACAAAACGCAGGTAACAATCAAGAACCTGTCCAAGGTGGTGCCAAGACCGCTCAAGCAGCTACACCTTTCATGGAAGACGAGGATGATGAAGAGGCACATCAATATCATAGAGGAATGCGCAAATGATATGTGTTTTTTCTCATTCCATAAACTTTAGAGGAGAGTTTTTTCAAATTGTAAGTTTTTGTCAGATAATCAAAATCCAAAAGAGTTCTTGGTTCCTACACTAATCATGTTTGTTACCGAGTATCCCTAATGGCAAAGTCAATATGCTCAAGTAGAAACCGTTGCAGATTCTTTCTTAATTCTTCGACTTTCTCGCTTGTTTCTGTTCTGTTTATGATCATATCATCAAGCCATTGGTTTACTGCTTTAAGGTGGACGAGAAGACAGTCTTTTCCATTTGTTTCTTCCTTCTTCACCGAGAAAGACCCTTTGTTCAGTGAGTTCTCCAAGTATTTCAAGAACCACTTGCTCGAAACTCGAACTAGCTCGTCCGCTAGACTTGCTGACTCCTTCAACCTATTTTTACCTTCTAAGCTACTTCGGTCAGAAACAGAACGATGTTTCGTTGCAGGAGGTTTCACGCACTTGTAATCTGTGTTTCTTGGACTTATTTTCTCCTTGGGATTCAGCTTTCCAGATGAGTTTTGTATAACAATGTAATGATGATCAGCAGCATCCTCTTGCTTTCCAGACTCTTTACATAAGTTGAACTGAGAAAAACCAGTCACTACCGCAGCTTGAACCCAAGATGCTGCATTTTTATTAGCTTTGCAGGAGTTGTTGTTTCGATTCTGAGTAAGCAACAGATGGACGGCTTTGCCTGTATTCTGTGTACTATGGTAAAGCTCCATGAACCGCCGCACTACTTGTCCCGCAGATAATTTCTTAGAAGAATCACACAGCTCGGCAAAGGCCCTGAAGGAACAAAGTCATATCTATATTATTAATAGTGACTCACAAACTTGTGTAATGAAGACGGTTAGGAATGGATAGAGAGACATACTGCAAACTGAGTAGAACAGACTCCATTGCAGATGCTTCCTCCAATGCGCTTACTGCTCCCGAAACTGCTACTTGCCTATGTGATGAGACTTCCTGAAACGAGAGGTTGAACCATATGACTACTAATAACTCAGAGTCGCTAGATCGATCCAAATATCGTACCTTTCCAAGCAATTGAATGGCTTTTGGGAGTCCACTCCATAAGATTCTCTGATCAGACCAAGTCCTCTGACTTGAAGGATGCTTAAAAAGCGCAACTGGTGGAAGAGCCACAGCCTTTGACAGCGAGTTGATACCATCTTTTTGAGAATTGGTCATGGATATAGGTGATGCAGGCTTGACCACATTTCTATTTCTTAAAGCAGGGGTGTCGCAGTTAAGGTGATTTATTGTAGGTGACTTGATACCATCTTTTGGAGAAATGGCCATGGATATAGGTGATATAGGCTTGACCACATTCCTGTTTCTTAAAGTAGGGGTTTCACAGTTAAGGTGCTTTGATGGGGACTCGTTCTTTGGCAGATTCTTATCAGGCAATACCTGCAAAAAAAAAAAACATAGAAGTCTATGGAATCAAGAAAGATTCACATTCCAAGTGCAACAAACTATAAAGCCAATATCAAATTGTTGCACTATCTACAAAAAGCAACTTATAAGGTCACTTGAAACAGACCACTGTAACAACTTAAATAACAAGAAACCTAAACCAGTGAAAAACAGAGTTTCCAAAATCAAAATGCAATGAAACAGAGCAACATTTAGTCGTAAGAAGCAGCATCAACTCGATTTACATAAGAGACTAAGATGAAGATTAAAAAAAAGTACCAATTTGGGTTTGAGACGTGGTGAAGAAAGAAGCAATGCGGAGTCACGACGGTGGTGAGTCAACGAAGGACTCTGATCCCAACAACTTCTTCTCGCGGAATCCAAACTCATCCGCCTCATCGAAATAAGATTCTTCTTTTTCGTCGTCGGCGAAACAGAGGCCAGGGTGAAAGGAACCAGCAAGTCGCTAGAAACAAGATCACTAGGGTTTCCAACGCAGAGCCTCCGCTTGGGGACTGGTTTCAACCCACGGATTACAGGAACAGGGCAACCTTTCTCAATGTGTAGACCACCGCGGATGTAAACAAACTGCCCTAGTTGGATTTCATCGGAACGTATGAGATCAGCGTCGTCTCCGGCAGAAACGGCGACGTAAGCGGCGTGGAGAGAGTCAGAGACTTTGACGAAGAATGCTTCGCTACGCCATTGGTCATCAGAGAGACAGGGGACTATTTCGATGACTTGGAGGAGTGGTGAGCGGTGTGAGGAAAGTAACGACGGTGAAGAAACAGAGTTACCGGCGGCGAGATTGAGAAGGTTGGAGAGAACTCCGGGAGTAAGACACGCCATGGTTGGAACTTGGAAAGAAGAAGCATCTTTTGTGGGGGAAGGAAGTAGGAGTGTGGATCTCAAAGAGATGGGGTCTCGGGGAGTGCAGTGGAGAGTTCGTCGTTTACTGTGTCGGAAACAGTAAGTTTTGTCAGAATGCTAAAAAGCTCGCTCTGTCTTCGAGATTTGATGGGGGGTGACTTTGCAAAGTATAGCCCTTTTTGTTGGTTGCAGGTGTAAAGCACGAGCCTTTTTGTTTGTTTCTTTCGTTAAATTCCAAATTACAATATTGTAACGATTTGGATTTGCAAGTCAGGGACTTTTGTTATCTAATTGCCTAGTTCCAACTGTATTTGGAATGAAACCAAACAAAAAATATTCTGTGCAGATAAGTTTTAATTTTTTCTTTTCTTTTTGTAGTTAAGACTTAAGAGACTTCATGCAACATTTTCCCAACTGGGCCGACTATGGATTGTCCTTCCATGAAAGGCTTGTTTGATATACCACAACCTTGTCAAATTTGTGGAGATGCCTTGGAACAGAGAACACAAGTGAAGTGTCCAATCATGTACTTACTTGTATTTGTGTTGCCACTCCAAACTTGGTCCATCAGGTCGCACTCGAACCAACCTTTCTTCCATAAATTTATCAACAAATGCTTTGATTGCACCTTTGTGGTTGGTATCTCTTTTCAACAACTCTTTTGCCACCTTTTTCTATACCAAAAACAAGAAATTTCGATTCTTTTACATTTGGCTAAATTGGCGACTGAGATGGATTATATAAGATAAGGATATTTATTTCATGGCTGTTATTATAAACCAGCGGAAGTATGAAATCATCGCATAATCAGAGCCTTCAAAGTTGGTCAGTTGTGATTTCATTGTTATATGTTAGAATTAAAGATAAATTAAGATTAAGTATATATGTCACAACTGTAATCATTTCATTATTTATTTACAAAGTAAGTAATAGTCCAAACACTCACAGTCACCGACCTCTTACGTTACAAAACAAAAGTGAAAATGGACCTATAACTACTCCTAAATCTAATCCCGCTATATAGTTGTCTCCTCTGAAACTAGATTCTCTCTTTTGTATGATCAACCATGGGAAGTGAAGTTATAAACCTGACAAAACCACGTTTTGATCTAAGCATGTCGAAAAGAACTCGAAAACCATGGTCTAGTCTCAACAGTGATATGCATCACCAAGATATATCCACACAAAGCTCACAACCGAAACCAGACGATGACAAAGAACAAGATGAAATCGAAGACAAAGAAATTGATCGTAAGAGTTTGAACAACCTGATGAGATGCGAGGAGAAATCGAATGGAGAAGCTAATAATGGTAACAACAAGAGCTCCCTAGGTCAACATTTCGGGGATGACGAGGGGATCAAGCAGACGATGCAATTGGTGGTGAAGAAAGAGAAGCAAGGTGGTGTGAAATTCAAAGGTATGATGGGTCGTTATGTTAAGGTGTGGAGCGGTTTGATAAAAGCCAAACGTACTGATCGCAAAACGCCGGTCTTACGGTTCAAAACTTGATTTCCCAATTCACATCGTATATACGCACGTTTCATGTACGTGATCACATTCACATATACGTGTATCTCTATACATTACGTACACAATTAGTTACTAGATATGTTTTACGTACGTACGGTATTATTGATGTGCACGTATGTTGTTGTCGTATTGGTTTTGACTTTTCTTCTTTTTTTGATATGGATTGGTTTTAACTTTTGAGATTGTAATTAGCACTATCTATATACACGAACCTCTTTTTTGGTTGTTTAATTTGAGTTTGTTATGGTTTTAGTCTATAATTAGTTTGTTCGTTGTCCGCCTAATTTTTCAGATATTATGGTGCTAAATTCCATATTTTTGGTTAATCTCAGTTTAAGAAAATTAGAAGTGAAGGCACCACGTACCACCACCAGTAGAATATGTATTCTGGAAACCTTTATGTTACGAAAGTTTTCATTAAGGTGTCCAAAAATATCACCATCTACATAAAACCAATATTTTAATCAAATTATATATAAAGTGTTAAATATGGTAAATTGAAGATCTGCAAACTACTCTTCTACCAACTAGCTCCCACAAACTTTAAAAGAAACAAGTTATTTTGGATAAAGAAAGCTTGCAAGATTTTCAATTATAGATAAATCACAAAATTACTTGGAAAACAAAAAACAAGAAAAACAACTATTAGTCTTTTGATATCGATATCCATGCATGTTAGATGGCTCACTCGAATATTCCCTGTGAGTCGTCGGAGTGACACATGGTGATAATATAACTTGCGCTGTCTGACCGTGACACATGTTTTCTTTACAATGCTGCTTAATCTGAATTAATTACTGTAACTTATATACATATAAGCGTGGCAATCATCTAGCTAACTTCCAAACTAGTGATGCTTCGAGATCAGATAAACTAAAATTGTAAAATATCAATGTTATAAAACAACTCCATAACATCCTAAGCTAGTTGGTGCGCACACTGACACACAAAAACAAAAAAGAGCCATCTTAGCTAGTTCATTTAATAAAAATCAATGTTATATAAGTTATAACTGATAAAACAGCTTTACAAGATCATAAACTCCTAGTTCGTCCATATGGTCGTCATTATCTAATTCGAGTGTTCTATTGTTATCCCTATAGTGCAGAGAGGTTCCAATAATAACAAATTTTTAACATGTAAATATGTAATTGATATGTTTTTGTTGCAAACAAAATCGTATTGGTGTATTCCTTTACATCCTTATCCTTTTAGCAAAAATATTTGTGTTTCCTGCTGCGCTTTCTTTCAACAAAAATAATTTCCTGCTTGTTCGAGTTCTATCGACTACTAGGCATAGAAGTAGCTAGTTACATTGATACCACCATATTATATATATTTGAGTGTTTGCTTGGAGAATAAAGAAATGAGAAGGTCACCTCAGGTATAAGCAAAGGTCGTTAGTACGTGGTAGATCATCATTGGTTAGCTTTACTTTACTTTACCAATAAAATTGGAGATGCATGGCATCACACCGACCCTGTTAAGTAACCTTTGCCTTATGGCACCGTCAAAAAAGCAGAATCTTTAATTAAAGTTCCAAGTCAGCTCTCTTTTTCATTTCCTTTTCTATTCAGCTTCCGTATATAAATAAATACTCAAAAGTAACATTTTTTTATTGTTTTTGCTCAAATGAAGATTTCTGTAATTATAACTAGGATTAATTTAATTCAGTTTGAATTCAATTAAATACTTATAAAATAAATTATCAAAATTTGTTATTCATATATCATGTCATTCAACATATGTATATATTTTAATGATTTAGTGGGTTTATTTCATTTGACATTCGGTTAATCCTGTTTAATTCATAAACATATCTGTAAATTTGAACAATTTATTAAGATGGTCCAGTACCAGTATTCAGTGATCTATAATTAAATTTCTATTATTTTAAACTGTACGTATTTAATTACTTTCTTGTAGAATCCGAAGCTTATCCTTTATAAAAAACCAACCTCATCCTCCAACTTCTTCATCAAAACTCAAACATTAAGTCTCTCTACGTACATCTAAAGAAAACTCTCAATAGAAAACAAAACAAACAACAATCAAGAAACTAAAATGGGAAGAGATCAAGAAGGAAGCACCCCAGTTCCATTACATCTCTGCGTCTTCGTCTTCATCTTATTCATGTTCGTAACTATCTCATGGTACGGGAGCTACGAACCAGTCATAGAAGGATTTACGGATCAGTTCAAGCTTGCTCTCATGGCTTCTCCTCTGCTTTTGCTCTTGGCCGTCCATTTTCTATCCGACGATGGAGGAGTCGTAGGAGGGATCAAGATGTCGTCGTTGATACCTCTGAACGAAAGAGAGTCTTTGTATAGAGCCGGAGGAACGCCGTGGGGAGTGGCCTTCATGCTCGTCTTTCTCTTCTTCATGGTTTCTTATCAATCTAAGTTTCAAGAACGTTGGTTTCCTCTTCGATGAAGTAAAACGACAACGTTTTTGGTTGTTCTAGCTAGTATTCTTGACTTCCGCTTTGGGTCTAGTATAATATGGGGATTCAATGTAGGTCAACTGATTTTTTTTTTCTAGTATCGTCCAATTATATACCATTTTATGTAATCTTTTAAATCACTATTCTCATGGAATAGAATAATGTATCATATATTATGACGAGAGCAAAATATTACTATATTATTCATGATGTATGCAATCTTTTAATTTCCTGTCTCATGGAATAGTATAAACATATATTAAGTTATATATGTTCATTAGGTTTTAGGGTAATCTTTTGTTGCGTATGGAACATACTGGTCAATAGTACTATCCCTGGTAGAAAACAATATCATCCCGATCGAGAGTCACCCGACCCAAAGATCGAACCGAGGGACAGAAGTATACTAGTCCACAACTCAGTTGATTTGGTGTTCAAGTATCGATCACGTGCTTAAAATAATAATGTGTTAGGGTTCTGTTTCTAGAGAAAAATATGACGTGTCCTCGCATTTGACCGGATAAGGTATACGTAACAGTAATATGTCCATGTCCGTTACTTCCACGTCTCTGCCTCTGGTCAATAACGCACGCAAGGCGCTCTCTTCTTCTATAAATACAATGAACCTTTTTAGCATCAACTTAAAAATCCTCAATCTCTTAACTCAATCTTCAAATCTCAAACATTTTCTTTACCCGTTAAACTCTTTTGTTTAATCAAAACTCTTGTGTAATCAGTATTTAATATCTATTTACTACAAATGGATGGAGGCTTGGGAACGATGTTGATGAAGGTAGCCTTATTTGCTCTGGTTCAAGCTTTGGTGTATCTCATCCTCTCGAAATCTTCGAGGGTTTTCTCTAGATCGAATTCGTTGAAAAGGGCTTATAGTTTCCGGCCTATGAGGTCCGTTAGCATCCGCCGCATTCTTGCGTCGCTTCAAGATATTCCTGCTGGCGAAGAGATGTCTCCTTCATCTAACGGCTCCTCTTCTTCTTCTTCTTCTCTTACGTCTCCTTCTTCCCAAGATGAGGCAGCAACAAGAACTATATCACCACCATCTTAGCTAAGGATATACATACGGCAATACGGCATTGTTTGATTCATTTTCTCCATATTTTTTTAGATTGTTTCATTAAATGGATGCAATATTGATTAGTCCTCTATCTCTGTATATGTATGATTGGTGTAGATGTTGAATATTATTTAAGCCAAATATATACTGTATGTACAATTTAAAAGGAGTTAGTATATCGTCGTGTTGATATATAATTAGTAATTTTATTAATTAAACCAAAATATTTATCAATTGATGTTTTATTTGAATGTGGTGAAAAGTTTAAGATGTAGTTTTTTCAAACAATGAATTGTTCAAACCTTGTTCCAGCTTATATCTTGGGATCTATTTCAGTTCCTCTTTGATATTGGATTTAAACAAGAAAACCGTGATATACCGCAGAACAATTTTTTCTAATAATTGTTAAGAAATATGTATGTTGTATCTTTTGCGTTTGTTTTAATATCTTTTGATTAATATTTACGTTCTATAGTTTTGGATATATTGTATTTTTGTGTGTTTGGTAACGGTTATGATTGACGTTAACTCGTTTGATATTAGATTAAAATATTTTGTATATTTTAGTAAACCAACCCGTAAAAACTTTTATAATTATATTTAACCCGTTTCATAATATGATCCGCAAGAATATATATATTAGCAAGTTAAAAATATCAAGTATATTTAAATTATGTATACTAATTTCTTTTAGAATTATTTAAAGTATGTTTTCTATACTAATTTAAAGTATGATTATATTACAAATAAGAAGTTCAAGTTTAATGTTTATTCAAATGGCAAGATTTTTTTTTTTTTTTGTCAACCAAATGGCAAAAGTTTAATTATGCAAATCTTACAAAAAAAAGTTATTGAGAAGTTTAAAATATAATATGTTACTTGTGGATATGGTTTCAAATATAATATGTTACTTGTGGATATGATTAATATAAGAAAAAAATTTAGAAATTGAGTTTAATTTGTAAGAAAATTCTAGAAATGTGATGTGGAATAATTTTACTGTAAGTAAATTATAGAAGCAGATTTATTTTAAATTTTTACTAGTTCAAGAGATAATATAAAGATAAAACAATTAATATATATATTTATATTGCAGATTTTTTTTCTCAAAATAACAGATTTTATTACACATAATTTATATTAATCTTTATTTTCACATTGGTAAATAAACATCTGTTGATATTTTACCAACTTATCTTTATGCTTCTGTTTACTATATAATATCCCAACCTCTTTACATTATTTCTTACAAGCTAATTCCAAACATCAAGAGCTCTAATTGTTCTCTCTTTTTACTACTCTCTCGCTTAATAAGTTAATCAAAGAGCAAAAAGAAAACATGAAGAGCAATATGCAGTTAATCTCTACACTCATCTTCGTAATCCTACTTTTTCTCGGACCAAGTATATAAATCTATCTCCCCCACAAGTTATAAGCAAATCTAATAAAACATACGAATTCTTTAATTACTTGATATGGTCTTTAATCTTTATATTTATAGGTATGATGAAGACGGTTGAAGGACAAGATCCACAGTTGTGCGAAACCAAGAGCTTATACTTCAGGGGAATGTGTACGAAATGGGCGAACTGCAAGCGAGTGTGTATCAGCGAAGGTTTCCCTGATGGTCGATGCAAAGGATTCATCAGAGATTGTGTTTGCAGGAAGCCTTGTGCTCTCTCTACCTAAACTATTACTATTATGAATAACTTTACTTTGCTTAAAAGCCATTAATAAGCTCTCTCTCTATATCACATTTATGTAAGCTAAAATAAAAGAGTAGGGTACAAGTTATGTATTCAAAAGAGTTCGTTGTTATCGCATAAAGATATAAAATTATAATAAACACATTTAAGGTCGAAATCTCTTATCAATATAATCTTTAAGTTTTTATTGTTTTCGTACACAAGAAAAGTAATTGAAGTGCAAAAGGTTCATGTAGAAATTCTGAGTGCCTGTACAGTGACTGCTACGTATACAGAGAAGAAACATATTGAGAAACTCTTCAGTCTTATTGTTTTGCAAAAACTTTGTCACGGAGTTGGGAGCAGCGGATAGTTTCTTACTTAGATATATTAAACTCAAGGTCCTTGTAGTGTTTTCCAAGAACTTCACCAACCTGTAAAGAGAATTATAACGCCATGGTGAAACAAAAACGGTTTGATGCATCAAAAACTGTTACCGACTGAGATCAAGTATCAGAACCCATGAATCTAAACATAATATAACAAATCAGACATTTTGTTGGTCTAATGCTTATCTGGTTGGTAGATATGTTCACAACTGACTGCAGGTTCTCATTAAACGTAAACAATGGCTTAAAGGACTTACGTCAGAAGAGCTTAGCCACCGATGTGTATCATTGGTCTATTGGCTGTTTTTGCAATGTCAAGCATTCCAGCGTGTGCAGCTTTCTTCCTCTTCACCTGAAACCCATTGTGAATTTTAAGTCTCAAACACAAACGAAAACAAAGGAAAGATTTCATTACAGGTTGCTAAAATCAGATGAAGCAACTAAATACATACAGCAGCGCCTATAATTTCCCTTAGTGCCTCGTCATCAGCACCAGAACGGAGAGGATCTCTCAAACTAACCTGTTTATGGGTAACAAAACATTATTGATAAGCGCAACCACGAATCCACTTGACTAAAAAATTTCCTTTACTCAGCCACAAAAAAAGTTTGGAAGTTTACTATACCTCCGAGGGACCAAACAAGCAAACTTTGAAGTTCCCATCCGCAAGAAGTCTTAATCTATTGCAGCCAGCGCAGAAGTGTTCTGTCATGGATGTGATGAAAGAAACAGAACCGCAATGCCCATCAATCGTAAAGTTCTTAGCTGTTTCAGTTGGGTGATCTTTCATACGCTTTATACTCGGAAAGCCCTTGACCTGTTACCATAACAACTGAAACCAATCACGAAAATGCTCAAGGAAAGGTTCACTAGTCTCAAAAAGGCCAAACATTGAGAAAATTCTACCTTACCACTTTATCCATCAGTTCTGCATAAGGCACAAGTTTCTTTACATTCCAAACATTTCCATCAAAGGGCATAAACTCAATAAACCGAACATTGATTGGCTTATCGCGTGTCAACTCCACAAAATCACAAATCTCATCATCATTCAATCCCCTCATGACAACACAATTTACCTGTCAACAGAATATGAAAAAACTCTTGAGCATCAAGTATTGTTCTGCTGCAATTAAACAGAAAAAATGAGGGAGGGATTATTAACATACTTTAACGGGATTGTATCCAAGCTCAATAGCAGTATCAATGGATTTCATAACCCTCTCGTGCCCTTTACGCCTAGTCAGAAACTCAAACTTGGCTGGGACAAGAGTATCTAAGCTGATATTAAGCGAATCAAGCCCGCATTCTTTAAGCTTTGGTAGCTTTTTAGCAAGAGTGATACCATTGGTAGTGATAGCCAAGTTCTTCAACCCTTTTAAGCTAGACAACTGGAGACAAATCTCTTCTATATCATTCCTAACAGTAGGCTCACCACCGGTCAACCGAATCTTGTTAACCCCAGCAGAAACAAAAAGACCAGCCAACCTAACAATCTCAGACTGTGACAATAACTGAGGCTTAGGGGTAAGTTCAACACCTTCAGACGGCATACAATACTGACACCGGAGGTTACACCGCTCAGTCAAAGATATCCTCAAGTAGGTATGTAAACGGCCAAAAGAATCAATCAACATGTCGGAAACAGGATTGTCTTTGGTCTGATCAACCTGAGCTGCATAATTGCTAAAGGAACGCTCACTAGTAGTAGCAATAGTTCTTGTCACTGAGCCAGAACCAATTGCAGAATCAACCTGTTAAAGGATACAAAAGACGGGAAGAGAATACAATTAAGTATTGATTCTCTCTAATAGAGAATCACATGAGCACACATATCTAAAAACTCTAATACTAACATTCATATCAGCTCGTAAATCCTAGAATCAATTCGAGAAAAAGAAAAAAGTAACGAACTTTGAGTGGAGAAAGAGAGAATAAGGAAAAAAAGAAAAACGAAAAGTAGGGAGATTTACCAGGAAAAAGTTGGAATTTTTGAAACCCAAGTGGAAAGAACTGAATTTGGAATAGCACCTCCTCATCGCTAACAGAACTGTAGGGAAGAAGATGGAATGAGAGAACTGATGAGATATTTTTGGTAGACGAAGTGGAGAGAAAGAGGAAGAGATGACCTTTGGTAGACGAAGAGAGTGTTTTGGTCAGATAAAACAACTCAAAAGTTGAAAAAGTGAAGACGGCACTTTAGATCATTTTGGCTGAAACATGGAACTGTTGACCGGTTATCGAAACTAAACCGACTAGCATTGGCTGGTCCGAGTAGTGGATGTGAAGATTGCATCTAGATCAGATATTCAGCGGACTCTAAAATAATTAAAATAATAATCTATGTAGAAATATGCAAATTATGTGACAAACAGTCAACAACACACGGACGTGAAGCCCAACATAAGAAAATAATTTCATTTTGGGGTTTCTCGATTGACAAGTAACAACAACTGTCACTTATTATACACTAAGGTGACATGCATGCAAACCTGCAAACTGTCACCTTAATAAATCTTAGAGTTAAATTTATTAAGAAACTAGCAGTTGACCCGCACTCCGCGCGGAAGGTTTAAAATTTTGTTTCGTTGATTTTTTATTCATATTGTAATATTTTATTATTATTTTTAATTGATTTTCAAAAAATATTATAATTATTTTCTCTTTAATTATTATTTTTCAATACTCAAATTTGGATTAAAAGCATTTGATTCAATTTATGAAATATCATTTTTTTTCTTTTTGATCATGTTATAAACTAATATTTCACTTTCATTTTATTTTTCCTTTTTATAATTTTATATATACAATTACATAAGTGTTGTTTTAGTCTACCATAAATTTAAATTTTACTTCCATTCTAAAACTCAGTAACATATTTAACATATTAAATTATGATTAATTTAAAATGAAAGTTGAATTATATTATTACCACTAATAAAAAATTAAAGTATTGTTTTTCTTATTTTATCATTTCATTTTTTATATAATTTATTTTTATTTATATAAAATTTCTATTAATTAAATAAGTAACATAAATATGCACTAAATGAATGTTTTAATTTGTTTTAATTTTAAAACAAAAATGTATCTTAGGTGGATGCTTAGGTGGCATCATGAGAAGAGAGAAAAAGCTAACTTTATATATGTAGATTACTTTTAAGAGCTTTTGACAAATTTTAACTCTACAATTTACTAAGTTATTATCAATAATGATGGTATAATAAGTAACACACTATGTCACTAATTTTCTTATTATTTACATGCAAACATAGAAACCAATGAAACAAAAATAAATAAATCTAAGAAACCAAATTTACCAGCCAACTAAATTATTCTGCTAGAGCACCAGCTAACTCCATTGAATATAAAATAAAATGGTTTTAGCATCTTTCATTTGTATATGATCAATTTAAAGACTTTTTTTAAGGACGTAAAAAAAAAAAAAATTATAAGACATTTAACATTTATTACTTTGACTAGTAGTTAACTATACTAGAGATATACTATAAAAGAATACAGACTCATATGTATATATTTGTTTTATAGAACAAAATCCATTACACGTTTCTGTTGTTTTTCATCATCGTATCCATGGAAAATACAAAATAGTAATTTCAAAAATACGTTGACCGGAAAAAAGAAAAGAAAGGGGAAAAGGCTTATTTATACACGTGTTTAGTATAAAATGCGACATTCTCACGTATTTATACACGTATATATCTCGTTTACCTTTCATAATGTATAGCATATGAATTTGTTTCATAGTTTGCCTTAAAAAAAAAAAGAATTTGTTTCATAGTTGTATTTGAAAAATCAGACATAGAAATATACAATATTAATTTTGTGATTTAACTCATCCATTTCGGTTACTAGCTTATTAAGGCGTTACATTGACAAATTAGGTATTGAATGGCCATATAAATGGTGGTAGACTTGTAGTAACAACAAAATTTCGTTCGTTCTGTATTATATGTACAAATTCTTTTATTGAATATACGAAAATAATAATAATGATATGGTTGAAGGACAACAAATGTGTGCAGCAAAGAGAAGAGAGCCTGAACCATGGAAGGGTGAGAATTGTCGCCATCCATGGTTTCAGCCCTGCAACCACCGCCAAATGCATTTTGTAGCCAAACTCTGTTTTTGTGTGTCTTAATATTTTTGGTATTTAAATTTAAAATAACGACAACAATTCATTGTTAATTGAGTTGATATTATGGTTTTCTAATTATTCAAGTTGATTAAAAAAAAAAAAAAGAGTAGAGTCATCATGTGTACTTAAGTTTTAAGCTATGCTTTGCTAAGTAGTTTTTTTTTTCCCATGTACTACAACTACAATATATGAAGTACCTTAAACATATATAAAATAATATCCTCTCTTCTCGACGAGGAGAGGGTTCCATTTTTAGTATTTTGAAAGAGGGTTACAGTTTTCATTCTGTAATCAACGAGAATAATAAAAGAATCTTATATATAATATGATTAAAATAAAATTAGGTGAAAAACATAGATCGTTAAATAGTATGATGTGGTGGTACAAAGGAGGAGGACAAGGAGGAGAAGGAGCGAGCATCTTCTTATACTAAAGAGTAAAGAGTAAAAAAGAAGGAACATAGGAATATGGGAGATAACATGTCGTGGACGGACGACACTGGACAAAGATGCACCAAAAAAAACATCTTATTCCCTTAATTAATTAAGCAAACAACAAGACCGACCATTGGCGCCTGTCTTGTTCCCGTTGCTTTTCCCCATCATCTTTATCCGTCCCCCAAATCTCTCTCTCTCTCTCTCTGATGATACTACTACTACTACTACTACTACTTTGGGCGAAATAGATGATAGCTTCTTCTTGCTTCTCCTTGAAGCTGTCGTAGTGTTTTCGTTGTCCTCCGCCTTCTCTTTAATTTTTTACTCTCTTTCCCAGGTAAAATGATTCTGATTCTTCTCTGGGTTTTGCTCCTAGTTTCTGATTTTGGAAGTTTTATATGGGCTTGATTCAAAAGGGTTAATTTTTTTTCTAACTGAACTCTTATGAGTGAGAGAGACTATAGATTCGTCTTCTGGGTGCTCTTGATCTGAGTAATTTTAATTAGTTATCAATTATCGATTTTGATTTTTTTTTTTTGTAATCTAGTTGATTTTAGTGTCGATACTATCAAAGTTGGAGTGATGCTACTTATACAATTAGGGTTGTCTTCAGTCTCAGTATCGATTAGCGAAGATAGTGGTGGTGGTGGTGGATCAAGGTTCTGGGTGATTAGGTTTAGTGATAAAAGTTTGTGCTTTACACATCTTCTGCTACTTTTTTGGTCTGGTAGATTCCTTTTTCTTTTACTTAAAAAGCAACTTTTTAGCATTTATCTTCCATGATATCTAATTTCTTATAGGAGTGTATCTCATCTTAGCTTCGGAGTGAAACTAATCATGTTCTTTTTTGTCTGTGTGGTCCGGATTTTTATTTGATTTTAATCTCTTTCATGAGCTTATGATTTGCTCCTGTTCAGTCGAAATAGTTCTCAAAGTTTGTTCTTGATGGTGGTGTAAAACGGCTGTTTTATTTGCCAGATACTTAACATCATAATTGCTTCAGTTTATTTTGAGTAGGATTTAGAAGATCATGGCTCAAAGGAGAGGACCTGACCCGCCACCGCCCCAGAGGCGGATTCTGCGGACTCAAACTGCTGGTAATCTTGGAGAGGCTATGCTGGACAGTGAAGTGGTGCCATCGTCTCTCGTGGAGATTGCTCCAATCCTTCGTGTAGCCAATGAAGTCGAAGCTAGTAACCCACGTGTCGCGTACTTATGTGAGTTGAAAGAACGTATAAATCACCAGATGATGTGATTTGTGCATCTTAAACGATCTTGACAATATCCGTGGATGCTTCTCTCAGGTCGGTTTTATGCGTTTGAGAAGGCACACAGGCTTGATCCCACATCAAGTGGACGTGGTGTTCGCCAGTTTAAGACTGCGCTTCTTCAACGGTTAGAACGGGTGAATATCATTACTTCATTTACTCTGCTTGAGTTTTCAATTTCATACTGTTGTCTTGCCGGGGGGTTATGTGTCATTTTCCTTATGTCTTTAACTTCTGCAGGAGAATGAAACAACTCTTGCAGGACGGCAGAAGAGTGATGCCCGCGAAATGCAAAGTTTCTATCAACATTACTACAAGAAATACATTCAAGCTTTGCTAAACGCTGCTGACAAAGCTGACCGGTTTGTGTTTGATGGAACTGTTTGTTCAGACAAAGCTGCTCGAAATCTGTATTTCTGTGTTTTTTATTTATGATACAAATTTGTTTTACTTGTAGTGCTCAACTTACAAAGGCATATCAAACTGCTGCTGTTCTCTTTGAAGTCTTGAAAGCCGTTAATCAGACAGAAGATGTGGAAGTGGCTGATGAGGTAAAGCTGATAGTAGATTATATCTCGTGTTTAAATCTCTTACTTCTGTTCTTATGCAGGTCTTAGCCATGATTTCATTGAAACATCTTGATACTCCCATGAATTGGGTCACCAAAATTATTGGCTCACTTGTTTCTGGTCATCCTTTTCCTTGCTGGTAGATTTTGGAGGCTCATACAAAGGTGGAAGAAAAAAGCCAGATCTATGTTCCTTACAACATTCTTCCTCTTGATCCGGACAGTCAAAATCAGGCTATAATGAGATTTCCTGAGGTTAACCAAACATTCGACTAACTGTTTCAATAGTCTTTTGTCTCTTGAGGCCAAAAAATCAATATTTTCACACTGTTCTGCAGATACAAGCTACAGTAATCGCACTTCGTAACACTAGGGGCTTACCATGGCCAGCAGGTCACAAGAAGAAACTTGACGAAGACATGCTAGATTGGCTTCAAACTATGTTTGGATTTCAGGTGATGCTATTGAATATCCTGTTTTAGTGTAGTTGATTGAGAATTTCTCACTGTGCTGATTGTGATCCAAACTTTAAAATGACAGAAAGATAATGTTTCAAATCAAAGAGAACACTTGATTTTGTTACTTGCTAATGTCCACATTCGCCAGTTTCCGAGACCTGAACAGCAACCAAGAGTATGTGTTCTTTTGAACTTAGATATGATGGTTACTTGCTTGAGTAATTCCTCTGCAT